CCCCCCGCGAGGCGACGAGAGAACTGAAGACGTGCGAAGAGGTCTGGATGGTCATCTCGACGGCGAATAGAACCCAAATGGGAAGGCTTCGAGAACATTGGGGGGGTGATTGGACGGTAGCATGCCGTAGGTCGCACTGCAGCGCACTCTACCCTTCTATAGGATAGCTCGCAAGCCACCGAGCAGAGGGAGGGGGGGGGATGGGGGTGGGAGGGTTCGGTGCTGCTTGACCTGCATCGAGGCGAGCTGCTGCAGCGCAGACGTGGAGCGAAGCAGCCAAGAAACCCTCGATCTATGTGAATTGTCGACTGCGTCGGCAGGCTTTGGTGCCGACTGTGCAAGGCCAGCCTTGGCACTCGCTTCGCGTCCGTCGTAGCGTAGTACGCGCAGTACCGAGATGAGGATTCGAGAAGACGTTAGTAGCGAAACTACATCATACCCGGGTAATAACGAGTCAACAATAGGACGAGCACCGGTTGGGGGTTGAACGAGTGGTGGCGCAGTAGCAGTAGCAGTAGCAGCAGTAGCAGCAGTAGCAGTAGCAGCAGTAGCAGCAGTAGCAGCAGTAGCAGTAGTAGCAGTAGTAGCAGTAGCAAGACGACGTCCTTAACCTCCGGCCTTGGCCAGTCCAATACGAAGAGATGACCGACGTAGAAATATGCTAGGGGCCTCTATATTGTGTGATGTGCGTGATGTATTATGTGCACACAGTAGTCACCTATACCTTACCAGTCAGGGCCAGGTGTGGACTTTTTTTCTTTGTTTTCTTCTCATCTTCCTTCTTTCCGTCCCGTTTGCGCATGTGTAAGACCAGAACCCAGCAGGGTCCCAATTCTGATATCTTGTCTATTTGTGATTTCTCTTCTCTTTCTCTCTCTCTCTCCTCTTACACCCAACTTTAAAATCAGCTGAGGCGGAATCGATACGCGGTTGACCTATGTGGTTGGCGGTCTGGTGGCCTGGTGAGCCCAGCTAGGTTAGGTAGGTAGGTAGGTAGGTAGAGATCCGATAGGTACAGTACAGTCCAGCACAGTCACGGGTTGTCATGTCTAGAACCGGTTGGTCTCTAAAGTCCAAAGGATTCCGCCCGAGGCTGCAGATCTGAGTTGTGTCCGTAACTCAATCTTGGGCTACATGGCCAATCCCGAGAAATGAGGTGTCAAATTGCGACGGGGTTGTCAGTCCAATGGAACGGACGGATGGGGTCGAATCCCGTCCTCGACCATCGTGATGCCGAGAGGCCAAAGCTTAAAGAGGGCCCTGTATAGGTAGGTTGGAGAGGGTAGGCAGGCATGTATAGCTGATAAGCTGGTTGTCGACTCGATGCCACTCCCGCCAAGCACGACGATGCTAGCATCATCCGTGGGGCAGATATGCAGAGTGCCAGTCGCTAGTGGGAGGTACATACCAGGGAGTTGGTAGACTGGCGCAAACAACGTCTACAGTAAGCTTGCGAGGGGGGCAAATTGCGCATTTGGTGTCGTAGGGACGGTGAGTGTTAGAGTAAGGAGGAATGCGTCGTTCTTCAAACGTGTTTTTCTTTGTGCGTCTCTGCTTCTCTAGCTCGGGCCCTAAGTTAGGGGATGTCTATCTGACCTGAAGAAGTCGAGAAGGTCGAGGACGATGCCTGTGTACATCCTGCCGGGATAACGAAGATCATCCTCATTGCTCCCCCTGCCTTTCCCCTCTCCGTTGGAGGGGTTCTGCCCTCCCCCCCTCACTGCTCTCTCTCCAGACCTCTGATGGCCCTGAGTGGTGGTGGCCCCCTAGGAAGAGGCGGCACTTAGGCCCGATACCTCCCAGGCCTCCTAACAGGCCAGTCTCGACGGCGGTGCAACAACAATGACCATCGTGGATCTACTTGCGGGCGCAATCGCGTGTTACAGCTACGTGCAGTAAAGGGGACCCCACTCGCTGGACGCCGACGTCGACCTGAGGATGTGTAAGAGCGTGGGTTTCCGGAATAAAAAAGTTTTTAGCACAAAAGGCCTCTCGACGGGAAGCGATCGGTGTGAGCCAAAAGAGGGAGCTGCACAGAACGAAATGGCGGAGAGTTCGACATGGCGGATAGAAGCTTGGTAGAAACAGAACAAGGGAAGACGATCATGAGCAAGCCCATGGCGCCCAAGGTCTCGGCACCCCATCGGACTATCGACTTATTGGTCGCCGTTACACGATCTACCAACTTATACTCTTTGCGTTAGGGAAATGGTCTGGTGCGGGAGCTCCATGCTAACCAACTCCAGCACCACCCGCAGCGACCTATACCACGTTTTTCTCACCCGTCGTCTTTTTTCTATCTTTTTTTTTTCTCACCTCACTAAAGGCTCTGCGGGTGCTAGCTAGACTAGCCCTCGTAGATGATCAGTTCCCGCCTTCAGTACTACCGTCGTACTCGTGTGCCGACCAGGGAGGGGTTTAGGAGCGGAAGAAGAGGATGAAGAAGAAGAAGAAGAAGAAGAAGAAGAAGGACGACCGTCTTTCGCTCTCTCAGGGCTGCCATAGCTCGACCTTGTGCGGGTTTGTGCTTCTCATTACGTGAGAGTATTAACCCGCAATGCGCGTAGTACGTCGATTGCTCGTTCCCACGCCGCACCGCATCCCCCCAACTGGATCGCAACGGGGCTTAGGAGATCTAGTATAGTACACACCCATTGCACTGGGACGAGACTGGCACGCGGGCATTTCGTCAGAGCCACTCCGAGGTATCAAACTGGGGGAGCCGAATGCGCCTAGCGAGCCATCTCGTGATAACCGTCTGCTATGAGGGGAGGTCTCGCTACGACCGGCAGTGTCCCGAGAAATGTCTGAATGTGGTACGAGAGCCACAGACCCATCCATGCCATCTCTCGTCTCTCGTCATCTTGTGTGTTATGGGGTTGTACATGGCTGCATTGGTTTGATTAAAATTGTGGCCATTCATCGTGGTTCGCCTGGGAGATGAACTACACATCTCGGGCAGCGGAAATCGATTTACACATGACAATTGCCCGAGTGGGTTGGCGGCCAGCATGCCATCCTATGCAGTAGCGCCGCAGGCCTGCTGTATAGTCTGACTTGCCATGAGCCCATCGACATATCCCGGCAGCCAATCCGGACTGGCTCCAAGACTGTCTTGTAAATGAACCTCACACAAATCTATAGTAGAACCGTGCTCGCACGCGACTTGCTGTTGCCATTTCGGAGGTCAGCTGAGCGGCCTCTGCTAATTAACAGGCAGTCTCTTTTTAAATCGCCTCTTCCACGATCCAGGGGTTTGCGTCGTAGGGGGAAAGGCCCTCGCCTGAACTGGACGGCGAAGGAGAAGGAAAAAAAAAAGAGTACTTCTGCCAAATGAACACGCGGTTGGGAGCGAAAGGGGGTGGGTACGGCACGACCCTTATCATAGTAATATATACAGGTTGGTTCTCGAGCTGAACTCTATCCGAGTGCAGAGCAGAGCCACCAGCGAGCAACCTTCTAGTCGGGGTTCTCGTCGCACGGGTCATCCTTCGATGTCCGTCGGCAACCCGAAGACAGAGAGAGACTAGGCGGGTTCGACGGCCCCAAGTGTAACGCTAGGTGGTGGTGGTCCGACGGCGACACGGGTACATAGATGAAAAGCTCACCTTACATCATCCAACGTCTCTGATGTTAGGTACTTGCGGAGAGAGCGAGAACGAGAACGAGATATGCTATAGGTGTGGGAGTAAGTAGGTACTTACATGATGGTGGAGGTGGGCCTCGGTAGATCTTCAAGAGCGTAGTAGGTATGTAGAAGCTCGCTTGGCGAGGGGGCCTCTAAACAACGTCATCCGAGACAAGGACGCCGCATATGTTAGCTGGAGCTACTGAGAATTTGGAATCGTCACATTACCTCACACGGTTTCTGTGGGCTACGCACAGTAAGCAGCCTTGGGGCTGCCAAGGCGCGCAAAGCTTGTTGCTGCCGTCCGTGGCGTAAGTCGCCAGAAATACCTGTAACAAGTCGAGGATGGGCCAGTGGGAAGAGGATGCTGTTAGGGGAGTCCGTCCTAGTCACGGATCCCAAGCTTCTTCCTCTGGAGCCCTAGTCGATTCTGCTATGAGAACGCGTAGGTCTTAGTCGAATAAGAAGCAGCTTGGACAAGGTGCTGCGCATGTAAGGGTTGTACGATGGCTGCGGGTTTTCTGCAGCAAACATACGGTACCTAAACCTATGATGCACGCGAATCTAGTAGATGTCTGGATGTCTGGATGTCTTGTAGGGAATGTAGAGAATTATGTAGGGTTACATGTAGCGCGTTAGGGGGAGCTTGCTTGTCTACTAGCTATGGTACCTAACTATTACCGTCACCTTACTCTATACACCATACAACCTACCTTGGATAGGTAATCAACGTTCTACCGATTAATCGTGGCTTTGCGCTCTTCTTAGGCCCCGCGTCTCGAGAGTCTTTGATGCCAATTACCATCATTATTATTAGCATCACTCTTCCTCTTCTTCTCAATATTATTATTAATGATATTATCGTTATTATTTCTTTTGTCTTCTTCAAACTACCATAGTCCTTCTAGGGATGTTCCATTTAGCACAGGAAAGTGGGTGAAACCGGCGACTAGAAGTGCGCGGTTCGTGTCCACCTATGCGGCCAACGCCCTGACAAACCTAGCTTGTTGCCAGAAAAGGATCGTAGCTGGGTATCAGCATTACCCGAGCGGTGTTAGGTAGCAAAGTAGGAAGACCATCCCCTGATCACTGCGTCTTGGGGGGAAAGAGAGGGGGGAATTAGAAAGGCACCGGGCAGCAGATCCTTCCAAGAGAAACTCGAGCCTGGCAGTTCTAATGTTAGCACAGATGCACGGCATCACCGTCCCTACGTCAAGACACGTTGAAGCAGGAGTTTGTAACGTTATCCCCCGCTGATACTCGCAGATGCGTAGGGGCCGCCGTGCTGGAATTGATCAACGAATCTATGTCGAGCTCATCATCGCTGGAGTGCGCGATGCAGTATCACCAGGAGGGGGGGCACCTCCCTCTCTCGCTCACTGTGCGTGTCTCTTCTCGCTACTGGGCCTCTTATGGGCCTCGACTAATAATAACTTGGACTTACAAGAGATCAGTCAGGATGCGCGCCAGAGTTGGCGTCGGGAGAAATGAGGGATAATTAACCCACGAGCCAAGAAGCGGGATCGAACGATGGCAGCTTTACAGCCTTTCGTTCATTTCCGTGCCCAGCTCGCACACGTAGTAGAGAGAGGGAGACGGGTAGAGAGAGACAGAGAGAGAGAAGAGAGAGAGGGACAGAGCGAAAAAGACCCAAGTCCGCATCTGCCATGTCGTCCCGTCCACATCCCACTTCCTCTCCATGTACGGCTATCCCGCTCGCCGTTTTTTCCGCATTCCATTCCATCCCGCCAGCCCAGCCTACCGAGGTCTGCGCTCTCCCCAGCTCCCTGCACGATCTAGTAACACAAGCAAGTACAACTGTGTGTATTTCAGCCACCCTCCTCATCGCCATCCTCTTTCTCCCTGCTCAACCCCCCGTTCCTCTCTTACCACGGCATGCGGTGAAAAAAGGCCCATCGCTAGCCGAGCCGAGATTTTTTATCGCTCGCCCCGTTGCTGATGTTATCATGCGTTTGCTATTATCGAGCTCTTTTCTAGGCTGTGCTTCCTGGTGGACGGCGGGATATGTATGTAAGATGGGCATTATCGTGTCGTTGCTAAGTATGTACTACGGAGACGCTCCCTCAGCGGGGAGAGGGCCAGGGCTGGGGCGAGGGCCAGGGAGAGAGAGAGGGCGAGAGAGAGAGCGCAAGAGAGAGAGAGAGCGCGCGAGAGAGCGCGGGAGAACACAAGCAAAGCAGAGAAAAAACTAAGCCGTGCCAGTGCCTGCGCCGCGCCTGTTCCTCTCAGATTTCTGCCCAGGTCCAACTAGGCCCCCTTAGGACTCGTTCCGTCCGGTCTCTTCATTCACCCTTGTTCCTACAGTAGTCTAAAGAAGCGCACAAACTACGAAGTACCTGCAACCATGTTCAACCCTTGGCACCCCCCCGTCTTGCATGCAGCAAGAGCTTGCAGGGGGTTACCCTACCCATGTTGTCACTCTCTCTCTCCTCTAATGCCCTGGCCCTGCCGGGGGGGGAGGATATCCATCTGTATGTACATACATTGTACATACTATGAAGATGATCTTGAAAGTGGGACGCTCACTCCGTCGACCCTAGACCCCCCCCTTCTTCGATCTCGCGTTCCCATCAAGCAATGGTCCATGTTAAGATTTCTTCCCTTGTACATACCCTGTCAACTGTCTCCTCCCCCCCCCCCCCCCAAAAAAAAAACTCCCTAGGCCGGGGATCTACCCTTGTCTCTCTGCTCTGCTGCGGTTTTGCCTCTTCGACTGCTACCTGTACATACTATCGCGTACCCTTGACTTGGTGTAGGCTATGGTGAGAAGGGGGGGAAGAAGTCTTGCATCTACTACCTCTTACACAGCTATGTGGTGTATGTACCTTGCTTCGTACTGCACAGGGGAGTGGGGTGTGCGACTGGGTGAGAGAGAGAGGCCCCTGTCCGGTGGTGAGCGGTAGTGGGCGTGTGTATATGTGTGTAGGTGTGTATGTGGGTTGTCTCTCTGTGTGTTCATTCATATAGAGGAGCATATCTCGACTTATATCTGGTCGTCCCATTCGTTCCACCCCCGTCAACCCCGTTCTGCCTTTTCTCCTCATGCAGTGCTAATAAACGTCTTGCTTGGGCGAGCTATCTTTTCCATATTAACATCTATTTACCCACGCCAGTCACCGTCCTCCTCCTTGATAGACGGGAGGTTCTACACGGCTTCGAGACCAGAGTCGAGACTGTTGCTGTCCCGCCGGGTTCCCTCATGCGTCACTGCTCCTAGACATCACATTGTACCATTCTTTCGCCCTTGTGCATATCCTAACATGACAGTCTCGCTTCCCCCGCAGCCCAATGCGTCCAAGGACGCGCAGGCCGCCCGTAAGCGGAGGAGACGGGCCCCCGCCGGAGGGGCAGCCGATGACTGCTTCACCTGCATCAAGAGGAGTACGAAGTGCGACAGGCGGCGCCCGTACTGCTCGCAGTGTCTCGAGATAGGGAACGAATGCTCCGGCTACAAGACTCAACTGACTTGGGGGGTGGGTGTGGCGAGTCGAGGCAAGCTCCGAGGACTTTCGCTGCCTATAGCCAAGGCACCTCCCGTCGCGCCTGTCGGGAAGAAGTCGGCGAGCCGGGCGCGAGCGAGCTCCGCCGCGACGTCGACGCAGTGGAACAACATGGAAGAAGGGCCGCGCAAAGTTCGCCGGGACAATGTTACCAGTATTAGCGGGGATCACGGGGTCATCCTCCCCCCTACGACGTACGCAGCCTACCCAGAATACCCGCGGTTTTCGCAAGCCGAATCGATACCCACGACCTCGCAGAGGGCGTGGAGCAACCTCCCAGCGTACGCCGGCAACATGAGCGCCCACGACGCGTCGAGATACGGCAAGATTCATCATAATTCGATGAACCACTTCCCGCTCATGGGCGAATCGCTATCCTCGTCGGTGGATTCGCTGAGCGACGTCGACTACACGTTATCGCCCGGCATGGGACACTCCTATCCCCGCGAGGAGATCTCATTCGTGCACAGCCCCAACGTCATCTACGAGAACTACACGACCCAGAGCTCTCCCGTCCCCCAGAGCCCCGTCTCCGCGATCATGATCGATCAGCGGGCGCCGACTTCGTGCCCTAGCCTGGCATACACGCCCTCGGAGCCGAGCTCGAGCCTCAGCTCGCATCCCGAATCGTTTGAACCGCGGATGGGCCATGGACTGGTCGGAGACAGTGATACTCTGAGTAAGGATCAAGCGTTCCGAAATCCTGCGCCTCGGATCACTGACAACTCCTCGCAGGCGTACCTGAGATGGAGCCTTACGCAACAAGCGCACATCCCGCAGGCGGACCCTTCTGGCTCTCTCCAAATCCAAAGGATGATGATGTGATGGCTCGCGCCGCGGAGCCCACGGCGGCTGGCCTGGCTCCGCCCTTCGAGAGCCAGCCGATCCAGGTTAGCCCTGATCTCATGGCTAAGATGGAGTTCTTCATGGACTACTACGAGAACATCATGTGCCCGTCTATGGTTCTCACGGATGGGCCGAACAATCCGTATCGGAGCCACATCTTGCAGCTGGCATCGGGAAGCCGAAGCCTACAGCACGCTATCTGTGCCCTGTCCGCGTGCAATCTGAGGATGAAGAGGAGGCTAAGTCTGGGTCAACATGCTAGGGACTCGGAAATCAACGGCTCTGAGCGACTCGCCGACGTGCAATCGGATCGCCATTCGCTCTCCGAAGAACACCAGCACCGCAACTTGGCCGTTCACCTCCTCAACCAGCAACTCAACGACCCTTCAAAATCCTGCCATGATTCCGTCCTAGCCACCATCCTCCTCCTCTGCCACTACCGGATGGTCGAATCCGGAGTAGCCAAGTTCCAAACCCAATTCGCCGGCGTCAAGAAGATACTAAGCATGCGGGGTTCCGCTCCCTACCAAGGGGCGAGCGACTCCTCGTGGATGGAAGCCATCTTCACCTACTTCGACTCGATATCGGCCAGCATCAACGACCGGGAAGCCCAGCTCGACCACGCCTTCTACGGGCTCCCCTCCGACGCGAACCTGCTACCGCCGGGAATCGAGAATCTGGTGGGGTGCGATAGGGAGCTCTTCAAGACCATCAGTAAGCTCGGTCGTCTCAACCTCCTATCGCAGAGTCGCCGGGTGCAGAACAGCCTGGCGGGGTCGCCGGGTCACGTACGGACCCCGAGCGCCGCATCTCCACTGGGCTCTCCGCTGGGCCGCACTTTCAAGCAGGCCGGCACGCCTATAGGTGACTTCTTCAGCGTCAACCACCACCGGTACGACAGCAACGGCTTCGCCGTGCAGCTCGACGAGGAAGATATACTATCAGCTGGGCTCTGCTCGCCATCGCCGTCGCAATACGACGACCACCACTCGGGCTTCTGGCGCGAATGGAAAGAGGCGCGCGCGGCGCTACAGAGCTGGGAGTTCGACGCGCAACGAGTGGCGGCGTCGCTGCCGAGCCAGGCGACGGCGAGCCAGGTGCGCGACCTACACTCGCTGTCAGAGGCGTTCCGGTACGCGGCGCTTCTGTACACGGAGCGGCTCGCGTCGCCCGGGATGCCGTCGAGCCACAACAAGTTCCGCAACCTCGTTAGCCAGGTAGTATACTACGCGACGTCGCTCGAGGCGGGCAGCAGCGCCGACAAGTTTCTGCTGTGGCCGCTGTTCGTCGCGGGCAGCGAGTGCGTCAATGAGCTACAGCAGAATATCGTCCGCAACAAATGCCGCGAGATCATGTCGCGCAGCGGCTACATGAACAACCTCGCTGCCATCGAAGTCCTCGAGCGCCTCTGGGCCGGCGAGTACTACGAGCCACCCGCAACGCCCAGCGGCAAGCTCAGCGCCCGCCGCGGCTCCTTCAACTGGACCAAGTGCATCGGCGGTCCCGGCGTCGAGGTCGAATGGATCATGTTCTGATTTTACTTCTACTGTCATCACCACCAGCACCACCAATACTACTACCGCCACCGCCACCACCGCTACTACTACTAGGCACCTTAACGCATACTCACATACTCACATACATATCCACCTACTCTACGGAATCGTGTGATGGAATTGGACTATACACAAACTTTGGAGGAATTGGCACCCCCTTCCCTCTCAAAGCAGACGGTGCTTCTGTGTTTGATTTAGCTGTTTCTTCCGCTCATGCTACCGCGTGTTTTTTCTCTTCAATTGCCTATATTGACTTCGGCCCCTTTTGTCTTAATAGTCGATTCCACCAACCCCCCTTCCCACACCACCAATGTACTTGTATATACACCACAGACACCCACATACACACGCACGCACACATACTGATGGCATGTGGATATCCTGGGTTTTATGGTTTTACGGCGGCTACGAATGATATTTTGGATACGGATGTCTTGTTCATGTTTCTTTCTGTCTGTTTTCGATGTTAGGGTGTCATGTGTATCGGAAGACGAGAACACGTCTTATGTTTATCTTGCTACTTAGAGAGAGAGAGAGAGAGAGAGAGGCCGGGGATAGGGAGGGAGGCCGGGGATAGGGAGGGAGGGACGGAGTCAGGGGGAGAGACCTCGAGAGACAGGAAGAGACAGAAAAACCGTCAAGAAAGCGGTGAAAGGGATCGGGTTATGTTTCGTGGATAGGTGGTTTAGCAGCAGATGACTCGCAAGCTACACACATGAAGAGAGACATACATACCCAGCATACAGACAGAAGTCCGGCAATGCAGTTTGAAGAAAAGTGACAAGTTGCGAAGGCTCCCGCCAGACATGCAGGGCGTTCGTCGCCTCTGGTCTCGTGATTCCCGGCACACGCCGCGAGCTGTGCCTCTTTCACACACATGCCCCCCTCTCTCCGTTCTCCATCCCGTCTCATCCCATCCATCCACCCACCCAGCTTGCGTTGGGGTTGCGCATGTGAACACACGCATACGTGACTAGTAGCTACATGCCTACATACCTCCGGCACCCTTCTCCGTCCCTCCCTCTCTCGGTGTTTCTCTCTATCTTTATCTCTCTCTCGCGGGTATATACGCACGCCCATGCAGACCTACGTCTAGGTACAGCAATACGCACGTCCATATCCACATACCTATACGTGCCTACAGACATGCAATCAACTCACCCCGTCTCTCTCTCTCTCGTCTATGCCCCCTTTCTGTAGGTGCAGCCTGCTGTCAGCACGTAAAAGCAGATCTCCCGGCCAACGTCACGCCATCCACTCGCCTCACGTTCGCCCGCACCCCCCGCACATGCCTGCCACGCCCACAGACACACATACCGTGCCGTGCCACGCCATACCATACCATACTTGCCTTAGTGACCGACTGACTGGCATACCTACATACATATACATGCCCAGCTGCACACACGCAACAACGTAGGTCAGTGCAGAGGGCTGCCCGCACGACCGAGCCGAGCCGGGGGCGGGCTGGCTGGCTGGCTCAACCGTGTCATATGTCATATCTTAGGGTTAGACGAGTACGTAGGCGTAGGCATGTAGGAAGGTTGGTAGATAGGTTGGTAGGTAGGTAGGTTGGTAGGCATGTTGTCGACCACCACCCGGAAGCGCCCAGCAGCCGGACGGGAAGGAATCCTTCCCACCCTCCCGCCGTTTTATTAATATTGGTATTAATATTATTTTTTATTTCCCTTGTCCACTCTCCCCCCCCATCATCCCCGCCTGTTCGCCCCCCATCCCTCCCTCCTCTCCACCATCATTAGTAAATACCGTTCCGTAATGGAGGGTCTTCTACACAGCCACACAGGCGCACCCGCACCCGCATTTATACACTTGGGAGCACTTACGAATGCACGCATACATCCGTACGCTTTCATTCCTTTTCTCTCCTTTTCTCTCCTTTTTTTTCCTTTTTTCTTTTCTTTTCGACACCACTCCGGTTCCTCCCTCCCCCCCAAACCCTCAACCTTGCCTGCCATCCCTCAGCAGGTCGGTAGATACCCTGCGGCAGCGCCAGCCACGGGAGCTGCCAGGCGTCTCTGGGCGGACGAGAAGGGAGAGAGTGCTGTGCGGCTGTGTGGACGAGTCAGAGCAGAAAAAAAATCTGAAAACGAAAAAGAAAAAACAGGAAGAAAATGATGAAGAGGATTGGATCGATACCTGGGACAGGCCGCCGGCGTCGTCTTTGTCACGCCCGCCCTCTCGCGCCAACCACGTACGTGCATACCGCACATACCATACAATACGTACGCCAAGTTTTCCTCCACCATCTGGTGGGTATTTATAATAGTTCGTACGATTCGCGCGTGGAATATTCGCGCATGTGATATGCCTCTCGTCCTATATCCATATGTGTGCCTACGCATATAAACATGGACCCCCTTTGACGCCCCTCCCCCCCTCTGTCTCCCCCCTTTTCTCCCCTCGTCCGTCCTTCCCGCCCCCCGTCCCCGGTCCCCCCCCCCCCAGGCAGAGTTTCTATGTGTGTAGAGTAATACTAGTAAGAGAGAGGGAGAGAAGAACGAGAGAGACAGGGAGGGAGGGAGACAGCTCCCCGTGACGCGCAGGGTCCTCCGAACACGGTGCTATTCGCCTGACTGCCCTCTTCGCGCCCCCCCCCCCCCCCCCCCCGTCCCTTCACCCTCCCTCCCACCGTGTTCCTGTCCTGTCCTGTCCTATACGCCTGTCTGCCTGCTGTCTCCCCTGTAAGCCCCCCCGTGAGTAACGCCTCAACCCCCTCCACCCCCCCCAAACACCCACCCACACAAGACGCGCATTTCCCAATCGGGGAGGAAGGATCAAGAAGATTACCATGTACAAAGCATCACCCGCGGCCTCGCCCGCCCCAGCTGGCGCAGCACCTCCAGCAGCAGCAGCACCTCCAGCAGCAGCAGCACCAAGCAGCAGCAGCAGCACCCAGCAGCGGGCTTGACCCGCAACTTATGATTATTGTCGTCTCGATTATATCGCTCACAGAGAGAAACCGGGCAGCCGGCCGCGCTGCATACGCCTACATTACATATTTGTAATGCCCACAGTAGTAAGTAAGGGGTCCCGGCTATTTCTTGTTTTCTTTCCCTTTCCTCCCCCTCTCCCCCGGTAAGCATGTGAGATCTGATGTCAAGGGTCCGTCTTGCAATGTGCGGATGTTGTGTGCGGATGGCCAGGTCCTCACAACCCATTACCTAACGGAATACGTCGGGAATAAAGGAAAAATAAGGGTAGAGGAACGAGCGAGGAACATAGGACGAGGAGAGCGACAGCGTAGTAATTGGACTAGGCAAGGGGAAGGGGAGAAGCGCGCGCGCGAGGAAGTGAGCCCTACCCAAGACGAGCTGCCAGTAGCAACCCAACCCTACTCTATACGGGGTCTCGAGTCCCCGTCTATCGATCTAGCTACGGCTAACTAGGCAGCTGTGCAAGGGTATGTCTACAGATGCCTTCATTATCTAGATACCCTACTACGTACTCTCCTGGCTGGCTGGGTTGGCTGGCCAGGTTCGGCGGGAGAGTTGCAATACACGATTTGCGTACATACATGGGCACACGCACTACTGCACGTACGTACATATCTCCTCGGCAGGGTTTCCTTCTGTCTTTCCTCTTTGCTCGCTAGCTGCCTCGCCGGTTGGGGACGGCGATGGGGTCGTGTCGACGATGGCAGACCAAAGTTTGGTTCGTCCATTCAACGTTCATCCTGCCGCCGCTTGGCAGGCCTAGCACATACGTAAGTAGGCCATCGTCATCCTAATCGTCACCACCGTCAACGATGGCAATAACACCACCACCACTGCTACCCCATTACTGACCACCACCACACCCTATCATGATCGCCGCTGCATAGCTTAATCGTACGGTACGTAGCGCCGCCGCTGCTGGCTCACCTTTGGCCGGTTAGCTTCCTTTTTTCGGTGTGCCTGATTCCACAGGGAGCCAACGGATCTACCGTGCTTGGAAGCGCTAGCGACGGTAGATACCCGGCTCGCATCAGATAGACTCCCGTCAACCCCATTCCAACCCATCCGTTGATCCTCTTCCTATGGTAAGGTCGGCCTTTTTCGACAGCTCTGAACCAGGCGCTGCCTGCGGACTTCATCTGACCAACCGCAACAGCCCGCCCGGCGAACCGAGCCCGCCAACCAGCGGGTTCGGTCTCAGCTTCAGCTGCTGCTAGGCACTGCACTGACCAACCGGCCGCAAAGGAAGTTGACTGACGCGCTTTGGGGGGGGGGGGGGGGGTTGAGAGGGAGGAGGGGGTAGCTAAATCAATCTCGTATATGACTTTAGTAGGATGCAGGTCGCAACGCAGAGGCGCACAACTAAGCGCTGTCATCCTCCCGCGCAGAGCTTCGTCGATACCGGGCTAGACGTTTCGTGGCTGGCTATTGGATCGATCGGATCGAAAGGCTCGATTCGTTGGCACAGACTGACTCCGGAATCCTGGACCTTGCGCTGTCGCGACATCTACACTGAGTGAGAAATTGGGGGGGGGGGCCAACCTGGGCGGAAGGGTCTGCTGGGCGCTACGCCTTCGCGACGGCGACGACGAGGCGAGGAGAAGCAAGCGAGAGGAAGGACACCCCGCGCGCAAAGTACGTAAACGAAGCCGGATGATGGGGTGGTCCCCCCAAATTATGAAATTCTTTTAGCTTCTTCCCTCTGTTCTGCGTACCTTCTAGCGAGGCCACCAGATCTACCAGCCAGGGGTCTGCTTTGGGGCGGGCGCCGTGATTCGAGACTCGAACCGAGGGATGATAGCGCTCTATCGGCCTTCATTCCACATCTATAACCAAGATGCGTCCATGCCCTGCGACGCTACGCGCAGGTGGCCGGCCATTGCATTGGAGCGGCGGGCTTGGCGGCATCGGCGGGTTCCAGAAGCTCATACCGCTGCCGATTGGCCCTACTAGAGTCCCTGGCATTGCCCGGGCTATCTGGACAGTCGGCGATCGATCAGAGCCTTGGTGGGGTTGGAGTAACTCGCAGACTCATAGTCGATGGCCGGGGGTGGCCCTGCGACCCAATGAGGGGATAGGACTCGACGATTCTTTCGTATCCAGGCAGGGAAGTAGAGCACACCTGCGCAACGTACGCATGCGTAGTATCGAATCAGTAGCACCTAGTCAGGGCTGAAGACTCCATTGGCAGTTCAGTAACAGCGCCGCGTAGGAATACATACCTACCTACCTCCACGCATGCGACGCGATCCCTCGTTAGATGTTAGACGAGAGCTGCACAGCCTCCCTCGCCCACGGCAGGTGGATGTGCCTCAAGATAGTGGCGATCATGAACTTTGATCCGAAGAGCCCGGATGGCGACGATTCAATAGAGGCTTATGCCTTCTAGGGAGGTGAATGTCGAAGACGTCTCACGACATGATCTCGATAGATGCCGCCTCGGCTGCCGAGGACGGCAAAGAAAGCCGGCCTCTGTCGCTTATAGTATCGACCGATCTGGTCGAGCGTGGCCAAGTCGTACGGTACGTCATCTTGCAAGGTGCCGTGCGGATTAGCGAATGCGAAGGAGACCAAGATGAAGGATAGCCTCTCATGCAGGGAGGAGGGAGCAGAGAAGAAGCCGAACAGGCTGACAGGCGGCGCCCAGCTGAGTGGAGAAAGGAGGTGGAGAAGTCACGTGCAGATAATGACAGGTAAACGAAATGTGGTTATCTTATCTTATCACCCACTACGCGATAACAGAAATTTTAGCAGAGTAGAGTTACTAACCCAACTTTCTCTACTAGGTGAGACGCACAGCTTTAGGAACGCGTTACTTACAGTCTTGCGTGCGCCGCGCAAACTCGCGATCACTGGCGAGAACCGATTGCCAGATACTTCCGCTGCCGGAATTCCACACAAGGAAGAGAGAAGAGCCAAAAACGAAACCAATAGAGAGGGAGAGGAAGAACGATGGGCCGGGACCTCCAAAAGCGCAAGCGGCGCTCCTCGCGCGCCGCGATCCGGCAACCCTCGTCGGCTCGGCGGCCAAAGCGGGCGCTGATCCCGCTGGGGAGCAGCATCGTGGCCAAGAACTGGTAACCGCTCCTCTCGCCATCTCTCTCTCTCCCCACTCCCCCCCCTCACCCCTGCCCTCAACCCCCATCCCCCTTCCCGCCAGCTCCGCGCAGCCCGACCCCGTGACCCCGAGCTGACGCGCGCGGCAGGAACAAGAAGGAGACGACGACGCAGAACTACCGGCGGCTGGGGCTCGTGGGGCGGCTGCGGGCGCCGACGGGGGGCGCGGAGCCGGTGCGGCGGGGGGAGGCGGCGGCGGCGGCGGCGCCCGCGGACCCGTTCGCGATCGGCGGGCGGGGCGCGGCGGTGCTCGGGGAGGCGCGCGTGGAGCGGGACGCGGCGGGGCGGATCGTGCGGGTGCTGCGGCCGGGCGCGGGCGCGGGGCACCCGCTGGGCGACGCGCTCGCGGCGCTCGACTCGGACTCGGACGCGGACGCGGGCCCGCGCTCGCACTACCAGCAGCTGACGCGGAGCGCCGTCGACGACGGCGAGGCGGAGCGGGACGGCGTCGCGGCGCAGCTCGAGGCCGAGGCGCGCCGCCCCGCCGCCCGCAAGCCGCGGCCGCAGAGCGCGCGCGAGACCGAGTGGCTGCGCGCGCTCGTCGACCGCCACGGCGACGACGTCGCCGCCATGGCCCGCGACCGCCGCCTCAACCCCATGCAGCAGACGCCCGCGGACCTCGCGCGCCGCCTGCGCAAGATGCGGCAGCAGCAGCAGACGGGTGGCGGCGGCGGCGGGCCGTGAGAGATGATCCGACCTGATAGGCGAAAGAGAATGGGAGAGGGAGCAGGAACACAGAGCGCAGGGGGAGGGGGGAGAGGTGCTTGCGCCTCGCCGCGCGCGCCGATAGTCGTTGGCTCGCGAATTGCGGCGCCTGCCATGGAGCACCGCGTGCAGTATCTGACCCTGCCGTTGTGAGCAAGGCGGCGATGATAGCGAAGGCGGCGACTACGACGGGAGTAGGACGTGGAGGCTTCCATCCGCCTGACTGTCTCGACCCTGATGCCCTAGAGCACATGTGGGCAGGTAGGCGTTGCGCCTGGCAGAACCGGCCGTCGGATTTCTAGGAAGAGCATGGGCTATCCAAACCTGCACGGGATTGTCTGTGTAAAGTGTGGTCTTCTGCTCGTCCATAAGTGGACTCATGTACGCATCATCGCACGGCGTTACGGGGGGGCGAGGGTTTCAACAAGCTAAGCAGGTTGTGTAGCTAACTAACTAGCTATCAATTGCCTACCTAGCTCTCAGGAGGTAAAACAAAAACGTCGTGGCATTTCGTACAGTGGCGGAGTGGCCATCAAAATGCTGGATATACGTGAAAAGCTTCGTTAAGAAACGTTCGTCTTAGTTGGAAACGAGGATACGAACCCTCGATGATGCGTAAATTGAAGCTGGAAAAACCAAACCAACAATCTCACAGAGAGCCAACCAGAGGCCAAACCAACGCTAAGAGAAAAAAATAGGAGAAGGGAGTGATTAAACCTTCGGACACGATATGTAGGGTTTGTGTTTCTTCATGCCGTGCCATGCCGGTATACTAAACTTTTTCAAAACACGAGCCTGCTGTTGCAACAAATCGGATACTGCCTATCCTGGTATATCCACACATGTATGTATATCTCTCTTCCTCTCTCGCGGAGCTTCCATATGGAGGCGAGTATGTAAAGTTGTTTGTCCGGAACACCGAGTACCGCTCATAACGATTCCCATTTTCTCTTCCTTCTCTCTCCTCCTCCTCCTGTATGGGTGACCTGCCACCCTGGAAATATTCCCACCGTAGCGATTGCCTTGTCTTCATACATCTGTGTTGCGTGACCGAGATCCCCGAGTGGGTTTTACTAAAACCCTTTCCCTCCTCGCCCCTCGTAGGCCCTTGACTATCACTATTTTTACCAACTGCGGGTGCCGGGGGCTGCAGTTACTCCTTAAAAAACCAACACGGACGCCAAGATCTTGACCATTACACCAACGGGTGAGGGAACGGATGGGGGAAAATAAAAGCAGAACGTTCCTTGATCGGCCTCCTTAGTGCAAGGTGCGATCGTAGTTCGCGCTAGGGAATTTGACTGGGCCGTTGTCGTTGAAATCCTCAGCTGCAGGGGGAGCATAGATGTGTGGCCGTGAGCTCTGGGAGCCGTACGGGTCGCCGTAGACGTCGCTGTGGGGCGACGAGCTGTGCGTCCGGTAGGCCTGGTCGAACGGATTCTCGAGCGGGGCCGGCGAGACGCTGTGGGGTCGGTACGAGGTGTCGTTGTTGAAATGGTTGCCGAAAGAGTCTGGGTCATAGGGGGCGTTGGTGCTGCCGAGGTGGTCGTCGCGACGGTCATCACGGTGATCGTCGTTGTGGTCGTCCATGTTAACGGGAGCGTAGGCCTCCTCGTCGTGCGGCGCCATCGAGAAGGCCGCCTTGTCGGGGTCGATGTTCTGGTTGAGCCCCATGTTCTCGTAGCCGGGGAGGCTGTCTGTGCGCTGGTAGTACCGCAGCGTGTAGACGCTGACGGCCGTCGTCGCCACCCAAGCGAGGCTATTGTCAAGATAAGAGAGTTAGCATGACGCCTATACTATAGAGAAGCAAGTAGGGCATAAAGGGAAGGGGCGCGAGGCAAAGCAAGGCAGTTCCGTACAGTTCGAAGAAGGCGATTCCGACGATGGCCTTGCTGATGTTGCAAGCCGTACCGCACGAGTTGGCGGTGTTATAGGCTGCCTGGCTGGCGAAGGCGGAGAGCCAGAAGATGGCGAAGACGGTGTCGAAAACGACCATGACGTGGGCGTTAGCAATTTTCCGGGTGCGCTCGAATCGCGGCGCCATGCCTAGGTAGAGCCAGGCCGGGATGGACAAGAAACACTATTGACGAGACGACTGGTAAGCACGTGCACTCTTTTCAGGGCCAGCTAGGCCGGTCTCTTATATCAAACATTATAGCATACGGGATGCACATGCATGCTGACGTAGGTAGGTGCCGAATAGGAGAGAGATGGAGAGCGGGAGAGCGTCGCGCCGGGGGGGGGGCTACGTACCAGTCCGAATGGCCAGCCATTGTTTCCGTTGATTACAGATCCGTCTGCTCGGAAGAGCACAATCTCAAGGATGAATATTACCAGAGCGAGGACGATCTGGAAGATGTGGAGGCCGAGTTTGGTGTTGGGGACCTTGTCCGGGTTGACGTCCAACTTTTCGAATAGCGCCATTTCGTCTGATGGCTACGCCCTGCGACGCGACAAGGTCACAGGTTAACGTCGGGACGGGACACGGGGAGGGAAGACGGCAGAGGCGAAGAACAGGTTTACGTGGCGAGCGAGCGAGCGACTCGGGCGGACGTTATAAGGGTGATGTCGTACCTCCAAGTAAGCGCGCGGAGGCGGCGAGGGAGAAACAGCCAAGCCGGCTGGGTCGTAATCCTAGGGGCGGCCTGCGGCTGAGATAATATCCAAGTAGCAGGGTGACGGAGTCTCGCGAGGTGTCCACTGGGAGCTAGGTCTCGTCTTCGCTGGGTAGACAGCTGCTAGGGCTGGTCGGGGCGGCTCGCCTACAGGTCTGATTCTCGTATCGGATCGTCCTCGTTTTAGACGTCGAGGTAGAAGAAGACGGGGCGAGATATCAGGAGTCCGGGTGAGACTCGGGAGACTGGATAGGCAAGGAGGTGATGCTGGGGTTCGGGCTGGGTTCAGGACGGAGATCAGATGTTTTTGTTTTGGGTTGTCCCAGGTCGGAGTGGGTTGGATTGTTGTTTTGTTTTTTGGGCTTTTTCTTTGGCCCGAGGTTTTTGTAGTGGCTTGCCAACGCCTTTTGGGGGGGGGAGGGGGATGGTCTCGTCGTTTTGACTGGCCTGCCTCGAGCTGGTGGATGGGAATGGGTAGAGAACGCGCGTAATGTAATCAGACCGGAGACGGGGCGGAGACTCGAGGCGTTGCTATTTCAAGCTCAGCCCCCGCTGGGATCCGTCCAATTGTGGCTGCTGTCGTCCCCTTCACTTACTTAGGTACCTTTATCTACGCAACGCCCGTTGTGCAAAGCCATCTATCATCCTAAGTACCCGGGCTCTGCGTGGCGCCGGCGAACCAGCGAACACGCCGCTACCAGCTTGGCCACGCTCTCGGTGTCATCTGCCAGGCTGCTTCGCCGTAACAGACCTGGCCAGTCCGAGACGGGTACAAGGGCAACCCGTGACGTACACGTATATACGTGACGAGTCCGCCACAGTGGAAAGGTACTCAAAGAGGTACCCACCTTAGGTAGGTACCTACTAGACTCGTATAGCACACCTCGACGCCCTAACAATTGAATGCACCGCGGAACATAGAAACAATAGAAATGACAGATCACCTCAAGGGCTGGCTCTTAGCTTAGAGGTACCTACCTCTTACCTAGAGGCACCCAATACCTAGGTACCTAGGGACCACCTCGATGTTTCTCTGACACGGCCCTAGATACCTATTGTATAAGTGCCGTTGTCGGCACCTGGTATGCCGAAATGCCTTGCATACGTGCCTCTATAAAGGTCTCTTGGCTGTAACGCTTCCATGCTGTTCAGGTTCTTCGCCAGCCCAGTTCCGTGGAGCCTAGCAGTGGCGGTGTTTCCGTTGTCGTGTCTATCGTAATCCCCCCCACTCCCGCCATAAGAGGCCGTGTCCTTTCTCCCGCTCTCTGGCACACTCGCTTCCGCGATCCATTGCGTCGTCTCTCCTCGAATCAAATCACTATCCCCTACCCTCAAGTCTCCCCATTGGGACGCTGTCGGAGGAACGGTTTATCCCAGGCGATGCGCGATCTAGGGGCCTTGGCACCACTGCGGCGATACGCATGGGACCGGCACCTTTTCGGAGGGCGGGCAGAGTTAGCGGGCCTAGGTCCTCCTGCCAGCAGCCGAGGCGTCGGGTCCGACCACAGCGACGATAGACGGGACGGAGTCGGATGGCTGAAGAACAATGGCCAGATCGGGTAGGTGAACGGCGCCGCGGGACCACTGCCGGCCGCGTCCGAATACGACGGCAGTCAGATGCTAGTAGCCATGGAGTAGGTATGTACCCAGGCGGTTGCTCTACTTGCTAGTAGAGCTGTTGCTGCTGTCTCCCTATCGAATTAAAATGCATTCCTAGGAAGAGAAAAGACTTAGGAGCTGCCCCGGTTCTGGTTGCTCGTGTTACGAATCGGTTGTCGAGAATAGATACCTACCTACACGATCTCATCTAAGCTAGGTAGGTAACTTGACCAATCCTTCTCTGAGGTGCCTGAGCCGGACGCCGACTACCGTAGGTGCCTACAGGTAGTAGTAAGGACCCTAAGCCAGAGCTACCTTAGGTGCCGAAGGTCCCTAAGCGCTGCCGATTAGCGACGCGCAAGGCACGTGCGTTGGTGGCCCGCTTATCTGCTAGCACGCACGAAGCGAGTCTAGTCCCCGGGACGCCAATCCCGATCTCGCCTCATTATCAGGCACGCCATCATCACTTAATCCTCTCCTACAGAGGTAATGCCGACACTCAGGGTTCTCACATCCAGCCATCTTGCCAATTTCCCTCCCTAAAATGTAACAACAGCCCTGGTAGCGGCGGCGGCGATACACGACACTGCAGCATACGCTCTCTCTCTCTCTCTTCAAGAAAAAGGACTACGGCATAACTTAGCTGCACCGGCTGGGAGGCGGATTCGGTCTCCGAGTGACGAGGAAGAAGCTGCTGACATGGCCGAGGACGACGACATCTCCGCTCACGGTATCCAACCGGCGGTAGCGAATGGCAGCCGCCAAGACCAGAACGACGAAACAACACCACTGCTGGGCGACCAGAACAAGAAACCCCTCCAATCCGACCAGACCTCGCTGGCCAGCAACGACGAGGAGCAGATCGTTATCGTCGAGGAGGTGACAGGGTTCAAATTGTGGCTCATACTGTGTACCGGCTGGGTTGGCGTCTTCCTAGGCTCTATAGACTCCACCATTATCGCCACGCTGTCGGCCCCCATTTCTAGCGAGTTTCGCTCCTTGAGTCTGCTGTCCTGGCTCGCCACCGCCTACCTCATCTCCAATGCCGCCTGCCAGCCCATCTCCGGCCGCCTGACCGATATCTTTGGCCGGGGCCCCGGTCTTGTCTTCAGCAACGCCTTTTTCGCCGCCGGGAATCTCATCTGCGGTCTCGCTCAGGACCAGAATGTCATGCTCCTCGGTCGCGTCGTCGCCGGGATCGGCGGTGGCGGGCTCATGTCCATCACTACCTTCCTCGCCACCGACCTCGTCCCTCTGCGGAACAGAGGTGTCATCCAGGGTATCGGCAATATCTGTTACGGAGCTGGGGCTATGCTCGGCGGCATTTTTGGAGGTTTGGTGAACGACAAGTCGACTTGGGGTTGGCGCTTGGCATTTCTCGTCCAGGTTCCTCCCGTCTTGATCTCGGCATGCTTGGTCGCATATCTTGTTCGCATACCGCCCAAGGTGTCTGAGAAGTCGTACCTGGCCCGCATCGACTTCACCGGAGCCTTCTCTCTCATTGTTTTCCTCGTCTTGCTACTTCTCGGCCTGAATACCGGTGGCAACCTGGTTCCGTGGACCCACCCCCTACCGCTGACGACACTGCCGCTATCCCTCGTAGCTTTTATCGCTTTCATCATCTGGGAGGCTCGCGCCAAGCAACCCGTCATTCCTGTCCGGCTTCTCCTACACCGGACGGTCTTTAATGCCTGCATGACCAACCTGCTCTGTTCTATGGTCAGCATGATGGCGCTCTTCTATGCTCCCCTGTACATGCAGTCGCGTGGGCGCTCGGCCACAGAGTCTGGCCTCGTAATTCTCTTCTCCCCCATTGGTATCTGCGTGTGCTCACTCGGGAGCGGGATCATCATGAAGAAAACCGGGCGTTATGGTACGTTTTGGCAGGTCCTAATTCCGAACTCTCGGGCTTCCGATCTGGCCCTTTTCAAGACCCCCCCGTCTATGGCTCTTGATATATACTAACTTGAGAGTAGTAAGTGGGTTGCACACATGGGTTTCGTTTAACTATACATAACCCTTCTAGGGACCCCATGCACCCAGATGGTGCTGCATCGCAACACCCAACACCAGGCTTGGAGGCATTCCGTTTGTCACAAGGCTAATTGCTCTATAGTTGGGTCTAGGCATACTATCCGTATCAATGATCGTAGTCTCCACGATAATCCTAACGACCCTGGACGAAAACTCTCCAGACTGGCCATTGATGATCGCGTTCTTTCTCCTTGGCGCCGGCCATGGTGCCATGCTTACCATCACGCTCCTAGCCTGCCTCGCCGCTGTCGATCACACCCACCAAGCCACTGTGACATCTGCCACGTACGCGTTTCGGTCCGTGGGCGGCACAGTGGGCATTACAATCGCGTCGGCCATATACCAGAACGTGCTCAAGACGCAGTTATGGGAGCGATTCGGCGATCTGCCCGGGGCCGCAGAGGAGATCAAGAGGATCAGGGACGACTTGAACGAGCTTAAGCATCTCCCCGAAGGCTGGTACGACGGCGTTATCTCTTCGTTCATGGACGCCTTTCAGAGCGTGTGGCTCGCCATGTTGGGGTTGGCACTACTGGCCCTGGTCAGCGTGTCCCTAATGAAGCAACACAGGTTGCACTCGACTCTGTCGCGCAACGAGGAGAACTAAATACGACACAGAGAGACGAATTTTGCCGAAACAGGTACGGCGAAAAGCGGATTGTCTAGGATAAAAGTTGTTGCCTCGAAATTGTGTTAGACGGAAAAAAAAAAAACTAGAACCTACCTACAAGCAAACTGCAAATTAACAGAAGGGGAGACCAAGAATATATATTTCGACTCGTAATGTGTTTCCGTGCCCCTCTGTCTATAGGTCCAATCGGTCTTCCTGTTTGTGATCGGCGACTTCGTATTGAGATGTATAAATATCCCGAGTACAAGGCGCGCCGCGAGGGGATGAGATGGGGGCGATTCACCAACCGCTACGCGGACGAGACCAAGATTAACGTATCTGGAATTACGTTTACTTGGTAGGGGAATACGTTACGCGGAACTAATTAACAGGTGTGAAGGTTAAAATTTAGTTCTATAAAACGTTGGCGATAATCTAAGAACAATTCCTCTTTTTTTATATTCACGGGTATGCTTCGTACCGTAGCCGGAAGGGCCTGTAATACCTTGCTATAATTCGTATAACGTATTTTTATATTATTCGCCGATCGTCTGAACATGGCAGCTTATGGCGTTCAGATCGACCATAGTTGTATTGCTATAACGATTATCGTTAAGTACGATGCCGATATAGATGTTCACGTCGGGCATAAAAGCGAGGACTCGATGCCTACGGCCCACAGCTTGGAGAGCGTGCAGTACAATCCAGGGTAACGGAACCTGTTTTAACTTGCTAGGGCAGGACGAAAGGCGGCTTCTCGGGACAGATCGTCCTGTTACCCCATGGGCATAGTGCACACGCCGCCAGGATTCGGCCCTCCACAAAGGCGTTCTCTCCGTGCCGCGTGGTCTCATACGGAAAGTCAACGAAAACGGCTTTACCTTGTTTGTTGCGAGAAGGCGGACAAGAAGATACCTACCATTTACACTTGACTTGACCTGGAAGCCATCGACGTAGCCGTTCTGAAACAGGCCGGGGCGTACCAGCAACATGAGGCGTAGCAATCCTCGAAGCCTATATACAGCGCTGGTGACAGCTGTAGCCCACGAAACTGGGAGCTATAAAGCGCTATAATTTTAGCAGCTACAGACCAAAGATTTTCCCTCGCCGATAAGTACGAGTAGCGAAGAACAACGGGAGCCAACCGGTAGCCATGGACTTCCCTCTACGAAAGTGAGCTTAAGCGTATCACAGTCTCTGGTCTCGCCGTAGTCGGATGATACCTTCGTGATCGAATCTGTCTAGGTGTGACAAGGGGATATGCTTGGAATAGGTTTAATTTAACTAATAATTCTATAGGGGGTTTCTTCGGTCCTTATCCTCTTCCAAGTTCTACGTTCCCTTCTCGTCCTAATATAACCCGGAAGTACCTTTATATTTTTATACCTTTATACCTTAATACCGAAGCTATCCGAAGCTTATCTAGGACTTTCCTTAGTAAGTCGCCGAGGTAACGGCTTTAATATCCGATATTATCCTCTTAACCTTTATAGCTTAATTTATTAGCGTAAGGTTTCATTTCCGTATAATATTATTTCCCTTTTTCGGAGGAGCTCGTTCTTAAGCGTAATACCTAGGCCCGATAGTTAATAGGTTTATTAAGGTTTTATAGGTAGAATAATTTAACGGCTTCCTTCGTTCCTTCGGTAGTAAAGTATTCTTACGGTTCCTAAGTCTAGTAGCGCTTAGCCGGCTAGCCTTACTACTTTACTAAGTACTTAATAACTTTTCCGGTCCTTACGGAATCTAGTACCTTATTTACCTCGTAGTTTTCTACCTCGATCGGGGCTACTTTCCGTAAGACCTAGTTAAGGTTAGGTAATTCCTAATTACTAGCGCGGTAGGATTCGATAAAGGATACGTAAAAGGTACTATAAATACGCTAGTCCTTCGGGAGTATTAAAATTACGGCGGTAAGGGAAACGACCTTTTAGATCTTAAAGAAACCGAATATCTTCTTATCTATCTTCTTTATAAGGCGTTTAGTTTTAATGTTACGGGCATTTAATATAACGAGCTATCCGACTTTTAAAGAAGGTTCCTTCTTTCGGTATTTATTTACTTATCTTTTTATCCGCTACCGTATTTTTTTTAAATATTACTTAGCTTCGTTATATATCCGAGTTATTTAATAAATATAAAAGTTACTTCTTAAATTCTTAGGAGTACTTAAGGAAGGGTTATATATTATTAAGTATTACTTATAATTAACGTAAAAGGGTAATATACCGGTAGTTATTAAAGCGGTATTATTATAGGTAAATTCGGTAGTAAGTAATAAGCTTTCCTAGTCGCTTATTTCGTAATTTACGAAAGCGCGTAAGTATACTTTTAAGATTTAATTAAGTTTTTCCGTTTATTTATCCGTTTAAGGGTAAAAGGCGGTACTTATTCTAGGCTTAACGCCGAGGAGCTTTAGGACGTTCTTTTATATATAGGAGGTAAATCGCGAGTTTCGGTCGGAAATAATATCTAAAGAAATCCTATATAGCCGCTAATAACTACGTATAAAGATAGGAATTAAGTCTTCGGCCTTTTTACCGTTCTTTTTTAGCGGGATAAAGTACGTTATTTTAATAAAAGGATTTATAATAACCTAGATAGAATTATAGCCGTTAGATATTAATAAGTCCGTAATAAAGTCTATCGCGATCGTTTGCTATAGTCGATAATATAGTTCCATAAGCTATAGTAATCCGAACGGGATATATCGGGATACCTTATTTTATTAATACTCGCGGTATTCTCTAACGAATTCCCTAATTATTACTTCTAGGTTAAGCTATTAAAAATTACGAGTAATAAGTTCTATGGTTTTATTTATACTTATATACTTCGCTACTTTAGTATCGTATTCCGATTTAATTACTTTTTATTATAGGTCCTTAGGTATTTAGAAACGGTTTCGCCGATAAAAAAGGCCTTCTTAGAGCTTTATTTCCTTACCGAGTAGTTTAATTAATTAGGCCTAGTACTCCGGGTTTTATATAGCTACCGTTTTAACTTATTTAACGAACTTTAGGGTTTAAGCGGATATTAGGATGCTATTTAATCGTACGTTAAAGAGTATTACCGTAGGTAAGCCTAAATTTTTTTTAAAAAATGCTTTTCCTATAAGACCGTCGCTATCGGCTAGTCCTTAGCTTCCCCTTTTTTAAGGCGATATTATAATAATTTAAATAGAATATCGGCCTTTTTATTTTACTTTTTTAGGCGATAATATATTATAAAGTAATACGAGGAAAGCTATTAAACCTAGCGGGTTTAGCGTCGATTTAATACTTTTACCGTAATAAAGTACGTTAGGTTTTAATAATCGGAATATACTTTTATTTAATGCTAAGTACCTTCGAGATAATATCGCTACTTCTCGAATGCGTCGACGATTATTAATAATTCTTTATTATATATCTTATAATTTATCTCCGCTAGGATAAGTCGTCGTAAGAAAAAGGTTATTAATCTTAGTCTCTCTTTATTATCCTTCTATAAAAGGACCGCGGAAATAACGAAATCTAAGGCGTTAGCTTCGATAATTAGGACTTAGTTAAGGTCGAAATATATAAGTACCGGGGCCTTCGTAAAGGTTTCTTTTAATTCCTAGAAGGCCTTCTTTATCTCGATTTCCTATTTCCATAGCTTACGGTCTTTTTTATTAGCGCTAGTAATTAGCCTAACTATACCCGAGAAATTACGTATAAATTTACGGTAAAAGTTAACGAACCTAATAAAGCTTTATAAGTCTTTAAGTATAGCTAGGATACGTTAGTTAAGGATAGCTTTTACTTTATTTTTAGATATGGTAATACCTTTAGGGCTTATATTATATCCTAAGAATTTAACTTCTTACGTTCGCTAGGTATATTTCTTTAGGGCTACCGCTAAATGGTTTTCTATAAGCCGCTTTAAGACTTCTTTAATTAATTTATTATATTCCTTTAGCGTATTAATATAAATTAAGATATTATCTAAGTAAGCGATAACCCCGGCGTCTAGGAGGTCGCGGAAGATATGGTTTATTATAGCTTAAAAGGTAGCGGGAGCGTTAATTAATCCTATGGATATAACTATATACTCGTATAGCCCGTAGCGCGTTCTAAAGGCGGTTTTCTATTTATCGCCTTCCTTAATCCGTACTATATAGAACCTAGATTTTAGATTAATCTTAGTAAACTACCGCGCCGTTTAGAATAGGTTCTATAGTTTATTAATTAACGGAATCGGATATCGGACGGGTATTATAATTTTATTTAGCCCCCGGTAGTCCGCTATCGGTCTTAGGGCGCCCGGGTTCTTTTTATTTATAAATATTATAAATACGCCGTAAGGGGCCTTGGATTTTTAGATTCTTCCTATGGTTATTATTTCGTCGAACTAAGGTTTTAAAGCGTTTAATTATCGTCCGCTTATAGTATATAAAGGTCCCTACGGGGAGGTAATTCCCGGTCGGAGCTTAATAATATGGTCCTACGGTTACCGATTAGGGAATCGTTATTCGGCTTCTTTAATTATAATAGGAACGAAGTCGCGAAATTATTCCGGTATTTATATTAGAGCCTCTACTTTTCGTACTATCCCTATACGAGCTAGCCGTAGGCGATAATTCTAGCATCGTAACGAGTTAAAGTATAGCCGTTCGTTTATAAATAATCCTTAAGGGAAGTATTCCTTTATTTATTACTAGGGTAGGATAATATCGACCTCTTCGTTTAATTTACTAACTTCCTAAGCGAAGCGGTAAATATATTCGTAGCTATGGAGCTTTATTTTATTTATATATTAAAGTCCTCCTAACGAGATTTCCGAGCCGTCGAATCTTACTAAGGTCCTAGCCCTGGAGCGTTAGTTAATAAGAAGGCGTAATTATTCGACTTTAGCGGCGTTAATTAAGGGTATTTTACTACCGGTATCTAGGAGGACTCGTAAGGGGTATTCTTTTCCTTAATATTTTATCTATATCGTATAAATAAGCCGTTTACCTAACCTTAATTCGTTTAAGTTACGCTAAGGGACTCGTAATTTCTTCGCTATTAATACCGCTTCCGTTACTTCTGGCGTTCCGGGCCGTTTAATAGCCGTAATCTTTACGTTATCTTTATCGCCCCTTTTTTCCGTTAACGCTTACGGAAGGGTATTTAAAAATCCCGTTCTTTATCGGAATCGGATAGCTTCATAATACGGGGAAGAATTTCCTCCTATCGTATAATAGTATCGATTCTAGCCCTTTTATTAGGTAGTAACTCGGACTCCTTCCTTCTTCTTTTTCCCGATAAGACTTTCTTAGGTAACGCCGATAAATCCCGTCCTTTTAAGTCCTTTTTTATAAAGTAAGTTAAGGTTTAGTAATTATTCCTTCCGTATCTCTAGTAAGTCTTCTTATCCTTCTTTCGTTAATCGATAACGGCTTAGTTAATCCTAGCTAAAGCTTCCTTATTACCTACCTATCGTAAGTCCTTAGCCGGTACGGGTTTCTTATTATCCTTTCCTTTACGTTCGTTTACCGGTTAGCCTAAACGGGAACGAGTTTTTTTTACGGGTTACCGCTATTACTAATCCGCTTTCGTATATTCTTTTTACGAAGCGGATCCTTCTTTTCTTAAAATCCCTAGGTTAATTATTATATTTTCGTAGATTTAGCCGGCTTCCTTAATTACTTTAAGGAAGGCTTTATCGCTTTCGGGAATGCTATCTAGTTATAAGTAAATTAATTTAGTTATTTCGTTAGGTAAGGTACGGGCGATATAATTCTAGAAGGTAGTTCCGAATTATTAAACGATATCGTTAAGGTTTATAAGCTCGGTAAGGTACTAAAAGATATCTCCTTAATACTTTAGTTCTTATATCTTCTTAAAGTTACGATATCGTTCGGCGGGATCTTTAAACCGTTTTTAAAGTACTTAGGAATATCCCGCTTAAGTATCGACGACTATTAATCTTTCTACTTAGGTTAGCCGTTATTAATACTAAAGTTAGGCCTTTTCGGTAAGTATCGATCTTATTTAATTAATCTTTTAAACGTTCCGGGTAAAGCTTTCTTTATAAGTTTTAAGGTAAGATTTAACCTTAATTTATTATAATCGGAATTTAATTAAGTCCTTACCGTTATAAGCCGTAGGCTTAATAAGGTATATTAAATTAATCGTAACCGTAATATTTCGTCGATTATTTATAGCTTTAGTTTAAGCCTTAATCATACGTTCCTCGGCCGGGTCGAGAGGCTCCTACGGTTCTTTAGGGGCGCCGGGCGGGCGTCGCGGCTTCTACGGGTCCCTAGATTTTAAGTTATCCGAATCGTCGGAATTCCTTAGGTCCCCTAAGGTATTCCGCGGGGTCCGTAGCGGTTACGGTAGTCCTTACCCGGCTTCTTTTAATATAAAGGCGCCTACCGCGGCGTTTTAAAAACGGATTCTTACGCGCGCGGCGATACGTTTAGCCGCGGCGTCCTAAAGTACGCCGTCGGAAATAATTTCCCTTATCCTAGCCTCGCTATTAATATATCTTCCGGTAAACGCTATCGTAATACGGGTACCCGGCGCGGGAATAAGCGTTCTTATCCTTTAGTTAGTTCTTACGATAATAAACTTAATATCCGTTAGCTTATTACTTAATCGTCGTTACTAGTATTCCTTAATTAAATTAGCCGCGTAAGCCTTAAGGTCGTCCTTAATTAGCTAGGTTTTTTCCTTTATAGCTCCGGGGGTAAGGTATTCTTTACTAAGGATTTCGTTAATCTATTTATCTTTCTATATAGCTTAGGAGCTAACGTCCGTTATTAATTTATTATATTCCTCGCGTAGCTAGGTTAAGGCTCGTTAGTTTTATAGTACGGCGTTTCGAAGTTAATTTATTACGGCCGTTCGTATTTTATTTTACCGGGTAAACTTAGCTACGGTTTCCTATACGTTCTAAGCGAAGTAAGTATTTTACTTTACGACCTATTTCTAGAATTCGTAGATCTATATCTTCGTAATTCGGATACCGGTAGCTTATATTACCGTAGCGGTTTAATAAAGCTATCGTAATTATTCGTATTATTCCTTTAAGATCGTATTTTATCGGTATCTTACGTCGACCTAATTAACTAGTATTATTAGGCTTTAATATACCTATCCTATCTACTTATATAAGTTTACGATCTACTACGGAAGATTACGTATAACTACTCCTAAGTTCGCGATTTCCGGAGCATCCGTTATAACTACCTTATATTCCTAGGGTTAATATACGACGAGGAATTTATTAATTAGTTCGGGGGTTAGCTCCGGTTAAGGCGTTAGAGTAATTCGTTCGGCGTCCTTTGCCTTTAATTCCGTTATTACGGCCTTTAATTTATTAATCGTAGCTACCATTTAAGCTATCTCCGCTATAAAGATCGGCGCTACCTCCGAAGCGGCTAATCGCGGAAGTAGGAAAGCCTACGGCTCTAGTTCTTCCGTAAAAGGTCGAGGTTAATCCGGTAATAATAGTACCGGGGTAGCGGCTTTAGCGTATAACGCCGGCTTAAGCGTAGGCTTTTCTTATTATTAACTTATAGTAAAGTTATAAGGGTAAGAGTAATATAAAATTATTTATAATAAAGAAATATACTTAAAATAGATTTAATTTAACTAATAATTCTATAGGAAATCTCTTCGGTTCTTATTCTCTTTTAAATTTTACGTTCCCTTTTCGTCTTAATATAACCCGGAAGTACCTTTATACTTTTATACCTTTATACCTTAATACCGAAGCTATCCGAAGCTTATCTAGGACTTTCCTTAGTAGGTCGCCGAGGTAACGGCCTTAATACCCGATATTATCCTCCTAACCTTTATGGCCTGATTTATTAGCGCAGGGTTCCATCCCCGTGTGACACTAGGCAAGAAGGATGATTATTACTACAAAGGCAAGCCGTTTATTGGCTCGATGTCTTCCTCTCGACGGCCACGCTGGGGATTATACTGACGCTAGGCTAAGGGTTGCTTGCTGAACTCCTGGTCGCCTCGAATAGCGTGAACTACGACTCCAGGCTAATTTCCAAAATCTTTAGCACGTTACCGGCTTCCGTGCCTTAGACCAGTAAAAGCTTTTCCTCGCAACATTAAAAAGGACTCGCATCACAGCTCTCGCTCTCACCGCTTTCGAAGATAATAAGGCCTTTGCCAAACGTCGGTATCGCTTCGCTAAGCCAGTGGAACGGCACGGTAATACGCGCCCTAGAGGCGTCTAGGGAGCGCTAAAGAGGTGGTAGGAAGTGTTGAGGAGGTAATGCCGGGGCGGCAGGGCATAGGCGAGCCGCGTCGACGGTTAACTAGCTCTCTCGGATTATGATTACTGTAAGACTATATTTAATCTTAGATTTATTTCGCGTAAAGCCTTAAGCTATTAATAAATTCGATAAATTATCTTTATACCTACGTTGTAAAGACGGGTTTGAAGTACTTAGGCAATCTTAGTAAGCGCTGATAAACTCCTCTGAAGAGTTTCCACTTTCTAACAGAGACTATACAGCATCGTTCCTGTGCGTAGCGGCTATTACCGTGATAAGACCTGGATAGTGAATTATAATATCCACTAGCTCTATGATTAATCATCATGCCCTTGTACGCCCTTTCTAATATATGTCGACATTATATTACGGCTTACCATTACAACCTTATTACGTAGATCTAGGAAGGAGTTACGCGTAGTGCGAGAGCGCTCGCGAGGAGCCATCTAACGAGTAACTGGAAGAGGAGCAAAAGGAGAAAAAAGGACTTGTTCTTTCCAAGAACTAGCTGAAGGAATGGAAGCAATAGGATCGTATATATAGGAGCTCCTGTTGCTAAGGTAAGCAACGAAGAGGCGCAGCTAAGGAGCAACCTCTACGTGACAAACCTTCTTAGTTTATATATTTATTCAGATAAGTCGTATTATTAAATTAGCCCGATTTAGGCGCCGTTATTCTTATTATCCCGAGCTGCGTAATAATTAATTCGGTTCGATTATCGTACCTCTTTACGTTTAGCGGTAAGGGTAAGAGGATCGAGTACATATCTTACGGAGCCTCGAAGGCGGTGCGGAGCTTGTCCATAGGAGGTCTACGCGTAGCCCGACAAAGAGGCCGGTCAGTGGTTGACTAGCGTAAGTCGTGTGCCGGTGGGTATAATCCCGTTCACCGGATTGACTCATCGACCCTTTACTGATAGGGATAGCTAATGATATCTTGAGGCCTTAATTTAATATTGTTACTTTATACGAGGTTCGGGGCCAGAATCAAATCCCGTGGCATGGAACCCTGTAATTATTAGCTCTAAGGCAGCAGCGCTCTCCTTACAATTATCGTCGCAGGCTTGTCACTTTAAGCCCCGACGCCTCGCAGCCAAAATCACAACTGACGGCTCTTATGCCCTGCCTGTCCAAATTCCCAATTCTGAACTGGGGACCCTCCCCATCGCCAGGCCCGGCGCCCGAAACGACGTTGACAGCAAACCCGAGTGCCTCGCCAAACCTCAACTTTTCGCCCTGCTTCCTTCCTGCCTCCGTGTCAGGAGGGAATCAGCTCACCGGGTTCGAATATAGCCGATAATCTTGCGGGAAAGAACAACCCCTTAGTCGACCTGATTTTGGATGTGCTCGCGTTTACAAAGGACCTGCTTGAAGCATTCAACTCTAGCATGTCCCTCATATCCTATCTATGAATATCCTCTCACGCAATATGAAATGGTCTTCTCGGACTAAGAATTTACCATCCGTGCTCCTTAGCCATAATCTAGGCATTCTGAAGATAACTTTAACACAAATTTGATAGTGGGCAAGGGTGAACAGCAACACGCCCTCTCTTCTCTGTTCAAGCACTACGCTGTATTTCGAAAGGCCTGCGATCGCCATCTAGCACCTGCGGACTGTGTGGTCTTGTCTACGCACACAGTCAGTTCTGCTAAGAACGTCGACGAAATCGAAGTCGATGATGATGACGATAGTGTCGACGATGTTAACGATTTGGACGAAGCAGACGAAACCATAGGAAATTGTAGGCGCCCAGTCGTGCCTGTAGTCGACGGCCGAATTGACCTGAAGCATGACGCCTATTGCCTCTGCACATACTTCAGAAGTCGATGGTACATGCGCAAAGATCAAACGTCATCACTCGTGGGAGCACCCAAGGTCTCGTGGGGCTCCTATGATCTGCACTACGATGAAAGCAGCAAGTTAATCCCCGCACAGGCATGGGCAGGGTGCCAGGCTCTTTTCCCCCACTACACAAGTTAACCTCGTCCTACTTGCTCCTATATAGGGTCGTAGCAACTTTTGAAAGGTTGCCTACGATGGCTTACGACTCCCATAAGCAGTGCTTGAGAGTTTAGCTGAGAAAGGAGGCTGACCCGACCTGTGTGCTCACCATTGAGGATTCTAAGGCCATGGCTTCGGTGAGTTTCGAAGGCAATCGTGCGTCTAACGTTGCAGTACTACAGTTGCTTGATTGGCTAATTGGCGATAACGTTCCTCATAGTTATGATCACATACTTTACGGCAGTATTGCCTAGGGAGTTAGTGATGGTAGATGCTGGATAAGTTTGTGATAGAGTGCATTAGAATTGGGAAGGCATCACAGCCCGGCGACACTAGCCCCAGTCTTCTCCTACGTTGCTAGCCTAACAACTTTGCTGTCAATAGTAATTAGGATAACTGCCTTGCCCTCTTCTAGCCCGTCCTCCTCTGGCCGATCGATAGTAACCCTCATCCTGATCTTTCGGTTACGCACCGTTTACACGGGAACCTATGTTCCCGGGCGTTGGTTTCAATACAACAATGCCATATCAGTTCGCCAAGACCTGTTATGTCGCTGCAGAGACGCAAAATCACATACATCTCCAACCAGCAAATCATGCTCCAGCGATTCAGCCGTATCAGCGGCCCACGCCGCGGAACAGATGCAGGCATAATTGGCTTGGACATTATACAGGCGCCAACTCTGTAATTTTGTTGGTACCTAACTCATACAAACTAGGCACCCCACACAACATGGTAGGTATGAAAGCAGGCCGCCGAGGACCAATCACTTGTAGTCGCCCTCACGAACAAGGAGTATCAGAAGGCCAGAAAGTCCCAACCTGCTCCTCTTCCCCCCCATCGAAAACGAAGATGACTACAAAGTCATCGAGCAGCGGCCCGAGGAGCAGCCTACTTATCAGCCTACGCCAGGTCCATCACCTGAGCCTAGGCATGGCAAGACGTCGTCCTCGCATTCGGCCGTGTCCTCACCGCCACCCGCTGTGGGCTTTGCTGCCGCGGCCATAAGCACAAGACCCCGTCGTCGCAGTCATCGAGGTCTCATGAGAGACCGGACTACTAGCAGGTTGACTATCTCACCGGCCGCCACTTTCACGTCCATAGAGGCGGAGTAGTCACCTGGAGAGACTGGAGGGAACGGCGCGTATATCCAGTGCCTGAGGATGGCGCCGGGGCGCCAGAGAATGAGCGAGACACGTCGACGGTTGGTTAGCTCTCTGGGGTCAGGATTACTTGGTGCCTATAGGATTATACACACCTAATCCCGGATTTATTCCGCGCAGAGACCCAGGTTAGCGATAAATCAAATCTATTAACCTTGTACCTGAGCCTTAGAGACAGGCCTCGAAGTGCTTAAGCAAGTAGATTAACATCGCATCACCGGGTCTACGATTCGCAGCCCGAATGGCCATGCAGAGGGCGGGGCTATTAGTAGGGCGGGTGGACTTCTGTTGGTCCTCCGCCCTATGGATTCCACAGAGAATCTTACCGTCTCAGCCTCGTCCACTATTTACAAAGTAGTACACGTATGAGGCTCTGTTGCTCACGTCTGGCCGGTGGTGCTGCGGGACGTATATTATACACATGAGTTATCCTGTCTCATTTTGGTCCAACTTCACTGCCGTGACATGAATTCGTGACAGCCGGTTTTTATACCTACCTACCTAGGTATATTCGACAAGGCTGACATCTCCGTGTACGGTCTTGGGATATGGACGAGGCTTATTTGGGCCTTGACGCCTGCAGCGCCGGCCAGCTCGTTCTGTCCAGAGAGGCAACCATACAACTGTGGATGAGGTCTATTATATAAACCAAGCTCTCCCCAGGGCTCCAGTCTATTCCATCAGAATTACCATCACGCTTGTTTGATTCTCTAGCCTGCGGAACACCACTGCACTCCAATATTGCTTTACCAGCCGTTCTTGCGTCGGATATTTTCTCTGCCTTGCGACAGGCCACCCGCCTAAGACTTAGGACACTCGATCTGCGTTCCTCTGCCCTTGAAGTTCAAGGTGAGTCCCCTAAACTGCACGCCAACTGGCATACCTACCTAATACAAACCCGGACTCTAGATGTGCACCATTTGGACCCCGATATACCCTTGCGGTCACAGAGGCACATCGCAAAGACTCGCCTGCGGAAATCCAAACCGTTGCCTGCCGGACTATCGCACTTATGATCGCGAGGGCTGGTGCGGGCGCTGGAGGTGTCACACTCCGCCTTCCTCTGACGAGGACTCCGACTAGTACGATTGCGACGCAGAACTGCGTTACCATGGTTGAACTCGGTCTAGCAATGGAAGTTTGGATCGAGACGAGAGTGTGGCTAGGAATCTTGGCGCCAGCGCCTTTTTTGGATACTTTTCTTGGGAGAATGATGAGACGGCGGAGAAGGACGGTCAGGCGGTTGACTGGGCGCGTTTCACTTGATTTGCTTGCCTTGTTCTAGGGTTGGTTTAAGCTTGGTCACTATGAGTGTTGTGCTTTGGAGTTATGTCACGTAGAGGTTGCTCCTTAGCTGCGCCTCTTCGTTGCTTACCTCAGCAACAGGAGCTCTTATCTATACGCTCCTATTGCTTCCACTCCTTCAGTTATTAGTTTTTAGATAGAACAAGACCTTTTTCTCCTCCCTTCGTTGCTCGTGAGATAGCTCCTCGCATGTGCTCTCGCACCACGCGTAGCTTCTTGGATCTACGTAATAAGTTACTTATAAGGTAAGTACTTGTTAAGATTCAATTCGGCGAGATGGGAAATTGTCGATCTCGCAGTCATTTCTACCACAGTGCTCCAGCCAGTAGCTGCCCACCCAACAAACTGGAGGCCCCCACGGTTCCGGCCAAGCCTTCTCTGGCCACAGACAAACGTAATCCCGCTAGGCTCCAGTCATTAATACCTATTTAAACTACTCGAGGCTCCTCCAAACCCGTTCTTTAAACAACTACTCGAGCCTCCTCTAAGCTTTCACCCAATCGCGCCGCTCCTTTACCGTCACATTTCTCTACTCATAGCCCAAGGCAAAATGCCAGCCAACCTCATCATCCCGCGCTGCGAGCAGAATCCTGTACACCCCAACCACCCTCCTCCGCAGGACAAACCTCTCAGAATCCAGATACTTGGGCTGAACAAAATCATCGACCAACTGTTCGGCGACGGCGCAAAAATGCCATCCGAGGACCGCCCTATAACGTCCACCACTCTCGATTTCGACGAAGTAGGACTGCGATTTGCCAAGATGGCATTCAAGCAGCTCTACGGCCGCGACGTGGACCCAAACACCCCGTCCGACTTCGTCCCGCGATACCAGTACAATACGTTCCACGGAAAAGTCGGCGAATGCCAGCCGTGGGAACATGTGTGCGTCAACCCACTCTCCTTTTTCTGAGTGATTTGCGATTTTAATGTAATAGGATGGATAGGATCGACGGGTATGGCATCACCTTCGATCACCTCGTGAGTCCTGCGGACGATGATGATCCCGAGACACTCATGATAAACGTTTGCGACCCTTCTGATCCCAAAGCTGCCCCATACATCCGGTTGGATCTTGGTCAGTACAATGCCGGTCCGGAGTCGTTTGTGCTGCTTGTTCCACGATGCTGTCAGTTGAGACGTGGAACCACTGATCGCAGGGGGATCAATGGCCAGGTGAGGGAAGCAAGAGAGCATCTACGTCTGCAATCAAGCGGAGAAGCGGCCACGGGAACGGAGTAAGCGTTTGTGTTTAGTAACTTGGTCTGGTGAATACACTGCCGTCTTTGGTCTATTATCTAGTGTACATGTCGCCCTAGCTCAGCTGCCTCCTCGCAACTATAGTATCTCCATAGCTATCAAATTGCCCAAGATGTGAAGGGTTTCCACTTTTCCACAGAGGCTGCGAAGCATTATTCCTGTGTATAGCGGTTACCGCGACAAGGCCTGGACAGCGAACTATGGCGCCCACTAGCTTTACGACCAACTCTCCTACCCTCGTGTGCGCTCCTTTTAGCATACGTCGTGCGATCCGTAACCTGCGACTACGGCTTACGATTACGGCCTCGTTGATTTCCATGTCTACCGGAGGAATAGGGGGGAAAGGCACGGGTGAGGGTGTGATAAGGGGATATGCTTAGAATAGGTTTAATTCAACTAATAATTCTATAGGGGGTCTCTTAGGTCCTTGCTTCTTCTAAGTTCCTACGTCCCCTTTTTATCCTAATATATCTCGGAGGTACCCTTATACCTGGGTACCCTTGTACCTTAGTACCGAAGCTATCCGAAGCTTATCTAAGACTTTCCTTAGTAGGTCGCCGAGGTAACGGCCCTTATTACCTGATATTATCTTCCTAATTCTTATGGTCTAATTATTAGCGTAGGGTTCCATCCCGTATGATATTATTCTTTTTCTTCGGAGAAGCTCGTCTTTAAGCGTAGGTACCTAGGTTCGTTAGTTAATAGGCTTATTAGGGTTTTATTAATGGAATAACTTAACGGCTTCTCTTATTCCGTCGGTAGTAAAGTACTTCTATGGCTCCTAAGTTTAGTAGCGCTTAGCCGGTTAGCCTTCCTACTTTATTAAATACTTAATAACCTTACCGGTCCTAGCGGAGTTTAATACCTTATTTACTTCGTAGTCTTTTACCTTAATCGGGACTACTTTCCGTAGGACTTAGTTAGGGTTAGGTAATTCTTAATTACTAGCGCGGTAGGATTCGATAAGGGATACGTAGAAGGTACTATAAATACGCTAGTCTCTCGGGAGCGTTAAGGTTACGGCTATAGGCGAAACGACCTTTTAAATCTTAAAGGGGCCGAGTATCTTCTTATTTAATTTCTTAACGAGACGTTTGGTTTTAATATTACGGACGTTTAGTATAATAAGTTACCTTACTTCTAGGGGGGGTTTCTTTTTTTTATACTTATTTACTTATCCTTTTATCCGTTACCGTACTTTTTTTAAATGTTATTTAGCCTCGTTATATACCTTAATTATTTAATAAGTATAGAGGTTACTTTCCGGGTTTTTAGGGGCGCTTAGTAAAGGATTATATATTATTAGGTATTATCCGTAATTAACGTAAAAGGGTAATATACCGGTAGCTATCGAAGTAATATTATTATAGGTAAATTCGGTAGTAAGGAGTAAGCTTTTCTAGTCGTTTATTTCGTAATTTACGAAGGCGCGTAGGTATGTTTCTAGGATTTAGTTAAGTTTCTTTATTTATTTATCTATTTAAGGATAGAAGGTAGTACTTATTCTAGGCTTAACTCTTAGGAGCTTTAGAATATCCTTCTAGATATAGGAGGTAAACCGTAAGTCCCGGTCGGAGATAATATTTAAGGGAATCTTATATAACCGTTAATAATTACGGATAAAGATAGGTATTAGGTCTTCGGCTTTTTTACCGTCCTTTTTTAGCGGGATAAAGTACGTTATTTTAGTAAAGGGATTTATAATAACCTATATAGAGTCGTAGCTATTAAACATTAGTAAGTTTATAATAAAGTTTATTGCGATTATTTACTACGGCCGGTAATATAATTCCATAAGTTATAGTAATCCGAATGGAGTATATCGGGGTACCTTATTTTATTAATACTTACGATATTTCCTTACGAATTCCTTAATTATTACTTCTAGGTTAGGTTATTAAAAGTTACGGGTAATAAGCTTTATGGTTTTATTTATACTTATATATCCCGCTACTTTAGTATCGTATTCCGACTTAATTACTTCTTATTATAAGTTCTTTAGTACCTATAAACGATTTCGTCGGTAAAAGAAGCCGTCTTAGAGTTTTACCTCTTTACCGGGTTATTTTATTAGTTAGCTTTAATATTCCGAGTCTTATTTAGCCGCGTTTTTAACTTATTTAACGAACTTTTAGGTCTAGGTAGGTATCGGAATATTACTTAGCTTAATACTAGAAAGTATTACCGCTAGTAAGCCTGGATTTTTTAAAAAATGCTTTTCTTATAGGATCGTCGCTATCGGCTAGTCCTCGGCTCCTCCTTTTTTAAGGCGATATTATGGTAGTTTAGATAGAATATCGGCCTTTTTATTTTACCTTCTTAAGCGATAGTATATCATAAAGTAATACGAGGAGAGTTATTAAGCTTAGCGGGCTTATCGTCGGTTTAGTACCTTTACTATAGTAAAATACGTTAGATTCTAATGATTTAAGTATACTTTTATTTAGTATTAAGCGCCTTCGAGGTAGTATCGCTACTTTTCGAATGCGTCGATAATTACTAGTAGTTCCTTATTATATATTTTATAATTTATTTCCGCTAGGGTAAGTCGTCTTAAGAAAAAGGCTACTAGTCTTAATCTTTTTTTATCGTTCTTTTACGAGAGGATAGCCGAGATAGTAAAATCCGAGGCGTCGGCTTTAATTATTAGGACTTAATTAAGATCGAAGTATATAAGTACCGGGGCCTTCGTAAAGGTTTCTTTTAATTCCTAGAAGGCTTTTTTTATTTTAATTTCTTACTTTTATAGTTTACGGTTCCCTTTATTAGCGCTAATAATCGGTCTAGCTATACCTAAGAAGTTACGTATGAATTTACGGTAGAAGTTAGTAAACCCGATAAAGCTTTACGAGTCCTTAAGTATGGTTAGGGTACGCTAGTTAAGGATGGCTTTTATTTTATCCTTAGATATGGTAATACCTTTAGGGCTTATATTATACCTTAAGAACTTAACTTCTTGCGTTTACTAGGCATATTTCTTTAGGGCTATTACTAGGTAGTTTTCTATAAGCCGTTTTAGGACTTCTTTAATTAATTTGTTATATTTCTCTAGCGTATCGGTATAAATAAGGATATTATTTAAGTAGGCGATAATCCTTATATTTAAGAAGTCGCGGAATATATGATTTATTATAGCCTAGAAGGTAACGGGAGCGTTAATTAGTTCTATAGGTATAACGGTATACTTATATAACCTATAGCGCGTACGGAAGGCGGTTTTCCATTCGTTACCTTCCTTAATTCGTATTATATAGAAGCTAAACTTTAGATCGATTTTAATAAACTATTACGTTATTTAGAATAGATTTTATAGTTCGTTAATTAATGGAATAGGATATCGGACGGGTATTATAATTTTATTTAACCTTCGATAGTCGGCTATTAGTCTTAGCGCGTTAGGGTCCTTTTTATTTACGAATATTATAGATATTCCGTATAGTACTTTGGATTTCCGGATTCTTCCTATGGCTATTATTTCGTTTAACTAAGGCTTTAAGGCTTCTAGCTATCGTTCGCTTATAGCGTATAAGGGTCTTTATAGGGGGGTAGTTCTCGGACGGAGCTCGATAATATGGTTCTATGGTTACCGGTCAGGAAACCGTTATCCCGCTTCCTTAGTTATAATAGGGACGAAGTCGCGAAATTATTCAGGTACTTATAGTAGAGCCTCTTTTTTTCGTACTATTCCTACGCGAGTTAGCCATAGGCGATAGTTCCGGTACTAGGGCGAGTTAAAGTATAACCGCCCTTCTATAAATAACCCTTACGGGAGGTATTCCTTTATTTATTATTACGGTAAAATAACGTTAACCTTTTTATTTAATTTATTAACTTCTTAAGCGATACGGTAGATATATTCGTAGCTACGGAGCTTTAATTCGTTTATATATTAAAGTCTTCCTAACGAAATCTCGGAGCTATCGAATCTTATTAAGATCCTTAGCTTCGGGCGTTAGTTAATAAGGAGGCGTAATTATTTAACCTTAGTAGCGTTAATTAAGGATACCTCGCTACCGGTATTTAAAAGGACTCGTAAAGGATATTCCTTTCCTTAGTATTTTATTTATATTATATAAATAGGCTATCTACTTAATTTCGGTTCGTTAGGGTTACGTTAGGAGACTCGTAGTTTCTTCGCCGTTAATATTACTTCCGTTATTTCCGGCGTTCTAGGCCGCTTAATAGCCGTAATCTTTACGTTATTTTTATTATTCCTTTTTTCCGTTAACGCTTACGGGGAAGCATTTAAAAATCCCGTTCCTTATCCGAGTCGGATAGTTCTATAATACGGGGAAGCGTTTCTTTCTATCGTATAGCGGTATTAATTCTAGCTCTTTTATTAGGTAATACTTTAGGTTCTTTTATTCTTCTTTTTCCCGATGAAATTTTCTTAGGTAGCGCGAATAATTCCCGTCCTTTTAAGTTCTTTTTAGCGAAATAAGCTAGGGTTTAGTAATTATTCCTTCCGTATCGCTAGTAAGCCTTTTTATCCTTTTTTCGTTAATTAATAGCGGCTTAATTAATACCGGCTAAGGCTTCTTTATTACTTGCCTAACGTAGGTCCTTAGCTAGCGCGGGTTTCTTGCTTTTCTTGCTTTTACGTTCGTTTACCGGTTAACCTAAGTAGGAGCGAGTTTCTTTTACGGGTTACCTTTATTACTAGTCCGTTTTCGTATGCTCCTTTTACGAAGCGGATCCTCCTTTTCCCGAAATCCTTAGGTTAGTTATTATATTTTCATAGATTTAGCCGGCTTTCTTAATTATTTTAAGAAAGGCTTTATCGCTTTTAGGGATATTATTTAATCGTAATAAGGAGGAGCAGAGCGTACGCGATGCTGGAGACCCGGATATGTTCACTCGAAAGTGCACTATATCGAAGACTATAGTACGTACGATGGTCTAAGATAGATGTAACTAATGTCGCTATACTAATCGAGAGGCAAGGAATCTAATGTAGTTATCGTATCTTAGCTATGCCCCTTAGTCGTAGAGATGTAGTGGTCGCTAGCCCGAAGGCATAAGAGGTAAGGGGAGAAAAGGGGTAAAACGCAAAAGTTACTTATTCGGCCATAGCGGTACGACGAAGTAACTTAAGCGCCTATAACTAAAATAGATATACTAATCGGAGAACGACGAATCTAATGGTAAAAACGAATCTTTAATTAGGGTAAAAATAGTAAAGATAGTAATCTAATTAAGTAATGAATTAGATAATAAACTAGATAATAAGCATAGCATGTCCCGCACTTACGGGAGCTGTAGTTACTCTATATAGGCATAAGGCCTATCGTAGCGTGTCACGTAATGCATCAAGAGGGCATGTCTTACCGCACCACTACAGTAAGTAAACTAGCTTAGTTATTTCATTAGGTAAGGTACGGGTAATATAGTTCTAGAAAGTAGTTCCCGATTATTAGACGACGTCGTTAAGATTTATAAGTTCGGTAAGGTATTAGGAGATATTTCTTTAGTACTTAAGTTCTTATATTTTTTTAGAGTTACGGTATCGTTCGGCGGAATCCTTAAATCGTTTTTAAAGGGCTTAGGAATATCCTACCTAGGTATCGACGATTATTAACTTCTTTACCTAGGCTAGCCTTTATTAATACCATAACTAGGCCTTTTTAATAAGTATCGACCCTACTTAGTTAATTTTTTAAATATCCCAGGTAAAATTCTTTTCGTATGTTTTAAGGTAGGATTTAACTTTGATTTATTAAAGGCGGAACTTAGCTAGGTTTTTACCGTCGTAAGCCGTAGGTTTAACGAAATATACTAGGTTAGTTATTACCGTAATACTTCGTCGGCTATTCATAGCCTTAGTTTAGGTCTAAATTATACGTTCTTTAGCTAAGTTAAGGAGCTCTTAAGGTTCTTTAAGGATACCTAGAGGTCGTCGTAGCTTCTACGGATCCCCGTATTTGTCTCCTAAGGTATTTCGCGAAGTCCTTAACGGAGGCGGTAATCTTAATCCGGCTCTTTTTAATATAAAGGTACCCGTAACGACGTCTTAGAAACGGGCTTACGCGCGTATAGCGGTACGTTTAGCCGCGGCGTTTTAAAGTACGCCGTTAGAAATAATTTCCTTTATCCTAGCTTCGCTATTAATATATCTTCCTATAAACGAAGTCGTAAAACGAATAGCTAGTACGGGGGTAGGTATTCGAGCCCTCTAGCTAGCTTTAGCTATAATAGATTCGATATCCGTTAGCTTATTACTTAATCGTCGTTACTAATATTCTTTAATTAGGTTAGCTACGTAAGCCTTAAGGTTATCCTTAATTAGCTAGGTCTTTTCTTTTATAGCCCTAGGAGTAAGATACTCTTTACTAAGGATTTCGTTAATCTACCTATCCTTTTACGTAGCTTATAAGTTAACGTCCGTTATTAATTTATTATATTTTTCGCGTAATTAAACTAAGGCTCGTTAGTTCTAAAGGGCGGCGTTTCGGAATTAATTTATTATAGCGGTTCGCGTTTTATTTTATCGGGTAAACTTAGCTATTATTTCCTATACGTTTTAGGCGAAATAAGTACTTTATTTTACGACCTACTTTTAGAATTCCTAGATTTATATTTTTATAGTTCTTATGCTAGTAGCTTATATAGCCGTAGCGGTTTAGTAAAGCTACCGTAATTATTCGTACTACTTTTTTAGGATCGTATTCTATCGATATTTTATATCGATTTAATTAGCTAATATCGCTAGGCTTTAGTATACCTATTCCATTTATTTATATAAATCTACGATTTACTACGGAGGATTACGTATAACTATCCCTAAGTTCGCGATCTTAGGAATATTAGTTATAACTACCTTATATTCCTAGGGTTAATATATTACGAAGAATTTATCGGTCGGTTCGGGGGTTACTTTTGGCTAAGGCGCCGGAAAGGTTTGTTATCGTTCGGCTTCCTTTACCTTTAATTCGGCTATCGTAGCCTTTAGTTTATTAATCGTAGCTATTATCTAGGTAACCTCCTTTATGCTAACCGATACTAGCCTAGTAATAGCTAACCGCGGGAAGGGGAACGCCTATAGCTCGGGACTTTTAATAAAAGGTCTAGGTTAGTTTAGTAGTAGTACCGAAGCGGCGGCTATTACGTACGACGCAGGCCTAAGCGTTAGGTTTACTTATTATTAGCTTATAATATAGACTATTATTATCGTAAGGGTTAAAAGTAAATATAAAATTATCTATAACAAGGGGATATACTTAAAATAGGTTTAATTTAACTAATAATTCTATAAGGGGTCTCTTGGGTCCTTACTTTTTTTAAGTTCCTACGTTCTCCTTTTATCCTAATATATCTCGGAGGTACCCTTATACCTAGGTACCCTTATACCTTAGTACCGAAGCTATCCGAAGCTTATCTAGGACTTTCCTTAGTAGGTCGCCGAGGTAACGGCCCCTACTGCCCGATATTGTCCTCCTAACCCTTATGGCCTGATTGTTGGCGCAGGGTTCCATCCCGTGTGACAGAGGGGACCGAGTACACATCCTACGGGGCCTCGCTCGTTCCAAAGACGGTATGGAGCTGGCTGAGTATCCATAGAAGGTCTACGGCCTAACAAAGAGGCCGGTCAGCGGTTGACGGGCGTAAGTCGTGTGATACATCGACCAAGTTGGTTCATACGACTCTCACTTACACTTTATTAGCCCTGCATCACTCGCTGATAGGCTATACCTCGTCCAACGCGCCGCTCTCCCTTCCTGGCCTTTGCCCCTTTAGTCGTATAACGTGTCCTCCCTCGGCTTTACCCTAGTCTGGCCACTCGCTACTCATCCTATTCATCTAGCGCCAGCCCATTCTGTTGGCTCGTTTGGTGGGATCAAGGGTTTGGGACCCATAAGGAACACCTCTGGGAGTTGACCGCCAAGGAGAGACTTGTCAGCCAACAAAGGGCGCAGCAGCAGATGTGTTAGTCGCACGTCAATAAGGTTCAGGGGTTGGCAACTCTCGGGGGGCTAACTGGGTGGTCAATACACAAGTCTTATCACGGCTCACGATTCGGACAGACAAGACTCAGTGGAAAAAGCTTGATTTTTCTAGGTTCTAAGCTACTGCTCGTAAAGCTAAATAGCTCTAATAACTAGATACGGCCACGTTATCCTTCTCTTAATCTCTTGATCCCTTATCCCTGCTCGCTGACTCAGTCCTGACTAAGGTGAATAGGGGATGCGGCGACAAGTCCTAGGCGAAGCCAGGAGGCAGCCCAAGCCGGGCGGCTTAGGCCCCTCCGCTTCCATCTCCCAACATGATCCCTGCCACGGCCTTTCAGACCAACAACGAGTTGGATGGAGCGTTCAAGAAACACCCGGTTGTGTTCGCATCGCGCCTCTGTGCCGCAGCCACCCTGGCGGCCCACAAGCAGCCGTCTCGCCGTTGGGAGGTCGTTATCATCATCACCGCTGGAGCCTATGCGGCGGACAGCTGATCTGCATCCGCAAGGCCGAGGACGATTGTAAACTTTGACGGTTGCCACATTGGCGCCCAGGGAATCGCCGATGCACTCCATTCCCGGTCGCAATGCGATATCCTTCCACCGTGTGTACGCGTTGCTCGAGACGCCTTTTTGGAGTCCTGGAGCCCTCTAACGTCCAACAAAATCGATGCCTGGTCTTGGCCATCAGGTGGACGAGGAGTTCTTCCAATCAGAGCTCTCGCAACACCTGTTGCCTGTTGCGTCTTCTCTTTTGGCAAAATCGTAGCGGATGGCGAACTCCTAGTAAATTCCCCCAACTTCGTGCCGTTTCACCTTGGCGCACTTGTCGTCGAAATATCGCAAGTACAATCTGTCGGCTGTGTTTCCGGTAGTAGCTGTACTACAGGCGCTTACACACTTGGACGGCAGAAAAGAGCGCTGAAAGGTTTGGGAGACCTTCACACCCATGTCGACAGGAACGTCGAGTAATCGAGGAGCCTAGGAAGAATCGGCTTTCAGTGCTTGCGGGTATTGGCTAGTGTGAGGTGGCTGGCGTTGAGTCTCCTGTCATAGAGTGGTTATCCTGCGTTGGTTGGCATGGTGAGGTCTTGTGTATCTGAGAAATCAGTAGGGAGAGGAGACTTTTATTTGGTTCTGTGAAACGCTTACAGTGGTCCAAGCATAATTCTTCCCTTTTTGTCTGCGGATGCGCTTCGCACCGTGGCCGGAAGGGCCTACATCTCGCTGTAACTCGTACAACGTACCTATTATTCTCTTCCCCGGCCAGTCGCTCAGTCTACACTGCCCTCCGATCCTCTGAACATGGCAGCCCATGACGTTCAGATCGACCATATCGGGGGCAATGATGACGAAACCCAGATATTCGCTCATGCGCACGACGGAAAAGGAGCTGCGCTCACCTTCCGAGTCTCCCGGAATAGTGCGCGGCCTCGGAGCCTCGCGAGCCGCATTGTGACATGCTTTCACGAACTGCCCATCACGTCCGGCAGCGAGACGTTTGCAGAGCGCGCCGCGATGCGCACGGCGCTCGGCGATGCGGTCCGCCAGGCATGGCCGAACTGCGTGTATGCGGCGGCTGCACCGGACGCGGTCGTTGACCTTGACGGCGATGCGGAGGGGCAGATCGACTGGCGCGTACAATATGCGCCTGCGCTCTATCAGCAATATTTGGACGCGCTCTCACCGGCCGACTCCCTACTCATGAACGATGCCGCGCAGCGGAGTTTCAAGTACGTCGACCATCGAGACCTCATCATAGTCTACCGCCTGCCGGGAAGGGGGACGTCGGCTGTCGTGCGCCGAGCTTCGACGGCCAAGTCTGAGTCGCTGTACGTCTTGAAAGGCATCGATTTCGGCGACTTTCTGACGTCCCGGGATGAATTTACCCACGATCGGGACGTCTTCTATCGCGCAATCCAGACCCTGTCCTCGATACCACCGCATCCTAACATCTTATCCCCCCCACGGATCATCGCCGTGGCCAGACATCCAGGAGACGAAGGCCGAGCCCTCGTGTGCGGCACTCTCTATCCTTTCATGGCGCGTGGCACTCTGGACGATCAGGTCACGAGATGCGAGAAGGACGGAGGGCGCCTTAGATTGCGAGACAAGGCGCGCTGGTACCTTCAGATGTCTTCGGCCGTCGCGCACACGCACCACACGGCGCACACATACCACATGGACATCAAGCCGGCAAACGTCCTCGTGGACGACCAGGGAAATACGATCCTGATCGACTGGGAGCAGAGCGGGGCTCCCCTCTATACACTCGCACCAGAAGCAAATGGCGAATGGGATGTGGACGAGGTGGGCGAACTAGGTGCTCCCTCGAAGCTGGTGTACAAGCAATACCAGGGACCGACGCGGGTGAACCTCCCCAGAGGTCGGCCAGCATGGAACGTTTTCCCGGAGTGGAGCAGGCGCTGGCCGAGGGCTTGTGAGGCGGCAGTGGTATTCAGTCTGGGCCGGACCATGTGGATGCTGCTGCAGGAAGTGCAGCAGGAGGGTGTCGAAGATCTCGACCCCAAAAGGATCATTGTTAACTGGAGCGATAATGCTGGTGACATACCAGATCACTGGAAAGCTGTCGTGATGCGCTGCCTAGAGCACGATCCCAACAAGAGGATCGGGCTGACTGATCTCGTGCGGTTCTGGGAGGGTCAGCAGCAGGTCTCCTTAACTCAACTGTTGTCTAGCACTGAGGGACTGGTGGGATCGCCGCGCGTCCCAGAAGTGCGCTTCGTGCGCGCGCCGAGACGTCTTAGGGAGTTTCTGGTTGAGTTGGCACATGTGTAGGAGTGTAGCTAGTCAGATATTTCCACCAGGTCAGCCCACACGATATTACTATCACGTTCCGATCTGTCTGTCAGTCTCTACGCCCGATTTACCCTCCCCCTGTCACGGAGCTGAACCAGTAAATTCGGTGATCCCCACCAAAATAGATGCTTACAGTAGTCCCACAAGAGAGCTCTCGCCCTTTCTATGAGGTTGTCTTTCTGTGTCTGTCGGTCTGTGCTCTGTTGCGGATGTGTCGTTCCCTGGAGATGAGAGGCGTCGAACTGGTCCTTGTTAAAGGGCAACGTTGTGAGCGGCCGGCTCACATCCCCCTCGTCCTCTATATCCATGACGTGTATTCCCTCTTCAAGGAACGAGATTTTTTGTTCGTACGTGCTGAGAATTCTGTGCATTAAATAATTGAACGCGCGGTACGAGTTGCGGTTGGGGTAGTACATCCTTGCAACTGCCATGGACGGCATGCCTCGTGGACAGCATTCATCTTCGTTATGTCAGTCTCGTAGTAGCCTCGTTAGCAAGCCTCGCATGGATCAGACAAACTTACTGAGGTCTTCATCCGTGTAAAATTCGTCGAATTTATGCCCGTTCTTCTTTTTAGCTGGAGCAGAGTATGAGCCAGAGAAGAATGACAGAGCGAATAGCCGCAATTACGTCTGCTTACTATCTGTAATTCTCTGGAACATGCTTGGAGAAGCCTGCGGTTGCATCGTGGCCGTAGTTGGGTGGAGCTGATAAGGAGCTTCTCGAGTCTGAGGGTTGCAGTCGCTCATCTTTTCCGACGAAACAATGCTCTCTAGAAGAACTGGGCTCTTTTACCTCTCACTTGAAGAGCCTATGGCTCAAGCTTTAGCGGATGAGAAGTCTTCCGTGGCAAGCTATACCTAATGTCCATGCTCCCTGGCGATATAGTCAGTATGCATGGAGCCTGCTTGGGATGACTCGGCTGCCGGCGCATATGTATTATTATCCTGTACAGACTGGAGGGGGAAAAGTTAGCTCTGATCAGTTCAAATTTAACACTGCGTCTACGAACAAAATTTAGAACCGCAAGAGAAGATCCGGATAATATGTTGAAGTGGTCGGGTCTAAGGAGGTGACTGAGGTAGCGTTCTGTCCACTTCCTATTATCTCGTGCTTACCATCCAACGTGCTAGTAAGCGAGGCCACGTAAAGAAAAGGAGAGGGGGGGAAAGGAAAAAGATGGAAAAAAAAGAGATCAGCGGTGTCACTTTTCAGCCGCGCCACTTTTCAGCTGCGCTTATGATTTCTATTTTGCTCATCCCTCCACCGTAACCGTCTCTTGTGAACTCGCCTCCGGTAAAACGTTCCGAGGTGAAAAAAGAACAGGAAACATCCTGTCCCAACCTGCCTTATATTATATGCGAGGCTCTATAATACAGAAGGCAGGTTTAGGGCATTCATAATATTACCACGAATTACCGGCCCGGCCATAGCTAGAGACCAATATCTTCACTAGTGACAAATCTCTTCACCAGTGACAGCCTTGCATCCCATTGTCCATCGTAGCCCCCCCCCGAGAAGTCGCAAAAGCGCCCTCACAGAAGCAGGCAAGCCAGTATAAGGTCCTGTTTTGGCCCTCGAAAGAGGGATATGTCGTATGATCTGTAGTTTTGTTCGCTTACTGCTACTGAAGGCCCGGCGGATACTGTCTCTCTGTGAGGGGCTTTACACTTACCAGCACTTCCCACCATTCTACTGGGCGCAGCCCAACCGATCGTCGACCATGTTGGAGCCTAATCAAACGATTTATACCATACGAATCTTGGTGTGCTTTAGGTAATATCCCTGTTCCCAACCCCCTTAGAACATGGCCCGTAGTTTAGGGAATGTGAACATATACCTAAGAGACACCTCCCTCTTAATCCTCTACGAGGGGCCTGTGAACCGTCCCAGAAGCTTCAAAGACGTCACCATCTATAGTCAGCTATGAGAAACACGCTAGGACAAAGGTCGTGTATCCAAGGTGCGAACACCCCTCCCCCCACCCCCTCTCATCACCGCCTTTTTATTGAGATATCCTTCAACATTATTGCTAATCTAATACCTCCAGCGGCTGAGGCTAGATAAGATCACGTCATCCAATGGCTAGTGCCACGGGGACAAAGCAAGAATCTTTAGCTCTTCCACGGATTCAATTTAAACCCAATAATATCCCCGAAGCCAGCCTCTTTATCATACAATATAGTTCTCATCCTCAAGGAAAAGTGGAGGAAACTCAAAGCGAGGATATGCAATTTGGGAAAACCGAGAAGAGGGGGGCGACGAGGAAATACCCTGCAAGGATTATCTCCTTTCAACATCGGCCTGCCACTCCCTGGGGCCGATGCCAATAGGGAGGATGAGGAGGCCCCCAGGGGGTCGTCGTGATCGCTGTTGGAATATCATAAACGGGATTACATGGGTGTTAGACCCTGTAGCCTTGCGAACGTTAGGCAAGCACTCCCGAGGACGCCATCGGACTTCAGCATTGGGCAAATCTTAGATTGCGTCAAGGGTAACTAGTCTCATATGTCATTTTCTCATTTCCTCGGGTCGCCGAGTGTGCTGGTTGCTGTCCTAACACTGCCTCCTCCTAACAGGCTATGCCATGTGCTGTAAACGTAGCAGCCATGCGGGTGCGCGCTTGTTCTTACACCTAGTCCAGCAGGATGCCACGAGGGTTGGTCTATACGCTATCGTGTCTCTTTTTTTTCCTATGCGCGTACAAGGCGCTGATAGCAAAGAAGCCTTGGGCCCACGCAAACCGGAAACATGCCGCAAGGTATCTGGGAGGCAAGGCAACCTCCCGCAATACGAGAGTTACCTTCCCCATGCATAGTTCTCCCATTTTGCACCTCCTAGAGCCAGGGACAGGAAATCAACGGCACGTCCGTGAGTCATCGATGGGCCGATATAAATGCTACATTGGAATGGGGATGAGGTTTGCGTACAGAGGTCTCCTATTAGGGTTTGTGTAGAGATAAGTGTTCAAGGACTACCGTCCACGTGCAGTACAAGGACTTACTACCCTGTGCTGTGCGTAGATAGACTATGTTAGTCAAGCGACAAGAGGTTATTGAAGGTACTTACAGCGAGGCCTCCGTCCACCGATAACCATATCATCGCCGCCATTAGAGGATTTTCCAACCCGAAAGAGGAGGAAATAAGTTACCTCGGAGGTTTTGAGACCTAGAAGTCAGCGTCGTCCGGGCCACGGAGACTAACGAAGCCCTAGGAGCGATTTCGAGGCTAGCGGTGCTACTCGGGTTGAGGCACAACGTGACAAAATGGATCACCAGAAGGTCGCCCGCGGGTTACAGGGCTGTACATGACACACGGGTTACCAGTCGGTCTGAGCAGTTGTGCCGACTGCCTTAATATGCCTACCTATTATAATAAGATATAATTGTGGCTTAGTTGTCATTCTCCCTCACATGGTTCTCTTTAATATCCTGTATGCTCGCCGCTTGAGCCCGAGGGCCTCGTTTTCTTGTATTTGTCTGCCGTTGTGGCAGGGCAGGTCCCGCACATAATACGTGTACATTGCAACACTGCATTCTGGGATGAGCGGTAACAGATGCTATTATGGCATCGCAGAATGCTAATACCCAATGCCCTGAATAAAAATTTTCTTCTTCCTTTTCAGTGCACTAGCCTTGATAATATGAAGCAATTAAAGCCAATGGCTCGCAAGAAGCTCACCGTGCCGTGACCATGTACGTGGGTGCTAGTAAACAGCGGGTTTATTGGTGCTACTGAATCTTAACTCCTGCGTGCGTGACAGGCTACGTGCGTGGTCTAGCATGAGTCTGGTGACGAATGCTGTCGTTTGCATGTATGTGTGCATGTGCAGGCGTGTAAGCGTGTAGGCATAGGCACGGAAGCGAGTGCTAATCTGCCGGACTGTTTGGAGAAGGGGAGAAGGGGAAGAGGGAAGAAGGGGAGGAGGGGAGAGAGGGCGAGCGAGGCTATCGAGCTACGGCCCGATCCTAGGTAGCTGAAATTCTCGTCTGGGACATGCTTGACGATTCGTCCCGAGTTGTGCCACGACCTGCACGTACACATATCATGCCAGGCTCCGACAAATTCGAGGAGAAGATTGCCGAAGATTAGCGGGTGCCGACACCCTCCTAACATGCTGAACCGACAGGTTGCTCTAGGTGCATCGAGATCAGGAACTAGATCAGAGCAGCCAGGTAGAACGAGCGTCCCCATTGCGAATGCACTGCCATACAATATACGTCCCCCCCCCCCCCCCCTTTCCCCCCTGGTTGAATGGTGGTGACTTCTCGTGTATGCGGCACATGTTTCACCCAGAGCTGTCGAGAGGCAAGAAAAGGCCCTGACCTATCTCTCCTTGGTAGTATCTAGCAAAGCGCATGCGTTCCCCAAGAGCTTCCATCCAAGATACGAAAAGAGGCGAAAGAGACAACCTATTTGTACCTCAAACACCTGTGCCGAAACCACAGCGCCCGCTTGACGCGGTCCAAAGACGCCAAGATATCCGCACGAAACTTTGCTACGGTATTATGAGAGTCTCGCGTCAAGGTTTTGACTTCTTGAAGGAGGAGAACATTGATCATTTAGCATGGCTTGAACGTCGCCTCAAGTCTATTTCACTTTGGGCAAAGTTCAAGTTGGGTACTCGAAGCCGAACATAAGGAGTTTGAAGGCCAAGTTGCTCGTGAGACAATTAAGTTACCTAGTGTCCCCGGCCTAACCCACCCCAGAGAAGGAGAAACCAAAAGACTGCACGGAAATCTGGGATTGCAAGCGTTCCTTACGTGTTAGCTCGTGGGTGGTTTTTAGCTGGTTTGCTTTACTTGTTAGTTCACTTCACTTGCTCGGTCACTTCACTTGCTAATTTACTTCACTTGCTCGTTTACTTTACTTTGCATATGGACGCTAGCTCGCCGTCGAAACCCTCCCGGACTCCGTGAAAAACAGAGGACGTATTAATAACACACGACTTTGCCCTACTCCTCTAAAAGATTGTACGGGAATGTGGGACTGTGAGTGTGCATTGGCTTCCTAGGTAGCAACGCCCAGGCGGCAGAACGGACTACGCGGGGACTTGGCAGTAGGTAACCCTTCAAGGCTAAGCGTGAGGGAAGCTCCGTTCCCACGGCAGCTTATGTGACCCCTTCACCTTGTTTGCGTTGATTCTCGCACACATCAGTAATATGGCCGGATATCCTTGCGTGCGTCGCCCGACAGGGTAGCTCAAGGACGCATGTTGCAGTGGAGGCCTCAGCATTGGGGCTCTGCTTGTGCACAGCTTCCGCAGCTTCGGCCCGCATGTCTCTTTCCTCGGGCCTCTTCGGCTATTTTGGATGTTCGCGTGGTCTATCGAAGCTTGCTGAGATCATCGCATCTTGATAGAGCGTGGGCAGCTGAGAGAGGTTATCTGCGATATCTGAAGGGCGGTTTGGCTTAGGCAGATATTAACGGAATTATTACATGTCCAGGTACTCAAGGGTGACCTAATAGTACGCGAATTCTCGTTTCAGTGATGACCCGGGGTCAAACCATCTCTAATACTTCCCCCTTTCTCCTGCCTGCGGAAAACTAGATTACCGTCCGCCTTCCCACCTGGGCCTGATACCGAAGCTATTGCTCAGGGACACCAGGTTCTGTGCAATCCGCTCTGGTTGCCCTACCTGCTTTACAGCGTTTGATGTCATCGATAATCTTCATGCAATTCGGATAGTTGATATCCAGCTCCATGCCCTTTATCCGCTGCAGTCGCATCCTCATCACTGCTCCAATCGCCCCAGGATTATCCCTAGTAATCATCTGCTCGCAATAATCGACATCCGGATCCCAATCCTCATCCTCATCCCACTCCTTCCATGCTTCAATCATCTTATCCTTAAACCCACACTGCGCAAGATCGATGATAAAGGGCGTCTGTGAGCGTTTGTCTACCACCACGTTGCGTGGCGCACAATCGCCCATGAGGACGCCGCGCCTGTTAATTTCATGCGCAAAATCGACCGCAGATTGTACTATACCTGGCCACTTCTTTGGGTCGGAAGGGGCCAGCGGTGAGGTGGGTAGGTCAGATAGGTTATATCCATGGATAAGTTCCAGAAGAACGCCCTTGATCTCGAAGTAACGCGCCATTGGTGACTGCAGCAGGTCCCGAGGTACGTCCGAGTTCCCCAGCACGAGGCGCACATGGGCGTACATCCGCGGTATTGACCTGCCCTGGAGGTCTCTTAACCGCGCGTATGCCTCGGTCTCGCAGTCGAAGTACTCAACGCACGACTGCCACAGGGCCGCCTCGTACTTCGCGTTGCCTTCTGGGGTGTCATCGTGGAAATGCGAAGGTGACCGAGGGAGGATTTCGGTCTTCTTTTCCTCTTCTAGCTCGCTAATGAAAGGGCCCATCTTTCCTCGCCGGACGAATGACTGGAATTCCGCTTCGTCTGCCGTTATGAGAGGCATGATCCTGTTCCGGATTCTCCGAAGATCTATGCCGAACCGACGGTCATAGAGCTTGAGGACTGCGCGGAAGCGGGAGCCTGACCTGGTGTTGATGATGACGTCCATCACGGGAGACATGGTGATGTCGAACGTTTTGGAGATCGTTGCCGTAACCGACTGAGAGAAGGGCAGACTGCAGCAATTCTGGAGGACTTGTAGCTGCAGGGTCTTCCCTGCCTGGTATGGCACAGGAATGATGTTGTTGGGCCTGAACGGCATGCCGGTAAGCAAGGTCATTAGTAAATCTGTTCAGCTTCACTTACATGCTCAAGTCGCAGATCTAGATAGAATAACGCGATGATTTATTAAGAAAGTATGTGGTCAGTAAAAGACGACATAAATTCGAGGGATTAAGAGATGCAAAGATGCTGATAATCGAAGATGAAAATCGATTTGTTCCTCGCTATGTTTGTTGTATAGATTCACAATGTTGGTTAGGGTGGTAGCGCTGCGCCTGGCCGCTTGAAGGTTGTTGGTCGGGTAGCCGCCAATGTCTCAAGTCCGAGAGTGAATCTATTTTAGGCAGCCGTCCATTCACAGGATACGAAAATGACTACCTTGAAGTATTATTTATAGTAGGGGTACGGATTATAAAAAATTTTATTTACTTTAAATTTTTTAATAATAATAATAATAATATTATTATTATTATAGTACGGTTCTTATAGGGTTTTAAATAAGTATTTTTATAGGTTTCGTATATATTTACTATCCATTCTTCGAATTTATCTAGGTACCTAGAGTAGGTATTACCGCCACACAGAGTAGATATTAGACATTCGCTCCTTTCATCGCTACCCATCGCCATGCGTTTGTACGCACCTTCGTCTTCTTCTTCCCAGAGTTGTTTGTTACTCCCTTCTCTCCCACCTGCCATCACCAGATCCGCACCTGGGGCAGCTGTGGCTGTGTTCCCCTATCCGTCCTTCCAACAGCTTGCCCACGCTGTCCCTCTTCAGTCCCAGCAAGATCACAACCAACACATCTATATCTGGAACTTTTAAGAGCCGAGATCGAATCCGCCTCAGGGCAGACTTTCTAGAATGTGCCTCCATTATCAACCTAGGTCCACATTTTAGTCCGTAAGCGCTTCCTTAGCTACCACTGAGCCACACTAGCAAATTGTCACGTAGCAATTGAACCAGCCCTTACTTATATGCCTACATACCGCAAAGCGTAAATGTAGGCGTCTACGTTTTACGCGACACAGATGAATATTGGAAAGTTGTCAAATTGTATCCGTCCTATGTGGAAAAAGTGGCCCGGGTTGTAGGCCGGGTCGGGCCTCAAAGAGATGGCCAAAGCCAGGCGATACATTCACAGACTTCGGGTGAGCCTATTTGCCTCGAGCTTCTATCATGCTGCCACAATTCTCTTGATATTGACTTACCAAGGCCAGGCTTCAAGTCGTTTGGCCCCTTGACCCGGAGGCCCTGGGCTAAGCGCGTCTTGGGGTGCTTGCCTGACCTCGTCTGCAAACCCTCCGTAAGTAGGCAATCACGACACGCTTAGTCCAAGGCCTCCGGGTGAAAGAGCCAAACGATTATTCAACTGCTGGGACACTACGTCCCGATTATTCAACTGCTGGAAACGGATATAAAATGATCAGCGACTCGCTGGTCGAGACGTGACACTACGTCCTAACCGTCCTCTAAGGCCCCAAACCCCCTCCCCTCCCACCGGCAAAGAGTAGACAGCAGGCTCCGGATTTCCTCATATTCTGCTTCTTGCGCTATTCGACTACATAGTGTGAAGTCGACATTCCTGGGAACAACCGTCCAGAGTAGACAGCAGGCTCCGAATTTCCTCATATTCTGCTTCTGGAGCATTCAACCACACAGTCCGAAGTCACCATGCCTAGGGCCAGGCGTCCAGAGTCTGTCAGGCTCTCTCGAGATGACTGGGACGACATGCTCACCTATCTGGAGTACGCCAACTCAAATCATGTCAGTGCTATAACGTGGGACGTTCACTGGACGCCAACACACGGCGAAACCCGATCCTACTCGAAACGAACATTTCACATCGGAGTTCGCTACGCGAACGGCCGGTACTCTTCATGTATTCTTGTTGACACGGTTTCATGGGATGAAGTACCCGTCGAAGGCACCATTCACCATTGGGGAACCACTCCGCCGAATTTGGGCGAAATTGTCGAACACTACCGGACGCTATACAAAGTCCAACCCGCTTCGAGTAACCTTAGATATCAACCCAGACAAAACGACGACAACAATGGTGGCGCCGGCGCATCTGGCGGCGGATGGAAGAAGGAGGTGAAGAAAGATGACTACGGCGGATATTTTTACATTGGCGAAGACGAGGAATATCATGCTTGCGACTCTGAAGGGAATGAAATTCAGACGACGGACAGGAAGACTGGATACCGGACCTCGAACCCTCGTGGCATCGTCGTGGTCTTTGCTGACTCTCGGAATCAGACATATTATTACTCCCACGGAAAACCTAAAAGCTGCTCGCTGAAGGAAGATCCAAGGTCGGGTACGTATTATTTCGTCGATGACATGGGCAGGGAGCGCGATGCTCAGTACGCGGGGACGAAACCGCGGTGGATGGGCGGGTACTCTGCGTCTCGGAGCAGCTATGGACAGTCATCTGCGTCTCGGAGCAGCTATGCGCAGCCATCTGCATACTCGTCGTATGGTTCCCACTCATCTTACGACTCATCTTCCAAGACCTCGCGAGTACAGTACCTCACCGACCCTAAGTCTGGCAGGAAGTACTATGTTGGCGCCGACGGCCAGGCTCACTGGGCTTAAAAGAAGCCCTTGTACGGTTTCGGTTTCGACGGGTGGGGTGTTCGGTGTTGGCGTATGAATAGCACGCCGGTCAACATCTGGCAGACTGTGTTTACTGTAGGTAGGGTTTCGGATGAGTATTTACATGGGTCTCGCACTCATATTTCACCCACACTTCAACCTATATTATTCGTCTTAGACTGCTATGCATTGTAGATAGTTATTACACTCTCTTCTCGCCATCCTTGTCGCTGTGCCTTCGTACGTGCCCCTGTCTTGGTGACTATGCCTTCCTCCTCCTTCTCTTAGTCAGTTGTGCTGTCCCTACCCATCCCTCCAACAGCGTGCATATGCTGTTCCTCTTCACCACTCGTTTCTCTTGATGCTGCTACAGAAAATCTTATCGCCTTCTTTTCCTTCCACATAATATCTTGACAGCTCATCTGAAAGTCCCTTGTCTATATGTAATTGATGTGAACCTTGAAACCGTGCTTGCATATGTAATTGTTTGTTGTATGGACCCTCGCCACCCTATTGACTGCCTTATTGACTGCCCTATTGACTATTACCCTATCGACTTCCCCGTTGAATGAAGCCATATTCACTGTAGTCGGCAGTATTCACCTGTATCTAGTCGATATCAATAAGATCAATAGCTCCTAGTTATCCTCCTAATTGGTCAACGGTTCATCAGGTTCAGCATCCTAAAGATTCGCATACTAGTTGATTACCAACTGGCATCGTGGGATCGCAGGAAGCGGACCAACCGAGAAGCACACATACGCGCGCTGGTGTTGCGGTAGGGTAGGTACTGTGGTACTTAGCCAGGTACTACCTATGTACATCAGTACCTGAGGCAGGAAAAGTTGAAGTTGACCTCATCCTAAAGCAAGTGGGGTCCGCCTCAGCGACGATGAACCTCTCCAAGCGCCCGAGTTCACCACTCTGCCTCTTTTCGTAACGTGCCTCAGCAGGAAAGAAAAGGAGGGCTTCAAACACCACCTTGTGATTATTTCGCCTCCGGATATTTGTTCTTTTGCCGTTACCGGAGGCGTGTTTGACGAGGCTGCAGGCTCCTGGAGTTACATTCATCGATGCGACCGAATCCCGGACGCTAGAACCGCCAAGATGGTGAACATCACGGACAAGATCAAGGAGTAAGCGTCTTCCCGCTTCGCCCAGTGGTCTCGTCTGGCACATGCTCACCACCGCTTAGGATCGAGGATGAGATGAAGAGGACCCAGAGTAAGAGCTCAGAGCGGATGTCCACGGTCATGATTCTGACTTGTCGGCCGGTGTGTAGAGAACAAGGCAACTGGTTAGACACCGCCACCCCCTGGTCCCGCCGCGAGAAGAAGAGGCTGACCCGGCGCCAGAGTATCACCTTGGCCTTCTAAAGGGGTATGCGCTGCGCCCCGAGCCATGCTCTAGAGTGCTAGTCTAACGGAACCGCGTCCAGAAAACTCGCGCGCCTACGAGCACAGCTCCTCGAACCCGGCCCCGGTTCGGGCTCAGGAGGCGGTGCCGGCTTCGATGTGAGCAAGAGTGGTGATGCGCGCATAGCACTCGTAGGATTCCCATCCGTGGGCAAGTCGACATTTCTATCCAAGGTGACCAAGACACGATCCGAGGTCGCCTCGTATGCCTTCACCACCCTGACCGCCATCCCTGGCGTGCTCGAGTACGGCGGCGCCGAGATCCAGCTGCTGGATTTGCCGGGTATCATCGAGGGTGCCGCCGAAGGCAAGGGCCGAGGACGCCAGGTCATCTCGGCCGCCAAGACGAGCGATCTCATCCTCATGGTCCTCGACGCGACCAAGAGGGCGGAGCAGAGGGCCCTGCTGGAAGCCGAGCTCGAGGCCGTGGGCATCCGGTTAAATAGGGAACCACCGTGAGCCGGATTACCCCCCCCCGATACACGCGATGAGGAGACTAACTCGCGGACGAACCTTGCAGCAACATCTACCTCAAGGCTAAGAAGGCGGGCGGGATGAAGATCACGTTCCAGTCGCCGCCCAAGAACATGGACGAGAAGATGGTGTTCAACATCCTGCGAGACTACAAGATGCTCAACTGCGAGGTGCTGGTGCGCGACGACGAGGCGACGGTGGACGACCTGATCGACGTGATCATGCGGGACCACCGCAAGTACATCAAGTGCCTGTACGTGTACAACAAGATCGACAGCGTGTCGCTCGACTTCCTCGACAAGCTGGCGCGCGAGCCGCACACGGTGGTCATGAGCTGCGAGCTCGACCTCGGCATCCAGGACGTCGTCGACCGCTGCTGGAAGGAGCTCCAGCTCATCCGCATCTACACCAAGCGCAAGGGCATCGACCCCGACTTCAGCGAGGCCCTCATCGTGCGCAACAACGCGACCATCGAGGACGTCTGCGACCGCATCCACCGCAGCCTCAAGGACACGTACAAGTACGCTCTGGTGTGGGGTGCGAGCGCCCGGCACGTCCCGCAGAGGGTCGGCCTCGGACACGTAGTGGCGGACGAGGACGTCGTGTACATAGTTAGCGGGTACAAGGCTTAGTCAGGGGTAGTGGGGAAAATAACAAAACACGGTATTCTCAGAAGCGTACGCGACCTTGCTTGCGGAGATACCAGAACTCGGGCACTTGGGTGTATATATTCCAATCACGCGGACGCGACAGACAGGTAGGCCTTAGGAAAATCATTCATTAATTCTGCGTTTTGCCGCCCGCCTCCCGCATCTTACAGCAAGGCGCACCGTATTGACGCACCATCTTGTGTCGTATCATGTGCTGTCGTCATCCATCGCGTTAACATAAAAACATTAGGGGATCTATTTCCCTGGACGGCCAGCCAAGCCGACCCGACAAGTCAGGACCACACAGCCAGCCTTTCCTCTCCTTCCTTCCTTCTCGGGTCCGTCCCTCTCCCCACCGTTCCGAGTACTCCTGGTATCTAGACCCTAAGCCGTGTCGGCGAGCGAAAAGCCAAGCCAAGCCGTTGTCCCGTCCCGTCCTATCCAGCCACTTAACGCCCCCCCCCCCCCCCCTCTCTTTCTCTCTCCCTCACGGATTCCCGTTCACGCGCCCGTCCACGACTCCGTGATGTGCTCCGAAGCAGCGACATGGATCACCGACGACGGCGTGTAAAGACAAAGGGCGGAGAAGAGCAGGGAGAAGAGAGAGGGGATAAAAAAAAAGAACGTGAAGTAAAATACACATAGACCAGAGAGCGGAGGAGAGAGAAAAAAGGATAAGAGAGAAGGGGGACACGAGCCCTCAGCCTCACTCCCCTCTCCTTTCCTCTCTCGGCGCCAGCTCCAGAGGTAATACACGAGAGAAGGAAAAGAGCGCAGGGAAAAAAGAAAGAAAGAATTCGCAACGCCGGAGGCCAGCAACGCAGACGAGCGCCGGGGCCGTCACGGCGCAGGCAGAGGCGGACGGATGCGGCGGAACGGGCCGACCAATCAGGCGGCGGCGGCGCCGTCGGCGGACAGGTTGGAGCGCGGGGCTTTGCCGGCGAGAGCCTTGGCGGAGGACTGGGCGAAGAGAGACTTGGGCTTGATGCTGCGGCCGGGGGGAGAGGGGGGCGGGACAGACGTGGTCAGCGCGGGTGCTTTCGCTCTGTGGTCCAGGGAGGGGGCCAGAACTTACCGGTTCATCTGGCGGCCCTTGAGGGCGCTCAGCTTGGCGGTGCAAGGACTCATGATGTTGTCCGAGGGCGAGATGTACTGCTGCTTGTTTCTACCGTCGGCGGCGTCCCCCAGGTTAGCTGACGGCTGCGCGTTCGGGGGGTGGTGGAACAAGCCGAGGGGGGCCGTGGCCTCGTGGGTAGTGACGGCGCTCTTGGTGGCAGCGGTGGTGCTGGAACCGGCGGCGGCAGCGGCGGCAACAATGGTGGTGGTGGTGATGGTGCTAGTAGCGTTGGAGGATCCGTACTTCTCTTCCTCCATCTTGGACTGCAGCCGCTGGCGCTGCTGCTCCAGGGTCTTGGCGCCGGAGGTCTTGCTCTGGGCTTTGGCGGCCGGGTCCTGGGTCTGCAGGGCCGCGTTGACGTCCTTGTTCGCTAAGACGGAACCCATCGTGATCTCGGTCCGGTGGTAGCTGGCGATAGCTGTCTGGAGCCGCGCGGGGTGTATGCTTGTGATGTAGAGACGGCTGGGCTGGGGTAGATGCGTAGCCGGAAGACAGGTAGTTAGGATCAGGCAAGCCAACGGAGTCCAGTCTGGATAGATGGACGATGCGGAGGTCAAGGGACTGAGCGAGGACGATAGTTGTTGGGTGTAGGTTGTCTTTTCACAAATGGATGCCACAACGTGTTGATTTATGGAGGAGAAGAATGTGCTGCTGTGCATGCCGGTGGGGGAGGGGAAGGGGCTGCCGGAGGTATGTATATGCACCTGTCGGTTCCCATTTTCATCTGCTAGGATCTGGGGTCAAAGCTTTGGGAAGTAAATACATGTGTAGAGCTCCTCCGTCGACCGAGCGACAGCTCCCAGGACAGGGGCAGCCTTGTGCATGTGGGGTCTGAGTACAAAGGTACACATCCACCTAATGATCCCAGGTATAGGTGTAGGCAGGTACCTTTGTAGAGGTGGTAGTGTGCTACGCTGCCTTAGGTAATACGCACCCATAAAAGGTACCTACCGGGGTGGGTACACGGTACTTCCGCACCGTTCCAAACATCTTCCGACCAAACAGGAACAAAGAATAAAAACAACGTCGATAAACACCCGCCAACATCTCCTCCATTGGCCACACCCTCCCGGGTCGTCCTCGCAACCGCGAAACATTCCCCCGGCCCCTATAACAAGCCATTTAATCCCCGGTTCTGACTCACATGTGTTAGCTTGCCCTTGTGTCGTATCCGCTTTGCTGCGAGTCACCAAGGAGAAACCGGCCAACGACAACGAGAGCAACAACATCAACAGATATTCGCCTATCGCCGCCGTCGTGGGTCGGGTCGTCACGCTGCCCTCGCTACCCCATCGCGTCTCCTCTTAATCCTCTTCACCGGGGCTGTGGCCGTGTTTGCGACCATGGCGTCATTTATGGGTGTGTGCGTGCAGCGCCTCGTGAACACCTCGACCAGATAAATCTCCCATTGCCTGGCGCTGTCTCAAGCAGAGACCTCGCATGCACCCATCGCCGAGTCGCAGCAGCACGTTACCGACCGAAGCTAATACCGGGAGTTGACCGGGGCGTTTTAGCTCCAGCACGCCTCCGTCGCAGGACCAGGCTCTTGGCCCGAGCCCTTCCACCCCTATTAGCCGCGCGTCGTCGCGGCGCGGCCGTGGAGAGGACAGAATCCGGGTAAACATTGCGTGTTGAGCGTGGCCTCCGAACCCTCTGCATCTATACGTGAACAAAATACACGCTGCGTGGTAGAAGGGGAGGACGTCAAGTGGCAAGGGGATGTTTCGAATTCGTGAGACCATGTCCGTAGATACAAACCTACGTGTTCACACAGCATACGCCTAGAGGTCCCGAGATGCATTGCCAAATGACGGCGCCCAACCCGGGGTTCGCCGACTCCTTCTGGTGAGGATGCATGAATTCCGTCAATCTTATCTTTCCGGGGGTCCTCCCCGGTATACTTCATCACGTATGGACGATATCTTAGACCCGGGCTATAGTACGGCATGTGTTTACGACGTTCGAGTCATACGTCGGCCGCACACGCCCCGGGCAACCATGACTCCTGGCCCCAACGCTCACCCGCAATTTCGGCTTCGTGGTCTGACGGGCTTGCAAGCTAGTAGAGAGATCAACAAGGTATGGACGGTTATCGAGCAGTCATCAGAATGCAAATTTCACACGAGTTGCGTCTCGGCCCGCGTTCTCACCCCAATATCCAATTTATTTCCCTCTCGTTCGAGGTAATATCGCAATTGATACCGTAAAACAATGTCGTATCCTAGCTACATGTACATGCAGGTATGTATGTGTATATGTATATATGTGGGTGATCGAAGCCTCGCTTTCACAGCCTCGGCTTGATGTTACTCCCGGGCTCGAAGAGCTTGACGTTGTGCTGGCGGAGCAGCTGCTGCGTCTTGTCCTTCTGGGCCTGGATCTTGCGCGTGACCTCCTTGCCGGCGCGGTTCTCGTTGCGGCCCATCTGCTGGAGGTGGACCTCGTCGGGCCCGTCGGCGAGGCGCAGCGTGCGGATCTGCGTCCACATGCCGGCCAGCGGCGTGTCCTGGCTGACGCCGGCGCCGCCGAAGGCCTGCACGGCCCGGTCGATGACGGCGAGCGCGGTCTGCGGCACGAGCACTTTGGCTTGCGCGATCTCCCGCAGGCTCGCCTTCGGCCCCAGGTCGTCCATCCGCACCGCCGCGTTGAGCACGATGAGCCGCGCCGCGTCGATCTCGATCCGCGACTTCGCCACCCACTCGAGGATCACGCCGTGCTCGCTCAGCTGCTTGCCGAACGTCGTCTTGCGCGGGTCGTTGATCCGCATCAGCATCCATTCGAGCGCCCGCTCCGCCGCGCCGATCGACCGCATCGCGTGGTGGATCCGCCCCGGCCCCAGCCGCCCCTGGATGATCTCGAAGCCCCGGCCTTCGCCCAGGACAAGGTTGCCCACCGGCACTCGGACGTCCTTGAACAATAGGTGGCCGTGTCCGTGCGGCGCGTCGTCGTACCCATACACGCTTAGCATACGGTGGATCGTGATGCCCTTGGCGTTCGCCGGCACCAGGACGACGGACTGCTGCTTGTAGGGGTCCTTATTGTCGGGATCCGTCTTGCCCATGACGACGTAGATCTTGCATCGAGGGTCACCGGCACCACTAGACCACCATTTCTACCTGCCGTTAGCACGGGACATTGCGACGGCGAGAAAAATGAGCGGGAGAGGGAGGAGACGGAGAGACGTACCGATCCGTTCAGGACATATTCGTCGCCATCCCTGGTGATGCGGAGCTGGATGTTTGTCGCGTCCGACGACGCGATCTCTGGCTCGGTCATGAGGAAGGCCGACCTGATCTCACCGTCCATCAAGGGCTTCAGCCATTGGGCCTTCTGGGCCTCATTGCCGTATTTGGCGAGAACTTCCATATTGCCAGTGTCCGGGGCGGCGCAGTTGGTAGCTTCGGACGCCGTCCGCGACCTGCCCAGCCACTCGGCCATCAGGCCGTATTCCAAGTTGCTGAAGCCCGGCGACTCCTTATAGTGGCCCTTAGGGAGGAACATGTTCCACAATCCCAGCTTTTTCGCTTTCGCCTTCAACTCTTCGATGATAGCGGGGTAATGGTCCCATCGTGCAGAGCCTTCGCCGATCTGGGCTTCGAGGACGGGGTCTGCTCTGGTCGGCTCGATCGTCAGCGGCGGTGTGGAGGGTTATAGGAGGGAGAGGAGGCTCACGGTATGCATTCCTCCTCGACAAACTTCGCGACGATATCCAATGTCTTCCTCGCTCTCTCGCTCACACGGGGTAGCACCTAGGAGCTTGGTCAGCTAAGTTGTTGCATTCGATGTGTCTCAGGCGCTGGCGGTTACAATATCTGGGATCCTGGCCGACATGTTGGGCGGTAAATTCAAGTGCACTCAATTGCTCCTGCCTATAACTTGGGCACTTTCGAATGAGGGAAGAGAAGCTTTGGGAGGAAATGGGAGGAGAAGGTGAAAAATACGACGAAGACGGAGACGTCTCCGAGTAAAGTAGGCAACTTGCAATGGGTCTAGTTCCGAGGCCATAGCCTGTTTGACCGAGCAGACCGAGGTAGGCAAGTCAAGCGTCTTATTCAGTGGGGGTTACATGGAGTCGTTGCATGTACCGTGCTATACTACGACGGCCAGGCATAACATGTGTAGGTACACATGCATACACGCAGGGTAGTAAAGGTACAAATAACCTGGGGAGCTCCCGGTCCGGGGCATAGCCGGATGGATCGATTGTGGGCCGAGCTGGACTTCTCTCGGCCACCTATTGGACTGGGCGGAATCCGGGGCAGCAGCTGGGGAATCGGTACATCCATAAGGCGCTACTGTGGGTACATGTACGTACCGCATCCATGCCAATATATATGCATATGTGCCTGTGTAGGTATATTTATACATGTAGGTTTCTATGTATATTTCTATATTTTCTTATCTATATGCATATATGTATCTAAAAGATATATTCCTCGCGGACTGAGGGCCTTATCGATTTTAGTATGCCAATACCCGGATCGAGCGGTGGAGCCAGGTCGTCGCGCCCCGAAAAAACAAATAATACCTACCTACCTGTTCGTTCATTTGGGGCAGTTCGAGGCCCTTCACGGTCTCGCATCCATCAACCAACCACCGCCTCCTCAATCCCCGACAACAGAAGCCCCCATCAGCACGCCATGTCCGAAGAAAGGGATCTCGTGCCGGCCCAGTCCGCAGAGGTGGCCGCGCCGGCACCTAAGAAGGTGAAAAAGATCATCCGCAAGAAACGGCCAGCCCGCCCGCAAGTCGATCCCTCCTTCATCACCTCCGAGCCGCCGCCCCAGACCGGCACCATCTTCAACATCTGGTACAACAAGTGGTCCGGCGGCGACCGCGAAGACAAATACCTATCCAAGACCCCCGCCAAGGGCCGCTGCAACGTCGCCAAGGACAGCGGCTACACCCGTGCCGACAAGGTCACCGGCTCGTACTTCTGCCTCTTCTTCGCGCGTGGCATCTGCCCCAAGGGCCAGGACTGCGAGTACCTGCACCGCCTCCCGGGCATCCACGACCTCTTCAACCCCAACGTCGACTGCTTCGGCCGCGACAAGCACTCGGACTACCGCGACGACATGGGCGGCGTCGGCAGCTTCATGCGTCAGAACCGCACCATCTACGTCGGCCGCATACACGTCACCGACGACATCGAGGAAATCGTCGCCCGCCACTTCGCCGAGTGGGGCCAGGTCGAACGCATACGCGTGCTCAACACCCGCGGCGTCGCCTTCATCACCTACACGAACGAGGCCAACGCCCAGTTCGCCAAGGAGGCCATGGCCCACCAGGCTCTCGACCACAACGAGATTCTCAACGTGCGCTGGGCCACCGCCGACCCGAACCCCATGGCCCAGGCCCGCGAGGCACGCCGCATCGAGGAGCAGGCCGCCGAGGCCATCCGCAGGGCCCTGCCCGCCGCCTTCATCGCCGAGATCGAGGGCCGCGACCCGGAGGCTAGGAAGCGCCGCAAGATCGAGGGCAGCTTCGGTCTCGAGGGCTACGAGGCCCCCGACGACATCTACTTCGCTCGCGGTGCCCAGGCCGTCAACCCCGCCGGGAGGCAGGGCTACGAGCTGGAACACGAGCAGCGGCTGATGATTGAGGGCGGCGAGGTCAATGGCGACGGTGACGGGGAGCAGCAGCAGCGACAGCAGTCACAGCCTGCGGCAGAGGAGCAAGGAGGTATATTCTCAAACAGCACGTTGGCGGCGCTTAAAAACGCGAGGGTGTCGGCGGCTCCGAAGACCAAGGCCACGGCCCCGGCCGGTCCGTTAGTGGCGTACGGCAGTGACAGTGAGGGTGACGACTAGGCGCTTAGTGTATTAGTAAAAAAAACATTCGCGGGCACCTCCAGGAGGGATACCGGCATAGAAAATTCGGGCGTGCGTAAAGATCTGTATATAGAAAGCATCGTTTGACCTCCATAGATACCATTTGCTCAGGGCGCCCAAATTGGACAAAGACTAATTTGTTTCCTCGACGATGAACCGCAACCAACTACTCTGCTCCCGCGCATGTACCAATCCCGGGCCATAATATTCTGACCCAAGCAAGCAAATCACACTGCCATCCATCCAACTTATCCCCAACCCAACCACAAATTCCTCCCGTCCTCCCCTCTCCCTACCCTCAGCTGTTAAAGATGCGCGAGTACAGCAGCTCGTGGCGGCCGACCCACAGGTCGACGGCGGGGGCGGACTGGCCGGCGCGCTCGATGGGGACGTCCCAGGCGGCGTCGACGGCGGCAGCGAGGCAGGCGCGGGTGGGCTCGGCGGCGAGGGCGCGGTGGGCGTGGTAGGGGCCGAGGAGGCCGGCGCGGACGGCGGCGGAGGCGAGGGCCTTGGCGTGGCCGAGGAGGAAGACGTAGGCGGCCTGGCGGGCGGAGAGGCCGCAGCGGGCGGCGACGGCGCCGAAGAGGGGGGCGAAGTGGGCGGCGACGGGGGGCGGGGGCGGGGGCTCACCGTCGTCGTCGCCGTCGTCGTCGGCGCCGGCGGGGGATGGCGGTAGCGGGGCGCGCAGCAGCTCGGCGTAGGGCCGCAGCGCGTCCTCGGCGCCGGCGGGCGCGGCGAGCGAGCGCTCCCACACGGCGAGCAGCGCGCGGCCCTGCGCGACCGACGCCCGCCGCGCGACCGCGCACGGCACCGCCGCGTCCAGCGCGTCGTCCAGCGCCGCCACGCTGCCGCTCGACGGGTCCCGGTGCGCCGCCAGCACGAACGGCAGCGCCGCGCCCGCGCAGCTCGCCGCCGACACCGGCAGGAAGAAGGCGAAGAGCGCGGGGCCGGCGGGCGCGCCGACCCCTCGCGCCCGCGACCGCCCCCGCGCGTGCGCCGCGTACGACTCCAGCCCCGCGCTGAACGCGAACGACCCCAGCGGCAGCGCCGAGTCCGACAGCAGGAGCAGGTAGTGGTGCGGCGCCTGCGTGGCGAGCGACGGCGGCGGGGCGGCGGGCGGCGCGCCCGCGCCCGCCCGCGACCGCGCGAGCTTCTCCCTCGCCCGCCGCAGCCGGCGCTCTAACTCGGCGACCTCGCGCGCGAGCGCCTCTTCCGAGTCGTCGCCGGCGGTCGCGGTTTTCATGGCGCGGGCGGATGCCGCACTCGAGGGTTAGATAGCAGGCCTTGCTGCGGTTATTGCTATTGGCTTGGTCGCACGTGATGAAGGCCAGGGTCGGGTTGTGTTAGAGGATGCGATTCACGCCAGTGGAGCGGACGGATTGAGAGGATTAGTAGAGGGAATGGAGCGGAGCGTTTAGCCGCGGAAGCACAGTTTCGCAGGAAAACGGTTGATTTTCTGCTCTCATACAACAAGGGTTGATCCATTTAGACCGGTTTAAACCAGTGGTCTCGTCCGCACCGATAACGCCCGGGACCGCTCGACTCCGTCGTATACCCGTCATCAAATACAGGATCCGTTGGTTTTGTTCACCAACGGACGGAAGAGGAGGAAACCTAGTACAGAAACACACCGAGCGTCTGTAAACCCATATTTGGTACAATGCAATACCGCCTAAATTCGCCTCCTGTCATGCATGCCCTTGAAAGCGAACCCGACCATACCCAACCGTTTCCTCCGTGGCCCTCCCCCCCCGCAATGAATATCACCTCGCCTCCACCTGTTAGGGTCGGACATTCTCCTTGTCGCGGAGACGGCTTCCGTTCTTTTGTCTTTCCAGCCGCTTCTGCTCCAGGCGGGCTCGAGCTGCAGCCTGGCGATCGGCCGGCAACGTGCATCGAGAAGTATTCACCGAGGTTGTGCGTTCCGGCTCAGGACCGCCGACGCGTGCGAATCGGTTCTGCACCAGATCGTAACCCGGAGTATCGCCGCCGCCCGGCGACAACGCGTGGCTGGCGACGGATTTCGGCCTAGTTCGCGGTGTTGCCTTGTCCAAAACGCCGTGCATGTCGGCCTTGTCAACGGCGAGAGACGTAGGGCGGGCCCTACTCGTTGTCTGGCCGGGCGCATCCCCGCGAGCGCCAGACGACAGGGGCTCGTGGGCGCTCAGACGATGATGGTGGCGTGGGGAAGTGTCCTTCGTTGATGCCTCGTTGAGTTTGTCCGAGAGCACGTTAGTCGCGGCTCTGCGGGAGTCGGAAGGTGGCGACGACTCCTTAGGCTTCGTGATAGGACGGGGAGGGGCAATATCAAAGTCTTCCATCACCAGTTCCCTCTCTCGCTTGACACCCTCCGTTCGCTCTTTTCTCTTCGGCGGCTTGCTGGTGTAGGCCTGGCTGGCCGATCCGTCGGGGCGCGAGGAAGTATGAGACTTCACCTTGGGAGTGCGGTCCCTCTCCTGCTCATCCTCGTCCCCGAGGAGAGATCTCCGGGTCATGTCGAGCGTGAGGTCCTCAACCGAGGCTGCCCGTCTATGGCGGCGCGAGGAATGACCCCCCTCGTATTTGGACGGTTTGCTGAGGGACTCGATCCCGGACTTGAGGTCTCGCGTGGTTCTGCTCGAAGTGCGCGAGGCTTCGAGAGTCTTGACGGCCTTTTCTAATTCGGCAATCTTGCCGTTCTTCTCCTGCAGCACCTGCATAGCTTCGGAAGTTCGGAGCTTGGCATCCCTCTTGAGGCTCTCGTAGTCCCTCTTGAGTCTTCTGATGTCAGTGTCCTTCTCTCGTAACTCGTCCTTAGTCTCGCGTAACTGCCTCTCTAACTTCTGGACCCGCGATGAGTCGACGGCTCCCGCATTGCTCTGCTCCTCGGCCAGCCGCTTTGCCCGCTGCTCTGCCGCACTTAGATCCGACTTGAGCCGTTTCACTTCTTCGCGAAGTTTATCCATGTGCTTCAGTTCGGACCTTGCTCTTCTCAGTTCTCGGTTAACTTCGAAAAGAGTCCGTTCCGTTCTGGGTGATGTGTCGATGCGGCGATCAGCCTGGTTCAAGTCGTCCTCGTACTCCCTGAGGAGCGCCTCGAGCTCCTTAACCTGATCCCGGTACTGCACAGCCAAGGCAGTCTGCTTAGCTAAATCCTTCATGATACGATCAGTATCGCTATTGTCGCTACCGCGCCTTCGCCTGTCGGTAACTTGGGTGGCTAGGACCGCAATCTTCTCCTCCATCTCAGCCACTTTGGCTTGTTCGTCCTTCAGCTTCTGGGCTAGATCAAGCGCTTCGGCGTCTTTCTGTTGAGCATACGACTTGGCCAAGGCCTTGAACTTCACCATCCGCTCGATATCTGCCATCGCCTCGTCGCGGTATCTGTTAAATTCCGCCTTCCAGTACTTCCCCGACTCCGAGTGGGGCTCATTAAGATCCACTGTTAAGTCGTGGTGGCAGATATCGTCCTCCCACTCGCCCTCGGACTCGTCATTGGTCGCCTTCGCAGAGGCCTCCTCGTCCACCTTCTCCAGCGACCTCTTAGATTTATCGGAGCGGGAGTTTTCCAACGCTTGCTGGAGAGTCGTCCTTCTCCGAGATCGCGCGCGGGAGAGGGGGCTGGCGTCTACGCTGTTGCTGGGCTTGACGTCGTGGTTGAAGGAAACACGCTTGCGGCGTGCCGTCCCAGTCCCGGGGGTCAGTAGGATGCTGGTAGGCTTGGTGGGAGACTGCATGTCATTCGACCCCGCGTCATTGTTTGCGTTTTTCGCAGGGTCGGCAGGCTTCGCCATAGCGGGGAGGGGGACAGGCTGAGCATTTCCGTGTCCGAATATGGCATTCCGGATGGCACGCGCTGCGAAGATGGGAGCTGGCGTATCGGGGGCCTCGAACTGCGTCGTATCCTCTGCGCGAATTAGCCAAGCCCCGAAGTCTGCGGGGTGAACCGAAGCTGCGGCGCTCTCGCCTTACCTCCAGCGGCATGGGACGCGTCGTTCTTCCCGGAGGCGCCTTGGAAGCCTCTCTTAAGAGCCCACCCAAGCATCGCGCTCGACGAGAATGGCGTTCGCCTATAGAAGTGCGACCATGAGCAAGTGAAAGACGGTGGAGCGGCGCGGGTCAGCGAGGTGAATTCGCGGCCTGACGATGGTTGCGATACGGCAATGGGCGTAAGACGAGATGTTGTTGGCGTGTTTACTTGTGTAGTCGAGAAGTCCGGGGCAACATCGAAAGCGCCGCAATTGAACCAATTGAACCAGTCTGGGAGCGCGTTCCCAGGGCTGAAGTAGGTACAGTTCTCAGGTACCTCCCGCAGCCTATCGCCGTAGGCAAGATACTTGCTCTCATGCCTGTTTATTGTACTCATACCCTGCCAGGCGGCACATGGGCCGGTGGCTGTACACGTACATTGTGCCGGGTACCTACCTGTAATGTACATGACCTAATATCGCATCAAATTACCTAACATGATGGCCGTTATCACATGGTGGGGTAAATGTACCTAGGTACCTGTCTCAAGGACCTCAGTATATCGGCACCTCCACAGAGACCCGACGGGTGCATTTCCTTTCCGCAGCCCAGATATCTGTTTCTTCTGGCCGTGCCGATATAGGTCATACCGACATAGGGGGTTTGGGCGGCATTGGACGAGAAGACGAGAAGAGATGTCCCGGAGAGGCCACCTCCTCCTAGGCTGCAGATATCTTCTCTCTCTTCTACCGCCCACCAGTCCAGGCCAGGTTGCTGTCGACGCAGCTAGATGCTCTATCGTTTGCCTCAAGGCATCGATAATACCCCCTACGCAAGCGGTATGTATACTCTACAGTATAAAGAGGTACTTGCTAAGCGGGTGGGTATTGCTAGGGTACCTGTAGCCTGTAGGCACCTGAGGCTAGGAGGTGCGTTAGGAGATTTGGAGGTGCCCTTCTTACTAAATAAAGGCGTATAGAGGCACCCGGTCAAGGAAGAGGCCAGGTGATGCAGGGAGCCCTGTAGGCATGATGTAGGTACCTGACAGCCTGAGGCATGTAGCGTTGGCACATGGGAGGTACAAAACACAAAGGTGCTCCCCTGGCTGTACCTAGGGTACCTAAATTACAGCTCCCTACAAGACCCTGCCGCCGCACCTCCACGCCCACTACTTTTCGACCAGATCGACAGGGAGACGAGCCTGTATGTAGCCTCAACTCATCAACTTCCCCTTGGTGGTTCTCACCACCTCCTCCTCGATAGATCTAGGAGCCACCTGTATTTGTGTATCAACTACTTTATCTCCGCTGCGACATGGCCACAGATCAGTAGACCAGCCACAGCCACGGCTGTGTGAGTCTCTTCGTTCGCCTCGCTCCACCCGAACGACCCCTGCTGAAATGTCAAGATGGCTTCGAAACCAACCGGACCTTGGAAAGGGCATAGGCAGCTCACTACCAAAGCCGATGACTCGAGTTACCCCGGGCTGACCCCCGCCAGCCCCGACATGGCGTCCAAAACGCAGTATCTCGACGCTCAGAAGGAGGAGATTATGGTTCTGCAGGCCATCTACGGCGATGACTATATCGAGCACAAGGCTGCCAACACAGCCTGGCAGAAGTCTGAGCCGTCCTTTGACATCCGTGTCAAAGCCCTCTCGGATGAAGAAGTAGCCGTCACCCTGAGCGTTGTTCTCACGGCCACATACCCCAAGTCGGCCCCCTTGCTCAGCCTAAAGGACGAGGGTGTCCTGAACGAATCGACTGTATTCAAGCTGCAGAAGTTTATTGAGAAAAAGCCCAAGGCTCTGGCCGCACAAGGCCAGTCAGAGCCTATGATCCACGAGCTAGCCCAGGGCCTCCAAGATATCCTTGAAGACGCCGCCCAAGCCAAATCCCACGGGTTGGAGTTGCCCTCGCTAGAAGAAGAGAGGGCAGCTCACGAAGCAGAGCTAGCCAAGCAAGCCCGAGAGCAGCACGAGGAGGAGGAACGCAGGAGACAAGATGCGATCAAAGAGGAAGAGAGGGTGATGCAGGATATGATACAGCAAGAAGTCGACCGGCAACGGACCAAGGTCAAGGAATCGAAGAAGAAAAACAAACCCCAACCGGCCAATACTCGCTCTCAAAACCCGCAGGTCTCGGAAACCAAGAGGATTGAGTTCGACCAAACATGCGCGGTTACCGACTCAGCTGGGGATGCCTTTGTGTTCAACGCTGTCACCGGTCGAAGCGAATTCCGCAAGGGACAGGTCGCCACGACGTACCGAGTCTGGCCACACATCCCCGGCGGACGAAACGGACCGAGTCTCGCTCTCAAAGAATTCCACCTACGGTCTGATCCCAAGGAGTCGGCCCAGTTTAAAAAGCAACTGCAGGCATTGGAAGGGCAGTTGGAGTCGGTGAAGAAGATATCACACCGCAACATCCTTGAGCTCCTGAACTTCCGCGTCGATCGAGAGCATGCCGAGGACGGGCCGGCTTCTATGGGCTGGACGGTGCGACTCCTCACCCCGCTTGCAGAGAGAGGTGCATTGGAAGAGTTACTAGATCTCGCAGGGCGACTCGAAGTGGGAAGAGTTCGCTCGTGGGTAGCTGATCTACTAAATGCTCTAGGGCATCTGCACGGATCTGGCATTGTTCACCAGGATATTCATCCTCGAAATATACTCCTCTTTAGGGAGCCGACCGGAGATGTCATAGTGAAACTTTCCGATGTCGCCTATGAAAGGGAGCTGCATAATCTCTGCCGTAGGTCGCTCAAAAGCTCGTCTGCGGACTCTGCGAGATCCACCTACTGGCTACCACCCGAGGTTGCTGGAAGCTCGCGGCCACAGCTCACCCAAAAGACCGACGTATGGGACCTTGGGGTCGTCTTCTTGCAAATGATATTCGGGCTTGATGTGTTCCAAAGATATCAGTCCCCAGCTGCCCTCATAGACTCCCTGTCCCTATCTAGGCCGCTGGAGGAATTGGTGGCCCGTTTTTTCAAGCTAGATCCCAAGAAGCGGCCTCGGGCATTCGAACTGAGCTCCAGTGAATTTCTTGCAACCGACGCACCCATCATCGTTGATGATGTCTCCGCTAGCTTCCTTACTCCCAACTCACCGGGTTCGCTATCACAGGCCCTCCTTATGCGGCCAAGACACGACTCTATTACTCGAGCCCAAATTTCGTCGCGGTATAAGGAGGATTTTGTGGAAGAGGCACGGTTGGGTAAGGGAGGCTTCGGCGAGGTTGTGAAGGCGCGAAAGAAGCTCGACGGCCAAATCTACGCCATCAAGAAAATCACCCAACGCTCCCAAGCAAGCCTGTCTGCGGTACTGAAAGAAGTTAGGCTGCTTTCTCAGCTAAGTCACCCCGCCGTCGTGAGATACTACAATACCTGGCTGGAGGAGATACCCGATTTGCCGGACACGGACGAGGATACGTCGACCGAGGATGCCAATACCGACTCGAAGCAGACTGCCTCACAAGGAATCGATATCCAATTTGCTCCTAGCGCCGGAGGGTTGGATTTCATCTCATCCAGCCACCCTAATATAGAGTTTGGGTACGACGAATCGGACGCCGAGGATAACGAGGATACAGATGAGGACGCGGACGAGGATGCGGACGAGGATGAAGATGACGAGTCGGACGTGAATTCCGTCATCGCTCGTTCCGCTGAGGATGAGGGCACAGGGCCCACGGCTCCGCTCGGCAAAGTCAAGAGCAATACAAGACAATTCGGGACTATAATGTACATCTCCATGGAATATTGCGAAAAGCGGGTGGGTATTGTATTGCATACCGAGAGCACCTCTCCCCTTTCTCTCTCTCTTTCTCTTCACGGAAATGCTAACTTTCGCATAGACATTACGAGACCTTATCCAAAGACACCTCTACAAGGAGAACGACGAGGTTTGGCGCCTTTTTCGCCAGATATTGGAAGGATTGGCTCATATTCACGGGCTTAATATCATCCACCGCGATCTCAAGCCAGAAAACATCTTCATTAGTCTTGGACCTGACGGGGTAAATAACGTCAAGATTGGTGACTTCGGGTTGGCTACTGCCGGCCAATTTGCTGCCGAAAAATTCACCGCAGCTAGCTTGGATTCAGGCGACTTAACTAGAAGCATCGGTACATCGTATTACGTTGCCCCGGAGGTCCGAAGAGCGGGAGGAGGGTCATATACCTCGAAAGTTGATGTAAGTCGTCTCGCAGCCTCTAAACTCAAGTGTTCTGCGTCTAACTTGGTTAAAGATGTACTCACTCGGAGTTATCTTCTTCGAGATGTGCTACCATCCAGTCGTGGGTATGGAGAGAGCCGACAAGCTGGGAAAGCTGGGCGACTCCTCCCTCCTTCCGGACGACTTCCAACCCGGTAATACGGCGAAATCAGACATCGTTCTCTCGCTAGTCACACACGACGCGAAGGAACGCCCCGGCAGCATTGAGCTCCTGAGGAGCGGAAAGCTCCCGATTCAGATGGAAAACGAGACGGCGCAGAGAGCGCTTGCAAGCCTCACCAATTCCGCATCGCCGTACTATCCTAAGGTCGTCTCGGCGTTGTTCTCGGCACACTCGGAGCCGACGAAGGACTACGCCTGGGACATGTCAACGCCAAACCCGACCGTCATGGAACTGCTCCACCAAAGCGTAGTCAAAGAGGAACTGATATCGGTTTTTCGCCGCCATGGTGCAGTCGAGGCCCCTCGTGGTTCCCTATATCCCCGTTCTCGACATTATTCTTCCAATCAAAATATCGTTCAGCTATTGGATCAAAATGGCACCGTTGTACAGCTGCCTTTCGACCTAACACTTGGAAATGCCAGAGTCCTCGCAAGGCACGGCACTACTACTGCCGTTCGGAGATCCTTCACGTTTGGGAATGTCTACCGCGATAGGCAGAACGGCGGACAGCCGCTCACGATTGGTGAGGTCGACTACGACATTGTCTCTGCGGATACCTTGGATCTTGCCCTCAAGGAGGCCGAAGCAATCAAGGTGCTGGATGAGATTATCGACGCCTTCCCTTCGACGTCACCCATGTGCTTTCACCTGAGCCATTCTGACCTATTGCAACTCATCTTCGACTTTTGTAACGTAGATTTGAGTGCAAGGCAACTGACCGCCGAGTCTCTCAGCAAGCTGAATATTCATAGCTGGACTTTCGCGAAGATCCGGGCGGAGCTTCGATCGCCGATGATCGGAATCTCGGCCACCTGCATCGAAGATCTTCGCCGGTTCGATTTCCGAGGTAAGTATTCGTCCTCTCATCTTTCGCAAATGTCTGCGTAGACAGCTAGCTCACTAGTAGTAGATACCCCGACGAAAGCATTCTCTAAGCTGAAGACTATCTTCGAAGGCAACCGGCTGTACGAGAGGTTACAACCAACCCTGGCGCATCTGAAGGATGTCGTAGAGTACACGAAACGCTTCGGCGTCCACGCCAAGATTTATATCTGCCCACTCAGTAGCGTGAAGGCGAACTTTTTCTCGGGCGGGATGCTGTTCCAGTGTCTATATGACAAGAAGGTCAAAGACGTCTTCGCCGCCGGCGGTCGCTACGATAGCTTGATCAAATCCCACCACCCAAAGAATGGCCAAGGGCCGCACGCGGTTGGTTTTAGCTTGGCATGGGAGAAGTTGGCGCGAATGCCCAAGGCTTCGGGAGGCAAGGCCTTCTTAAAGAAATCGGAAGAGGAAGGGCAGGGGATCCTTAATGCTAAGCGGGTAAGCCCATCAGCGGTTCTGTGCATCGCGTTGTTGTTACTTGACTAACCCCTTCCCCATAGTGCGACGTTCTCGTCGCCAGCTTCGACGCTCATACTCTTCGTACGGCGGGTATCGAAATCCTGTCGATGTTGTGGTCTCACGACATCAGCGCCGAGCTAGCTCGGGACTCTCGATCTCCTGATGAGCTAACGTCGAGAAATCGGGACGAGACGTATTCGTGGATAGCTATCCTCAAACAGGACAACATGGTGAAGATAAGAACGATGGATCGCAAGGATATCCCCGACGCGGAGATCCCGGTCGCGGAACTGCTTCCCTGGCTACGTACGGCCCTGCGAGAACGCCCCGTCCGCAACCAGGGATTGCCCAAGGCGTCCGAAGGCGCGAGCGCGAGCGCGGCGCCAGCGGTGCAGGGCGGCGGGGCGCTGGCGGGCAACGCGGGCCAGGAGGTGCGGGTGCTGGTGGCGGGGACGCGGTCGAAGAAGTTCAACCGGCGGATCGTGATCGAGCAGGCGCAGGCGAACGCGGCGGCGCACCTGCAGACGTTCCTGGGCGGGCCGATCGCCGCGGTCGAGACGTCGGACGCGGCGCTGGACCTGATCGCGGGCACGGCCCTGTCCGAGCCCGAGAGCTGGCGCCGCGCCGAGCAGTCGGTCGACAAGAGCGAGCGCCGCTACTTCCGCGAGATCCACGACATGCTGCGCGAGTGGCGGTCCGCCTGGGAGGGGAAGGACAGCGGCGGCAGCGGCAGCAATAACGGCCGCAGCCGGCACGCCTTCGTCTACAACTTCCGCACCACCAAGTGCATCTACTACGACCTGGCGGCCTGAGCCGCCCTCGGAAAGGGGGGGGCCCGGCTGGCCGGCCGGCTCGCGGCACATGCTATACGGCGAGCTATGCGCGGCCGGGGGAGTGGAGCTACACCGCGCGGGGGACGAAGCTGGAGAGATATGTCGTCGCCTCCTTAGTACGGGGAGAGACGTGTGTAAACAGAAGGGAGATGGATATTTGTGTGGTCACACGTGTTGCTATGAAGACAGGTAGGCAGGTAGACAGGTAGATACCCCAAATGAAGGCCACCCGCTCTGAATACCCGCCAGAACACGGCGGAGACCGTCCCTGTCGGTGAGAAAGAAAGCGAACGGCGCGTGCACACCGGTTCGATGTAGGAGGGGGCCCTCGCCTCTCTTATCGCGGATGTCCCCTTTCTAGATGCCGCCGTTTCCGTCTTCGAAGACCCTCGCTAGAATCCTGCCCCCTGCAATCTTCATTCCCTCAGCCGCAGGGGGGGGGGCTGTTGGACTCACGTATGCGATAAGTTGCACAGAGAACGCCTAGCAATATTCTAAGTACAAGCAGAGTCGAGGGGGGTCCTACTCCTACACGTGCGCTTGCGCGAGCATATATGTACAGGAAGACAGGCAGGCAGACGTGCATAGAGAGAGAGAGAGAGAAGTAAGATTAGGTAGAGAGTATGCGTGTATGTAAGCTTACAAAGTCGGGCACGGGGCGACAGCAGCGGCGGGCGCGAAGGCGGGCGTATAGGGAGGGATAGGGAGAGGCAAGGTAAAGGGGGCGGTGGGGTGGTGTGAAGACCGTGCCGGGTGAGGCTAGCGGACGTGTAGAGAAGACAGAGGACCCGGACCTCTCGCACTGCCGCGCTTCCCCCCCCCTTTCTATTTCCTTCCATTTTCCTTTTCCTCCACGGTAGCCCTCATCACGATGCCCTCCCCTGCACGTAAATCCCGCCAGCCCCCCATCGTATACACGTAACTTGCGTATCGTCCTTCTCCCTTCTTTTCTTGAATAAACGTTACAGCGTCACAAACCATGTCAAGATGGATGTATTGTACACCGGGGTTCGGGTATTGCCCCTTGGCCGGATATCGGCTCACCCCTCACTACGTTGTGGTGCCCTCGAAACCGACCTCCTTTTTATAACTTGTAGTACTCCTCGAACCATCTCTCCAGCTCTTTTAAGCTGTTGGCTTCCTCTTCGGTCGTCTCGGCTTTCCTTCCGAACGCTTCCTCCCACGTTAACGGTTTGTCCAGGCCATAGACGTGAACGGGGCTGTTCTTCGCTCTCTTCAGCTCGTTCCTTCTAAACTCTCGGCCGGCATTCGTGTGGAGGTCGAGGTTTCCGCAAAACATCTTGTACCATTCTGCCTCCTTATCGCCAGTATCCTGGAATAATTTCCGGCGTCGGGTTTGACATTGCTGATAAATTGTCTGTACCCGCGGGCTCGCTATCTCCTCGATGTTGTACTCCACAACCCAGTGGTCAGATCCTTTGAGGTCTTCAGGTCGCGCTACGTACTGGCCGTTGACCTTATTCCTGATGGTTACAACCATGCCAAGCAAATCTGGCACCACTTCCTCTTTAGTTTCCGTGTTTGATTCGCCCGAAGTCGCGCTGGAAGACTCCTGAGACTCTGAAGAATCTTGCGCGCCCGCCTCCCCTGTCTCCGACATTGTTGCCTCCGCTCCGTCCTGTGTCTCTGGCTCTGTCTGAGTTTCTGAGGCTTGGCCGACATTATTCGTAGGGAGCCGAGTTCGCTCGTCCTTCGAACGTGCGATGAGCTGGCCGAGAATCCTCTCAAATTCTTTAAGTTTGGACGAATCATCTGCTGGGCTGCGCATCTCGTCTGACACAGACCTTTCGTCGATTCTCTGAGCCATGCTTACGATAAGGTCCTTCAACGAGGACATTCTCGGCGCGGTACTTGGAGCTCTCTTGGGTTCTCCGGCCTCCGGTTCGGCGTCGCCGTCGTCTTCGTCGTCTTCGTCGTCGTCTTCCTCTTCGTCCTCCTCGTTCTCCTCGTCCTCCTCTTCCTCTTCATCCTCCTCTACTTCTCTAGATGGGGTGGGGTTGGCCTGTTCTTGTGATGTGGATCTACCAACCGAGGCTGACGCATCTGAATCGGGTGCGAGATTGCCCTGTCCATTTTCGGGAGCGGTTGACACTTCTGAACTGTGTTCGCGTGTCTCTTCGGTGACGTCTTGTGCCTTCTGCACATCTTCGGTTCGTTCTTCGGCCAATTCTCCAGTCGACTCCGTCGGTTCCTCGGTTGGCTCCTCAACCTGCTGCGTATGATCCTCGGGCGAGCTTGACGAAGATTCTATCGGCCGGGGAGGTTTGCTACCGGTGACAATGGCATTAAGCAAAGCATCGACGTGCCCTCGAGCGTCCGTAGAGGATGTAGCGTGGAGCAACCCGCTCTGTTCTAGCGCATCTTCGATGGCTTCTCGCACTGCCCCTACGCCTATTTCGTCGTCGTCCACGGCGTCCTCGACCATCTGAAGCACCTCTTCCCACGCAGAGAGGCTCGTCGTATCCTGATCCTGGATCTCGCAAGCTTGAGCCTGGACCTCGCAAGCTTGCTCCATTCTTTCTTCTGCCTCGGCCGATTCTTCCTCCTCGGCCAATTCTTTGGCCGAGGAGGCGATCGATTCTGCCTCTGCCTCGGCGTCTGCCTCCGCCAGGCCTAGTATGTCCCTCTCAAACGCTTCGATGGATGCCTTGGTGGCATTCTGGACCTCATCGATATCCTCTTGGGACACGGGCTTGGCAAATACGTACATGAACGGTGCAGAAACAGAAGTCCTTGTCTCGAAATGCAACCTCAAGGATTGTTCTGGGAACTTTTTGGTTGCCCGGTCCAGAACGTCATTTAGTAGGGCGAGACTGATCTTATACTCCTGATCTCCAGTCATCCGGTGGCAGGTTCCATGCAACGCAAGGTCCATCTCGACTAGTGGGATGTATTGGAAGCCGAAGATGCGCTGAGTATTGTGGAATGCGACGAATATACCATCCATACGGCCCATACGAACTTGAAGGGAATATTTCAAGAATGCGGAGCGAATCATATCGTAGTATTCCCGCTCGAACGATGCCCACTGACCGAATCGGCTGCGAATCTCGTATCCGAGTCCTTTGTGGAAGCCTTTGGCATCCATGCGGATGGATACGACAGCGCGTGTCTTAAGATCGAACATACCCGTCCCCGGCACCCTCGGATCGTACGCATCCAACTGCGAGCGCATCATGAAGTCGCGGAAGCCGGTGTAATGGAACGCCTCATCGGCATTGCGCTCTTCCTCGGTAATTTGATCCGAATTGACGTGCCTGTATCTTTCGTAACCTTCCCTAGAAAGCGTCAGGAGCTTCTCCATAGATTTGCCCAGCATACTCAGAATATTTGCCGTGTCGAATTCCTTGTCTGCATCGATAGCGTAGGTGCCATCTTTCCAGTGCAGGAAGATAGCTGCGGGGCCTCTCATGATCCTCGTGAACTGGACAGAGTCGGGGACCAGACTTCTAGACAACATAGTGGTATTTATCTCGCGCCAGGACGACAAGAGGTAGTGGAAGTGAGAAAGCATGGACGTCATACTAGAGGTCGAGCCTGTGTATTTTTTGCCCTGTTCTTTGGCAATCCGAATCAAGTTATTGTCCTTGGAGGAGGTCACATAACGCTGCAACGCGTTGAAATCGAACTCCTGGATCGGCATTATCTCCGACAAGTACGGGTCGAAGTTGTAGACGCGAGATCGAGGGTCTTGGACGGTATAGACGCCGGGGTTAAACAAAACTCGATCCAACCCATAAGATAGAGAAGGAACGGGAGGGCGGGGAGCGTCGACAGGGTGCAGGTGCAACTCCAGAGGGTTTATCGTGTTGATATACAGCGGTGTCTCCTCTACATCTTCCTCGTCTTCCTTTGGCTTCCTCTTCTTCTTGGTGGTGGTGGTGGTGGTGGTGGTGGTGGTGGTAGCTGCCTTCTTGGATTTCCCTTTCTTGCTCTTAGCCTTGGTGGCAGCCTTGGTTTCTTTCTTACGTTTTTCTTTCGCCTTCGAACTGAGCTTCTTGGCCTTAGCCTCGTCCCTTTTTTCCGTGGCTTCTTCATTCGTCTCATGGGTTTCAGTGACACTGTCAGCAGCAGCAGCAGCAGCAGCCTTCTTTGATTTCGTCTTCCCCGCGGCCTTCCGAGCGGGTTTGACATCCTCGTCATTGGTTTCACTGGCATTTTGGGTCGTAGGCTGAGATTCGGAGGCCTGCGAAGCGGACTGGCCACTTGGCTTGCTCATCTGTTCGACGTTGATATTCTGGGAGGCCAGGACATTCTTCAATGCTCGGAGTGCGCCCTCTAGGACTTGTATCTGGCGTGCTTCGTCGGTCTTGATAGACCCTTTCTTAGACACAGATTGCGCTTCGGCATTCTTTTCGGATTTCTTCTTCTTGCCCTTCTTCTTCGGGGGATCAGGGAGCGGGCTATCGGCTCTGTCCGTAGCGGGTTCTATCGCCGGCGCGAGTCGGAAGGGGGTGGTCGACAGCGTCCGGCTGTGTGGGTAAGGGAGCAAGGTGGGATGATGCACCCGCAGCCTGGGCGATGGGCATGTTCGTAGGCATGAGGCGCATATGTAGGATGTTCCGATACGGTGGGCGCCCCGGCTACTCAGTTGAAGCATCGCAAATGTTAGAGGCGTTGACGGATCGATCGTGTCTGTTCGCCTTCCAAATGTGACGTGGGGAGTGTGGGTGGAAGTGGGATAGAAGAGTGGGAGCTTTTACGAAAAAAAGGAGAAAAAAAAAGATTGAAATTTCTGGGCCTCATGTGAGAAGCGGCGATAAGATAAAGATAGGCGGGGCTGGGTTAGTACTACCTAGGTACCTTAGGTAATGCACCTTGTCTTCCCTACATGCATGTATCCATCAAGGCAATCTTCAATACGGCGCCTCTGCTTCTTTCACCCCTTCAACTCATTTTCGGTACCTAAAGAAAACCTCACACATGATGCTTCTTCAGCTAGAAGAATAGATTAAAAAGGAAGCCAGAAGGAAAACGAACTCTAGCCGCCTGCTCTCGCTACCCTACGATGCCAGGGCGGTAACTTCTGGATCGTGGGCTTGCGACCGGTTCTGAGACCTCCGGGTCATGGACGCCGACGTGATATTGGCAAAATGGCTTTCCCCGACAAGCCCATCGCTCACCTCCTAGGCTCCAACGGTGCGTCGCGGCACGATCCTACCGTTCCTCCTCGTGGACCAACCCGCTCACCCGAAATATAGGGCCCGTCCACGCGCTCGCTTACTCGGCGTCGCCGGGGACGTACATCCTCGCGGGGTCGGCGGACCGTTCCGTGAGGCTATACAACCCGCAGCCCAGCAGCGACGCGGCCGTCGCCGGCGCTAAGCTCTCCTCGCACATAACCAAGAAAAGCAGCGGCAGCGGCGCCGTCGCCGTCGCCGTCGCCGTCCCAGAGGGCCGCCTCATCCAGGCCTACTCGGCCCACGGGTACGAAGTCCTCTCGCTCAGCGTCGCCGCCGACAACGCGCGCTTCGCGTCAGCCGGCGGCGACCGCGCCGTCTTCCTGTGGGACGTGACGACGGCGCAGACGGTGCGGCGCTTCGGCAGCGGCGGCGGGCCGGGCGCGCACCAGGCGCGCGTCAACTGCGTGGCCTTCGCCGGCGACGGCGACTCGCTGCTCGTCAGCGGCAGCGTCGACCGCAGCGTGCGCGTCTGGGACCTGCGCGCCGGCGGCGGCCCCGGCGCCAAGCCCGTCCAGGTGCTCGACGACGCGCGCGACGCCGTCTCTGCCGTCGCCGTCCGCGGCCCCGAGATCGTCGCCGCCAGCGTCGACGGCCGCGTCCGCTCCTATGACGTCCGCGCCGGCCGCCGCCTCACCGACGTCGTCGGCCCCCCCGTCACCAGCCTCTGCCTCACCCGCGACGGCCGCGCCGCCCTCGTCGGCGCCCTCGACAGCCGTCTCCGCCTCATGGACCGCGACACCGGCGCCTGCCTCCGCACCTACACTGACCCCGCCTGGCGCAACGAGGACCTGCGCCTCCAGTCCCTCCTTGGCGCCAAGGAGCAGTACGTCCTCGCCGGCGACGAGATGACTGCCCCCGCGGACCCCGCAGCCCCTCCCGCCCGGAATGGTGAGGGCAGGATATGGGCCTGGGACGTCCTTAGCGGCGAACTCAAGGCTAAGGTCGCCGTCCCCTGGGGCCCTGCCGGCTACGAGCCCAAGAAGTTTGTCGGCAAGGACGGGAAGCCCAAGAACCGCAGTAACGTGCTAAGTTGCTTCGCCTGGAGGGAAAACGGATTTGGAGATCAGTTTTGCGTTAGCGGCACATCCGGGATCGTCACTGTATTTGGGTATCACTAATAAATGAATGGTCGAAATTGGGTTCCGTGAATTCTGATGGGGTATTGTGGTGTCATGACGGAAGACGTGAATAAGTGTCAGAACCTAGCCTAAGGTACAAGAAAGCGGCTCCTAATATGGGAATCATGAGCAAGTAAAGTTGGCCAACTCTGGCACACCTCCAAAAACAAAACAATCCGCCTCTATTATCCTCTTGCGCCTAAAACACCACATACCGTCATGCTCGGACCTATCTCCATCATGTGATTTACTAGACATCTCACATTTCCCCTATCCTTAAAAAATCCGCAGCCGGCTAGCTCACGCTCAATACATCCCCGCATACTTGAACCACAAGGGCCGGCAGTCTTCCTTATTTAACCAAGCCTCGCCGTCAGTGAGACGACCGGTGACACAACCCCTGCATTTCGGCGAGTTGGGGCAGTTGAAAAAGGGAATGTGCTGGTATCCGATGTCGCGGAACCTATGAAGATTTAGCATATCGACGACTAATTAGAGAGGAAGAGGGTTTCTCCTGACCAGTGAATCTTGGTCTTGTCCGCGAAGAGGCCAAGGGCTATACTATGAACGGGTGCGTCGCCCCACCTCTCGTAGAAAAAGCCGCCGGCTCGGTCGAGGTGGTTAAAATAGTCCTCGTACGCCTGACTCCGCCAAAAGCTCAGGTCGGCGATCTCGAAATTGCTCCAGAAGTGGCAAGTCGAGTAGCCGTTGGCTTCCTGGTTGTGGATGGGTCGGCGATCCTTATCAGTCAACCAAGCCTCGGCCCTGTTCTCGTGCAGGTACTCGGGGTGCTGAGCAATGAATTTAGTCGTCTCGGGCCACAAGGTCGGGATCGATTTCGGGGCATCGTAGAGGGTGATGGTGAAGCCGTAGGTCTTATTGTTGTCTTGCATGTAACGGAACACGTCGTAATCGACGTCGCAGAAGAAGTGCACCTTGGGCTCGACACGCCAGTAGTATTGGACATCTGCGAGCGCGGGATGCTTGTAGAAGAGGCCACTGTTCCAGCGGCACATCTTGTGGTAGGAAATCATGTCGGCATATTGAATCTCGTTTTCTTGGAGGATCTTGACGGATTCTTTGTACAGGTCGTCGTTAATCCAGGACGGGACATCCCAGTGCGCATCCGGGATGACCTCTGCGACATCCGATCAGTAAGTGGCTCTCGAGGAGGGGAGGTATTTCCGCCAACCTACCATAGCGGGTTTCCGCCTTAGTGGCCGCCCTCGTTTTACGCTTGAATTCCTCGGTGAAGGGGACATCATTAAAGAAAGTCCAGGGGTAGTTGAATTTCGAGTTCCAGGTTCGCTCTAGGTCCCGCATCGATTGCAACATGCCCTCGAGTTCCTCGTTCCGCACCAAGGCCAGGAGCGTCGCATTGATTCTCGCGGTGCCGTCGGGACCAGGAGCATAGCCCTCAGTTGCGCGCACGAGCTTCCCTTGGGGCTCTCCCGTAACTGTTGGGAGGTCAGACACACGACGTGGACGCGGGTCCAAGAACCGAGTTACTTACGATCCAGATTGGGATCTCTCTCAATCTTGCCTTGGAAATCGACCGGGGTGTGGGCACCGGGGCGCCAGATGGTATATAGGAAGAAACAGCACACAAGAAAGACAGCAAGCGCAACGGCGCGTACGGGCCTGGCGACGGCCATCGTGGGTGATTATCGTGCCCTGGTCATGAACTTGATCGCCGCCCGAAGGTATTCAGCAAATGTCCAACTGGGGAGCGCGAGGCGAAGGAGAAATGAGCGATGGGTGGCGTTGTCGCCGCAGTATAACGCCAGTGAACGAAATACAATAAACTTGCCCGGTCGAGTTATGTACAGCTGAATGGATGGAGAGTTCAAGTTTTCGTGCAAGTCTGGTGGTGTCGGTGGCCGGAGACGTTAGAGACTGGCACTTCGTTGGACAACTCCAATCAATGGGCGAGGACTTGGAGGCGACAAGTTTTAGTGGACGGATGGAGAGCGGGAGACGTCGGAAAAATCCCACAGCGGCCAACTCGGGCGCGAAAGGCGGGTGCAAAAGTGAGGTACCTCGAATGCCCTGAGGCAGGCACTGTGTGGTCAGGCGAAAATGACGCGCGTCACCACACAAATACAGTGCAAACCCTTCATGTCTGTACCGTGTCCACCACCCAGACGCCCCCCTGCAGGTACAAGACGCGTCAACGCGAAGCCGATTGTGGCAGATTGGATTTAATCAGGGACGCTTTCACTCTACTTTGGACATACTATAGCGCATAATTGCATAACATCGGCATATCCGTCGCCCATGCCACAACCTATCGACAGCTGCATGGAATTCGTCGACGACATCCCGCCTTCACTTGGTATATCCGGGACTTGACGGGACTGCATACCTATTCCACTAACAAATCTATAACTTTCGCTTTTCCATAGAGGATTTCTATGAAACCACGCAGTGTCGCTGTTGGAATGAGGCCAGTTATTTTACCGAGATGACGCTCGCTGCGACCCTAGGCGCGTTAACAGACGAATTGATACAGGTTATCACCTCGACTTCGGCTCAGGTATGCCTTCGACCACACACACGCGTGCCGTGATCGGGGAGATGGATGATGCACTTACACAGATAATGTCGATAGTCAGACCCCGACCGCTTAAACCTTTTAAGAGAATCCAGCCTGCGGAAACTGCGCCAGCATAATTTCCTGCGCACAAATCGCTTTGAGGTTGATGCTAAACTCGACGGCTTTGAGGAGCATTTTCGCGTCGCCAACCGGGATGCCTTGGCCGACGCGCTCCGGGAGCGACTAGACGCTCTCGTACCCGTCTCTGGTGCACGCACCCCCGAGATTCTTCACCTGCTTTTGGAGCTTGAGGACAACCCTGTTCAGAAATCGAGTCTCGCCGATCTCAAGTCGCTGAAAAGGTCAGATGAGTCACCTGGGCTGCCCCTGAGATGGGACACCGTAGCCAAAGAAGAAGGGTGGGACCAGGACCGGGACCTCTGGAAAAACGTAAACTTCGGCGAAGATAGCTCCGATGAGGAGTTTGTCGGGGGGACGTCGGACCTGTTGCCGGAGTCGGAAACTACCTCGGTATTCAGCGACGAGGCCCGGTACCAAAAGTCGCCCGCTGATTTTGTCGTCGGCTCTCATGATGAGGACAGACTGGACCAAGTTCTCGAAACCCAGCGCTGGAGGCACACGGCGGCTCCGAGGGACGCAGCAGCTAAGCCGCAGAAGACGGTGATATCGGAGTTCCACGCAGTGCGTGAGGTACTATTCGCGCTAAACGGTCTCGAGAACACGCTCTTTGATGCTAGGGGCGTTGCGTCGCTACACTACCAGCTCAGGCATACCTCCTGGGAAGTATGCAAAGCGCTCCTGGGTTCGTTCGGCGAAGCCGTGCGACGATTGTCTGTCCTGCGCGAGTTCGTGAAGCAACCGCAGAACATCCCGCTACTGCAGGTATTTCGGGAGGCGGTTGAAAGGCGCCTCCGGACCTTTGATAGAGAGATATCGAGTTTGCAAGCCCGCTATGTCGATATCCAACAAGATGTTGTCGTCAGCCTAGCCAAGATCCTAGATGATGTGAGGCTCCACGTAGAGCCCCTAGCCTGCCTTTCCGATATTATCCAGCAGCTTCAGCAGTCAAAGTATCCGCGTTCGTTCCATTACTTAGAGCTGCTCTTTGAAGCTGCTGGGGTCGCTCAGCTGGAAGGACGCGGCGCAGTGTACAGATTTATCGCCACGTTGTTCTTCGAGTGTTTCCAGGCCTACCTTCGGTCGATTCGTCTCTGGATGGAAGCTGGGGAGCTCATCGAAGGGGACAAAACTTTCTTCATCTCCAACGCTTCTAGCCCAGTTTCCATGAGCCAAGTCTGGACTGAACAGTTCACGCTGCGGAGAACCCCTGACGGGATGCAGTACGTACCACGTTTTTTGCAACCGGCCGCGTCCAAGATACTCACCACCGGTAAGAGCGTCGTCGTCCTCAAACTCCTAGGGAGGTACCAATCTATCGGTTTCCAGATGTCGGAGCCGCCCTTACAAGTCGATGAGCGTCTGTCGTCTCCATCCAGTGCCTTCACTCCATTTTCCGAGGTTTTCAATGAGATTTTTGAGAAATGGATGAAGAGCAAGCACCACGCTGCTTCTGCTACTCTCCAGCAGACGCTCTTCGAGGCATGTGGCCTCTGGTCGATCTTGGACACCCTCCAGCATGTGTATCTGATGTCCGACGGGTCACGCTCCGACACGTTCATGTTCGCCGTATTTAACAATCTCGACCTCCTGAATGCGAAATGGCATGATCGGTTCAATCTGACGGCCTTCGCGCACGAAGCGTTCGGCAACCTTAGCAACGTGCACCGGATATCCGTCAGCGTGCCCGAAAATTATCTCCGACACGATGTCGCTGACGTTAGAAGATCGGTCCGCAAGGGTCTTCCCTTGCTGAAGATAACCTGCCGTCTGTCCTGGCCGATTCGGATTGTCTTGTCCGACGACACGCTATCCCAGTATCAAAGGGCCTTCACGTTCCTCCTTCAGCTGCGGCGGGCCAGCTACGTCCTTCATAAATACCGTTCCGTGTCAGATATCACAGCGGGGACGGCGAATTTCTCATCGGAACAAGCAGTTTACTACGGACTGAGGTCAAAGCTCCTCTGGTTTTGCAATGTGCTTCACTCCTACCTAGGCACCTTGGTCGTGGAACCTTTGCGAGCCCAACTTCACGCGGGTCTTCAGCAAGCAGAGGACGTAGCTGCCATGATTATGTCGCATACAGCATTTGCAAAGCGGATGATTGATGAAATGTGCCTCGGTAGCAAGCTTGAGCCCATTCAACAATGCGTCCTAGATGTCTTCGATCTTGCCATCAGACTCCAGGATGCGCGCCAGTTGGAGTCGGAAAGAGAGCAAGAAGAGGCTCAGGAGTTGTCGCGATTATCCGTTATGTCGTCACCGGCGAAGTCTAGTAAGAGAAGGTATGTTGGAAGCGACGAGGAAGAAGACAACACGTTCCTATTAGAACAAGACACGACCACGATGATGCTGGACAGGGAGAAGACATTCTCCGAGACTCTCTACGAGATACGAGTAGACTTCGATCGGCACTTGAAGTTTATCTCCAGCGGGTTGAGGGGAGTCGCGAGAGCTAGCGGGGATTCCGCTTCGGGGAAATGGGACACGCTGGCAGACATGCTCGAGACCGGGATTCGAGAACATGCGTAGAGAGGTTGCCCTGCAGCTTTGGCAGGCTTGTGAGCTATACCGCTAGCAGTACCATACAGAATCAATACCGATCGAAGCCAACGCACACATGACACTCACCAGCGCCTATCTTGGCCAAGAGCGGAGCAAATCGAGATCTGACCTAGCGTGGGCTAGTGGGGGCTCCATCCCAAGCTTTTTTAGGATTCCGAATGACGTGAAATTCCTCCAAGTTAACGCGCTCCTTGGTCCATCCAGAGTGTTTAGTCCCGTCAAATATGTCCTACGTTGGGGGTCATCCTATGATGGGCCTGCGACGTTCGGGAAGTGACATGTCCTTTCTGCAATTGTCCATACGCGGTATCCCCCCTCCATGGATCTTCTCCTATACGGTAGCTGTAACTCGAGGTGACGAAGACATTCTGCCACGCTCCGCTTTCGGTGCGTGTATGCATACATACCTAGGTATGAGTTGCAGTCGTGCGTATAATCCGACGATGGGAGGAAAGCGGTTGCGAACGCCCCGAAGGAGTGTCTCAGCTGCATCCACAACGCATACCACTGTCGAGACCTTGGCATGCGTCATGCGCAGGTTACAGGCGCGATGCCATGGAGAATCTCGGCGGGGGAAATCTTGGAAATGGAACAATATCTCCATCTAGGTGGCACGTAGCACTTATGTCCGGAACACCTGTCACCCGGATCCAAGCCCCTATTTCAGCCGCAGCCAGCCAGGAATTAGCACCCAAGGACAACCGGGACTGTGCACCAGCCTCACTGATGAGTAATACCAAAGAGGCGAAATTTGTGCACGTGACTTTGGCGCCACACCCATCCTTCGTCATCGCAGTTGGCCTGACTAATCAATTATCCATCCTATCAACTTCATCGACAAGCTGTTGGTCATCGCCATCGTTCGTCGTTCATTCATATATTCAAACGCGACCTCGAAAAAGAACCATCCCCGAATACGACTCGCCATCCCTACGAAGCCAGAATCCCCTCCTGCGTCTCACAAATAATTTACCATGTCTGAGCGCAAAGTTCTCAGTACGTATCGCTCGCAAGCATCGGTCACGTCTACACGATTCTAACCGTGTCGCAGCCAAATACTACCCTCCGGATTTCGATCCGAGTCAGATCAAGCGTGCCCGTGGCCCCAAAACCGCGGGACCCAAAGTTCAGACTGTCCGTCTGGCAGCACCATTGGTAAGTAGAGGCCTCCTTATCATCCATAACAATATATATCGTCTACGGAAGCTGACAGGTCGGCAGTAAGCACCAACACCTCCCCGTCGTTATCTCGGCTTTATTTTTATATCCCCAAGGTATGATCATTCTCGGCGGGGAGATCATTCTAACGCATCGCAGCTCGATGAAATGTACTTCTTGTGGGGGTAGGCCATCCACCCCTCGCTAACGCCGTAACTGCAGCGCTGACCGACTCCCTCCATGCAGAGTACATATACAAGGGCAGAAAGGTATTTTCAAGAAATTCTCATCTCTAAGCCGCATTGAGAGGGCCTTCGCTCACGGGGAGATGCTAGTTCAACGCACGGAAGGAAACTCCACCCGATGAGAAGTACCTAGGCATCCAAATCTTCAGATTCTACATCCGATGCACAAGATGCAGCGCGCAGATCACGTTCAAGACGGATCCTAAGAACCAAGACTACGTACGTCTGAAGACCTAGTCCTTGCGCGTGGCGCGTTTCCGTATTTCTAACACGCCAAATCGCAGGCCTGCGAGAGCGGGGCGAAGCGGAGCACGGAGCCGTGGCGCGTGGGACGCGAGGAGACGGACGAGGAGCGGCTAGACCGGCTCGAGAAGGAGGAGGAAGAGCGCAACGCCATGGTGGAGCTCGAGGCCAAGACGGTCGACGCGAAGCGCGAGATGGCGGTGGCCGACGCGCTCGACGAGATCCGGACGCGCAACGCCAGGATGGAGCGCGCGAACCAAGAAGGCGAGGAGGCGGGCGTCGCGATGACGGTCGACTCCGAGGCCGAGCGGCTCGAGCGGGAGGACGCGGAGATGGCGAGGAGGGCGTTCGCGTTCGCGAAGCTGGCTAACGACGAGATGGAGATACTCGAGTACGGCGACGGCGATGGCGACGGCTACTCTTCGGCCACGTCCGCTGGTCCGTCCTCTTCAGCATCCTCGTCACACGTTACCCCGGAACCTAGCACCGGCAGCAACACTGTCGGCGCCCCCGAGCCGAAGCGGGCGGTAGCGCCAGCGCCCACATCGGCCGACATGCCGCCGCCGTCGTTCAGACGGGTAGTGAAAAAGAAGAAAGACCACTCGGCGCTGCTCGGCATCAAGAAGAAGCCAGCGCTCACGTAAGACGCTGCCGCGGGGAGAAAAACCGGAAGAGGATTCGCATGCCGAGCTGGGCAATTTATCGCGTACGGGGCAGCATCAGGGCGGGCGTTCGCGGGGGGGAATGCGGCGGAGGAGTATATTCATAGACAGGTCGATACCCGCAGCAGAAGGGCGAGCGCGGCAGTAGATAGAGAATCCAACAGTCGGAAAGCACATCCCGCGATTCCAACCCCCCGCCGCAGCACTCTCCGGGCCGGTCGAGAGCCGCGCGCACGTGGCCGGGCCGCACCCCTACCATCACGTAGCCGTTACGTATCTAGCGCGACGCGCCCAACCAGCCTCGGCAACCCGGTCTTTGCTCCTCGGTCCACCCAGCCGCGAGAGAGAGAGAGAAGAAGTTAGTCAAAGTGAGGGCGCATCTCGCGCCGCAGTCCCAGCCGCCATGACGCGTGCCTAGCCGTCATCGAACATTCTAGCCTCCTCCCCCCTTCCCCCCCCGGTCCCCGTCCCCCCCCAGCAAGTCGACGCGCTGGAGCGTTCCGCGTGTTGATTTGCCCACTGACTAGCCGGCGTGGCCTGACTCTTGCGCCCGCCGACCGAGCTAGCCTCGGGCCTCGCCGCCGCCGCCGGCCGAAGCTAGCCAGCTTCTGGGTTGCTGGAGCTTCCTCCCCACCCTCCCGACGACGTCACCGGGGCGTGCGGCTCGGCAGGTCGCCGATGTAGGGGAGGGGGGGGGGGGTCTCCTCCCGGCCGTGGTAAGGTAGGTTTCTGCAAGAGGAGCTGGCCGTGCGGATGTTGTTAGGGGAGAGAGGGGGGGGGGACGGTGGGAAGGAGAGAGCAGAAGTTCGGGTATCGCATCTTATCAGCACGCTTAGCCAGCTCGCTCGCGGGTGTTACCCCATGCGAAGGGCTGGTGGTACGGATGGCACGACACAATCGTATCGGATCGCTCAAGACGGCTTTTGATTATTTCATCAAGCACTATTGTCTATCCGTACCCGAGTCGCTCATTCGTACTCGGCTCTTTTTTTCTTTTTTTCTTGTTCTTTTTTTCCCCTTTCCCCTCAGCCCTTCGTGTTGCCGTACCATCCCCTTCCCGAGCCCGATTAGCAACTGCAACGCCCTTCGCATTTCCCTCCCCCACCGGTGCCCAAAAATTCGCACAGCTCCTGATCACAATGATTGATGATGGTAGTTAGGTAGTAATTGACGCCGACCGTTGCTTGTTCGCCAAATCCTATTCCGAACCTCTCCCGCTCCCTGTTTCCATCCGTTCCTTGCCCTAGCTCCATGTGCCATGATCGCTTTTCCCCTAGCAGCAAAGCAAAACGAAAGACGTAAGATAAACACAACCGAAACGCCGTGCGGTGCCAAACTCGTGTACGGTATTTGCGAGGTCCGCCTCAAAACTAGACATCCCCATGTGCCGTTCTTCAGCCGACATTCGACGTCATAAGAATGACTGACGGCTCAGTATGTATGTATAGATGTAGGTATTGCGTACGTGTGTGTGACGAGTCACAGGGTAATTTTGCTAGGAACCGTGATGCTAGATGTCATTTTCGTTCGAACTCCCTGACGAGGACCCGGTGGATGTGCCGTTGGGCAGACTGGGGGCCCGCGGTCGTGGCGCCCGAGCGGTTCGTCGACCCGCCAACATGTTGGCAGCTTCCATCTGCCTCTTGGTGTGCTGATGCATAGATCGGGCATAGCTGGCCAAGTCCTCCGGAGGTGGTAACGTAGCCGGCACGGCGATGGTGTAAGCGTTTCGAGAAGACATATTGCTGCGTGTGGCTAGGCTACGGTGCTGCTTAGAGACAGAGGATGTGGGAGAGGTCAGGCCGGCTTGCTGAATATTAATGGTGCGAAGTGCGGAGGGACGGGGCGGAGGAGATGTCGAAACCGGTTCACATTTTTAGATTTACAGTGTAGGGGGGGTCAGGAACGAACATGGGCAGAGGCTTCGATTGTCTTATATGGGAAAGCCGAGTCAAGAAAAGAGGGGCCCGGCAGATTTGTGACGGAGGGCAGGCCTGCTGTGACTTCAGGGCTTCGTCTGGGCTTGAGAGAGAGTGTTGGGTGGCTTTGATAGACGAGCTGGAGGGCCAGGTTAGCCTACTGACCGCGTATCGTAGCGCCGGGTTCGACCAGCAGCAACACCCCAGCACCACGCCCAGCACCACGCCCACATCAGCACCACCCTGCTGCATGGGGTACGGGACCGGCGAGTGCCCCCGAGGAGTGAGATACGCGGCGATCGCCATGTAAGGACACCGTTTAGGGGCGGGATGGGGAAGCATACTTGCAGACTATGGCGTAAGTGAGAAACGACTGGCCAATAGCCAAGATCGAGGCCATTAGACTCTCGCCACGAGCAAGGCTGATGATGTGTTGTGCACCTCTAGACTGGCAGAGACTCGCCACGACCGTAGTAGATTGACCATAGCGCTACACCCTTTCCTGGCCCTTAGCTCCAGCGACATGGGGTGGAAAGGGGCACCGTGCAGGTCGAACGGGCATGTCATTCTGCATCCGGCCACCGTTGGAGGAGAGGGAGCAAGGCAAGGGGAGAGTAGGAGGGGAGAGGGGGGGAGAGGGGGAGGGGGTCACAAAGGAAGCGGAGGGGGGGGGGGGGGGCGCGGGAGAGAAGAGGGACGAGGAGCCGTCATGCCATGTCTGTCTCTTCCCGTGAGGAAGATGAGGAGCTCCACTCGGACGATTAGGGAAGACCCTGGCGATCTTGTCTCGACCTCTGCAGCCACGACCGATGTCACTCTATTGGCCACCGTCTCGACAACCTTACCGAGACAGTGTCGAGGCCCGTCGGGGGCGGCCTGCGCTGGTTGCCGCGTCGCATGTTACCCAGGTAGGTAGGTGGTAGGCTACGTAGGTGGTGTCGAAGAGGCAGGCAGGTCGGATAGTTCGTGGAGTGTAGGCAAGGTGATTACGTGGTAGGTGATTTCGTCGGCGCAGGTCCCCTTTCTGGCGCGCATGCCTACGTGCGCGAATACCTACGTGCGCGCGTATACGTGTGTGTAAGCGTGTGATGTGGACGCGGGTGCGGACGTGAGGGTGTGGAATGGAGGAGAGAGGAGAGAGCAGAGAGGGACGGATACCAGGCCAGCGTAGACGGTTAGGGCCCGGTTGTCGACAGGTAAGGTAGGTGTCTACGTAATTCGGCAGTCATGGGATTTGGATTTGCACAGCAGCGCGCTGCCTGAGCACAATTCCAGCAACCAAGCTGTATAACGTGTATAAGCTGTAGGCATAAGGCATATAACCTGCATAACCTGCATACCCCCTGCCGGCGTTACGTGGGAAGCCTTCTCGCCGTCGACCGAGAAGGGCACGCGTCGAATTGCCTCCGCGGCGTCGACAACTTCGCACCTCGTTCCCTTTTCCTCTGCCGACGAGTTCCCTGGCTCGACACGGAGACGCCCGTGACGTCATCGGCTGTCTCGCTAAGACCCCGGTCCGCCCAGACACTTCCGACACGTGCCGCGCTGGACAGATGAATTCCCGCAAACGTGGAAGAGCCAGGACCTGCTGTTTTCCCCCTTCCCCTATCAAGGCACTCCCACAAGTCTGCCCGGTTCTACGCGACAGCAGTAGTGAGCGATACGAGAGTATCGATAGCGTGAAACGGTGCAAAATCAATGCCTAGAAAGGAGAGGATATTAGAAGCTACCTATTGTTAGCACCTCCAGTCAGAAGAAACCACGCCGCCAGCAGCTAACTGCCATTGCCAGGGCCCGTGGAATATCTCGATAAGACCGTACGTACGTCGTTCAGCATCTGTCGGGGTCCGTCACTGGCCCGATGTCGAGTGCCGGTGGCCACTATTGCGAATCGCGCCAAAGCCAAGCGGCTCCGTTGGCCGCGGGCGAGCAAGTGGCTTTGTGTTTGTGCTCGTGCTCGCGCTCCGCGCTCTCTTGTCTCCCTTTCTTGATCACCCCCCTCTTCCTACTCTTACTGGTCTTCTCGAAGCTTCTCTCTACGTAACCACCCCCCCCCCCCCCCCACGGGATACTAGACAACGGAATTGCAACCCGTGGTTTCACGCCTAGTTTCACTCGAGTCGACGCGTTGTTCCGTCCTTCCATTCGCCGCGTTCCCGCGCATCGATTCCCTTCCTTGCGTGTGCCTGCATGTGCGAACTTGGGACCCTTCTCTCCCTCCCCTTTCCGTCGGACTGGGTCAAGCCCCGGGCGCTGTAAGTGCGCGTATATAGAAAGCAGATCTGCAGGTGCGCCTCCACGCCCAAGCCGCGGCGCGCCTTCAAATAGGATCCCACCGGCTCAAGTCAAGGGGGTATGTGTGAGATGCAAGATGCGGTAGACGGCAAGCAATGCGCTATGTGGAACGCGGGATGCGGTATGCACGTCAGCTGAGAATACATAGCCAGCTGAGGAGCAGGCGAGAGCAAGCGAGCCTGTAGACGATGCTCAACCTTTAGCCGCAGAACCCCCCCTCCCAAAATAGGGGTCCAAGACCGGAGGAGCGGCGCAGATCTACATGCGGTATGGTTGCAAACGAAGGATCCCTTCGAGACGGGGGACGCATCCCAACGCCATACACGTATGCAGGGCAGGCGATGGACACGATGTTGTTTGCCGCGGCTGGGACCAACAGAGGGAGGTGGCGGCGTCGATCTACCTGTAGCGCCCGAATTATATAGGTACCTACCTACCTACATCCATAGACTACCTCTTAGATATAGGTACCTGTCTCATACATTATAGGCACCTAAGGTAAGGATTAGGTAGTTTTATGCAAGTTCCTGCACGTCGGGGCGTAATATAGGAGATACCCACCTAATACGTGTAGGCTTATGTATGCTAGTAGGAGGAGGCAGCACACTGATATCATAGGTAGGTACCTACCTGTTAGAATGCGGCTTTCCCACCTCGTAATTTAATACCTCGGTACCTAGGTAGGTAGGAGATGAGCTAAGTACCTAAGCGAAGGCTACCAAGTAGCGCTGTTAGGAATCGAACCTATCCTTCGTTAAGTAACCTACTGATCTGTAGGTAGGGGTAGAGATATATAGGTCCCATTAGGTACAATCCACCGTCAAGCCGCCTCGTAATACGCCCTGCAGGGAGAAGAGAACCAACCCCACCCCCCCTTTTTCATATACCGTTTACCTACCTACCTACCTAATACCTAATCCAACCTGTAAATATCTTCCCGCGTACGGTTACTTTCCTGTGCAGCGTGGGAGTGTTATACGCGAATACGTGCCTCACAGCCAACTGCTGGAGCCGTACCGCCTTCTAGGGCCGGAAATGTTCGGGAACAGCAGGCTTTGGTTGGGAGGGAAAGGTGTCTCAGTCACCCTGCTCGAAACGGAAGGCCAGCGTCGATACCGGCAAACCGGAACAGCGCACTCCAATTAGACACCGTAAATACGTAAACGCGTAGACGCACGGAAGACGTACCGTTTTGCCCATGGCAAAGACAGTTGAGTCAGATGATGTCAGCTGTCGCGGCACTGGCTAACCTCGACCGAAATCCGCCTTCCTCGCTCCTCCTATTATCCCATTTCCCGCCCGTTGTTGTTTCTCTTCCGCCACGACAGTACGCAGCATCTCGTGATCATCATTGTTCGTTTTGTTTTTGTACCCAACTTGCGTGCCCCCGCCCCTCTCCCTTCTCGAGGCCGTATAGGTATGCTGACCATGGCATCAGGACGTCGTAAGCGGCTCTACCCTGTCGTATTAGCTTCGCAGCGATCTCACACGATGTGTCCCACTGACAAAAGGGAGGAGGGGACGTGGACTACAGCAGGGCGGCGATCTACGCCATCGTGGATAGCGGCGGATTCCCCGAGCTGTCGGCATCACGCGACGGCAGCGCAAGATCCCAGCGCCACCCTTCGCCGAGGCTCACCCCGGCCTCACTCGTCATCCGCGATCCGGCGTGATGACGGAACGTTGACATCAGACTGGACCCGGGGCGCATCCGGGTCCCCTTGTTCTCCGCCCCTTCGCGTCTGCGCCGACCCGTTTTATCATGCGCAGGGCGTCATACTCGGTATCCATGTCAGGATCGGGCGATCCATCTATCCTGTGGACAGCACCCCCTATCTTGCATGTCTCCCCCGCTCCTTGCTCACGCGCTGTCGCTTTAATCGGCCGAGAGAGCAGTCTGCTATGGCACATGGCGGTACCCAGAAGGCTGGCGATCGAGATAGTCCTATTCAGGCATAGATGCTCGGTATGCAAACCGCATGTCATACTGCATCAAGACAACAACAACCTATCCCCGCTGTTCGCCAGCCTCACAAGGATTCCAACCTGACGAAGAGTCCTGTGCCCCCTCCCTCTTATTTTTCCCCTTGTCCCTTCCCCCCTAAACGATCCGATGTTACCGGCACACAGGTTTTCTTCAAGCTAAGAGATGATGTATTCGGGCAGGATCTTCGCCCAGACATCAAATCAAGCAGCGTAGTAAGCTTGGCAAGTCCGTGTTAAGGGCGCCCTGAAGCCTACGTAGGTTCATACTGTGATACGGCATGCGCAGCTGTACTCGGAAGTCTACGTTACATCATACACTAGACTACAGCGGCTTTCTCATCACTCGAATGCTGTCGTTGTATACATTGGGCTTGTGGACGCTTTCTCAATACAGACAGGGTTGGATTACACGACCCCCTATCTTGTGGCGGACGAGAATGCGTTAGGCCAGATCCGTCTCTGCGGAATAGCCTCTAGGTAAAACATCTATTATTCGTTATTCCTGTGGTTAATACGTGCTATGTGGCAGAATAATAGGTGGTAAATCCATGTCCGATGTTTGCATTCTAGATCTCGCATAGAGAACGGCCAGCTACTCTCGCAAATATTATCATGTCAAGGACAGATCGCAGGACGACGTAAACGCCTTCACCTCCCTATCCGGTATTACTACCTGTTCAGACACCTTCATATATTACGACAAAATACCGACTATTTTGTGGTAGGGGCAAGCAAGCCTTGTCTCGCGACACCGTTACGGGTGTGCGTTCCATAGCTTGACCTCGCGAGCCCCTATTTCTTACCACCACCCATACCTAGAGGTCAACTAGGCAGGAGACCTTCAATCTGTGGCAATGAGATCTGTTTGTGTGCCCAGTTCCAGCCGGCTTAAGATGTAAAGGGCGTGGGAATATGAGTTCGAACGACTACCCCGGTAGCGGGCAGTAGAAAACGCTATCTACACAGATAATATGCTGCTCGTTCAGGATGAAGCTATTCGCATACAACGGTAAGCCCATACCCCCTGATCCGGTGGCGATCACTCTTTGGGAATGGCTCACAACCAGTCTCATTTGATATTGACAATCCGGCTGACCTCAGTTGCTGGCGAGGCATTGGTACGGTGTAGAGATATTACCGGGACACCCTCATCCCAGCTTGACGAGCTGTTGTAGAGGGCCCAGCATCCTTTCTCCCTGCTGCCGCCTCCAAGTGCTTTCCGACGACACACCATTACCGACGATTACCAGCAGCCCCGTGCTATTCCACCAAGTGTCAGTGTCGCGCTGGCCTCGGTTATACACACGTCTTCGCAGTTCCCATTTCGCCCGGCTGCCTCCTCCCCACGCACGGGCAGAAAGAGCGGCGCCGCACCACCTCGGAAATATGGGCCTTCGTGGTGTTGCCTGGGCGTAAATGGGCTTCGCAGGACATATCGTGAAGCCAAGTGGCAGAGCCACAGACCCTTCGTGTAGGAGGTGTGCTGGAAATAGACCTCTCAACGGAGGTAAGTCCGTTGTCAAAGATTAAAAAAAAACAGTCGTTGAGAATTCGTAGAGGGCGGGATGGAATGAACAACCTCATCAACGCCCACCCCTTTTCTGAACAACCCCGGGCGGGTCCCTTTACGTTTATATGTAGGACCACTCGCACCTCTGCCTTTTTGTACTTCGGCATGGCCGTACCTAGAGTCAGAAAGTCCACAGCCCTATCTCTTGGCGTGGATTTTGTCCTTCCTTTGCACAGCCAGACGGAGTTCAGACCTACGAAGATCATTCATGTCCATGGCTACAGAGGTTCCCAACCGCGTAGCGTATTGCTGATGCTCGGCGTTCCCAGGAAAGATAAACCATGGGTGACGGATCTGTCTTCGGCCCTTGTTTTCACCGAAAGTGTCGAGGTCGGCGAGTTAACCGTCTAATCAGCCACCCTTCGTAACCATCCCGTATACGTTGGACTTAGGCTACCTCGATGAGTTCCGGGACAGCTTCCAAATCTATGTCGCCCCTTAATACAACCCGTATAGTCTCCAATTCCATCCACCCGACTCGTAGTAATACCTCTAATTCCGTCGGCCCCGCTCTTCGGGGCGGTTGTCCATGCTGCTCGTCTTCTATTACGTAAAACATAGGCACCTACATTCTACGACTTGCAGATGTAGGCGTATAAAGGCTGATTCCGTACGTAACATCTTCTCTTTCCGAGCTGGCAAGGCCGCACCTCTCGAGGGGGGGCAGCACACCTCGGCTCCGGACCGGCAAGTCATGTGAACTTGCCCCACCAGCCGACGACCTCCGGTGGGACGTCGTAATGCTGGTCCGCGTCTCGAGTTCCCACTCCCACTCGCTCAGCTGGAATAGGGTGGGGCCGCCGAAGCCGTCTCTAAGTCCGGGATGAGGCTTGCTGGGGGTGGGTTCTCCCGGCTGGCCCCCCATCTCGAATTTGTCCTCGTAGGACACCCTGTGTCGTAAGTGCACCTAGTGTCGTAACCGTATTTGGTGTCGTTCGAGTAGGGAGTCGTGACTGGGGATGCACTCGGAATACCGGGTTGGGAGGTGCGAACGCGCTTCGCAGCACGGTCACTGGCAAGGCTCGTCTCTTTAACTTTGACTTTTCCGCCGACCTGGGGCACGATGACGCCGTAGTTAGGTTAACCAGGGAGTCTCACTCGCCTAGGGGTGATACTCTGGGCTGGCCGATCGCCTCCGAGTCCATAATAGTCGAACGTGGGAGTATTCTGGACCTGAGGCGGGATGACACCGAAGTTAGACTGACCAGCGGGTATCGCCTTCCTAGCGCCCGCGCGTGGTTGCCGATAGGCTACTGGATGAGGTTGGTAGGTGGAAGGGGGTTGAGAGAATGATTGATGGTCGGGAGAAGATGGATGCTCTGGAGAGCGCGATGAGGGGCTCTGGGGGGGACGGATGCTCTTAAGAAGACGGACGCTGTAATATGTAAATGGAAATAAGGCCTCGGGGAACGAGTAAGAACAGGACACATCCTACAAAGGCGAACGGCCTCCATGATATAAAGAAAGAGAGGACCTTGAATCTGTCCTGCGACGCGCATTCCGAAGGCCCAAACTATTACGCGGACACACGACATGCTCATACACTTGTAGTTGACAGTGCAGGCATGATGCCTTCCCCAAGTACCACTCCATACTGCCGTCGACGACAGGTGTAAGTCGTGCGCGAAGTCATAAATGAGAGTCATAGGTATGTGGAAGGCGAAGGCAGAGTATAACTTGAAACATGAACCCCCGTGAGAAATAGGATTTGATTGTCGTTGGACTTAGATCTAAGTATGACAGACGACTTAAAACTTGGATTGCTAGTGGCTTAACTCTTTTTACGCGAAAATGCACAAACGCCTACATTTCTCTCCTGGGCTCTACAGGCTCATGAGATAAGATAGATTCCCTACGTAACGACTTTTCTTACCAATGGACCGCTACATACAAAAGTCGACTAGATATATCGATAGTGTACCGAATCGGTTACATACAACATCGAAGCCTCCCCCGCTCACCCCCGCCCCCTATTTGAAGAACACGAGGCACCTGATTTCTATGCTCTGGCGTCCTGGCGCGTCCGCCGGAGTCTGGGGATCCACAAAAGCCGTATGCGGCGTCCTCAGAGCGATCCCCTTCTTCCCTTGAGGCTCCCCATCTCCCCACGAGTCGTAGCACTTGAGCAGGAGCACCTCGTCGGGGGTCATGTCCTTCTGGTAGTAGTACTTGTAGGCGTCGCTGGGAGCGACGGACATGGTCTCGCCGCGGACCTCGTAGCCCTCGGTCGAGTACCGCAGAGACTCGTCCGGGAGCACCTCCTTGCCGCGGTCGTCGCTGTCGACGGCGAAGTCCTCGCGCTTGGGGTACAGCAGGTCGACAGGCACGAAGTCGTCCGGTTTCGTCGTGCGCCAGTCGACCACGGCCAGCGGGAAGTCGCTCGCCGGGTGTCCGATGGGGCGCCACACGTTGATAATCTGGAAGCGCCCCTTGAGGAGCTCCTCGGCTTCTTCGGCAGGCAGGTGGCGCCGCACGCGCACCTCGGCCGCGCGCGGCGTCTGGTCGACGTGGACCTGCTGGACGGGGGCCCGGGCGGCGCCGGGTATACGCCGGCGGATGGTGTGGTCGAAGATGACGACCTTCTTAACGCCCGGCACGCGCTTCCTCAGCAGCGCTTCGACCTCGCGGTAGTAGGTGCCGCGTATGGCGGCGTCGTCGGTAAAGGCGGTCTCGCTCGACGGCTCGCGGAAGACGGCGAAGCCGGAGTTGTCGATGGTGAACTCGCCCTCGCGCCCTCGCAGGTTGTCCACGGCGTGCTTGTGCTCGCTGAGCTTGAACGAGGAAGCGTCGGCATCAACCTTGACCCACGGCCGCGTGCCCGGCGGGATGGCGGACGTGTCGATGTATCTGAATACAGCCGTCGTCATGCTGGCTGTCCGGGTCAACAGGGGCGCCGCGACGCGTTTGAGCGATGGTCCGACGGTCGACAACAAGATCATACGCAGGCTCGACAGTCGGGAACTTGGGGGATCTACGCCGTTCCGAGATGATACAGGCCCTTCAATAATACTACGTAGCAGTAACTGCCGGGTCGTAGTGGGAGACGGGATAGGCAGGCAAGACCGTTCTTTATACCCTAGAGGAATTAGTAATAGGTAGGTGTTGGCTGACTCAGCCAACGGCTTTAGGGCCTACAGTCACCCACGGGCGTCACGAGGGACTCGATGCGATTACGACGTAGATGGTAGAATTCAGGCTCCTGGAATTCGGGCTCGCTACATGCCTACCTGATATTCGTTATTCAGAAGGGGGACGGCGACGAGGTGGCACGTTACGCCGAACCACCGCGGCCAATTACGGCACTTCCGGGAATTGCGTGCGTTAGAGAAACTGGAGACCTGGAGTCCGCCGAGTGGTGATTTATAAGCGTGGGGGATATGTAAACCCCCAGACTTGTGGTCTCCGTCGGAGATGCTGTGACGAGGAGCTCGATGCCGACACGGCGGAGGGCGACTAGGCACAGACAGATACCTAGGCACCGGCTTGAAATCGCGTATAAGTAGGTACAGAGTCCGGGGTGGGATATTCGCATGGCGGATGTGAACGTTTGCCCTTCGGATACTCAAGGGCAGGTTAACTTCGCAAAGCCGCGGCAACTCTCTAGTATAGGTAGGTAAGCATGAGGCAGAGACCCAACTGGAGATCCCCACTTCACAAATCTCCATGTACCTGGGTAGAAAGAGGATAGTGACATAACAAATGCCCTTGGAGGAGGTAGTAGTCTTCTCCTTTTTTTTTCCCCTTAGTGCAGGATTCCTATAGTCAGCCCTAGCTGTCCTTGATCGGTCTAGAAACCCAACTCGAGGAGTGGGAGTGAGATCCTCGAGGTGTAACATATAACTACCTACCTTAGGTGGGTATATTACAATCGAGCCGCCTGGAAGTGGTACAGGCAGATGAGGTTAGGTACCTTTTATCCGAGCGTACTTCCACGCGTTTCTAGCCACCTTTATAGGGCGGGGTACACGGAACAGATACCTGCCAGGTGTAGGTACCTCATGTGCCAAGATTCATAGGTATAACATGCGTACTTACGTAAGCGAAGAGGAGAACAGAGAGAATCTAAGGGGAAGCTGCAGTTTGCGGCATCTGTAAACGTGGTTACTACAGATGCCTCACGGCCAAGATGTCAGGAGGTACCTACCTAGGTACCCAGGTAGGTGTGTAATACGGACTTCCATTAGACGCCCTAACTGATACCTACGGTACCTATCTCCTGCGTACTCCGCCGGGCAGCACAGAGGTATCTTGCAATGGCCGCTATCGCCGCACGGCTTTATAGCTTCTCGGAACATCTCGACGTGGCCAGCCCGACTCCGCAATCCGCCATAGCAGAAAGGCGTCATCGGCAACCCTCTCCGTCTAGTACCTACTAATTAGCTCGCCGCCCTTCCCCTCACCGAGCCACCGCCGCCTTCAAACGTATTTCTAAATATATATATAGTACCTACCGGCGACGTAGTAGCATCCCTCTCCATTGACTGGGAAACGAGAAGCAGAGCGGCTCGAAGACGAGAACGAAAAGCGCGGAGTGGCACAAGCGTGAGAAGAAGGAGGAAAAGGAAAGAAAGAAAAAAGAGAGGAAGCGAGAAGACCCCGCAGCCGCCATGGCGTCCGCGCAGCAGCAGCCGCCCGAGATCGCCGTCAACGACCTGACGTACAGCTTCCCCGACAACCGGACGGGCGTCCGCGGCGTGTCGCTGCGCGTGCCGCCGCGCAGCCGCACGCTGCTCATCGGCGCTAACGGCGCCGGCAAGACGACGCTGCTGCGGCTGCTGGCCGGGAAGCGGCTCGCGCCGGCCGGCAGCATCAGCGTGTCGGGCGTGGACCCGTTCAAGGACGGGCTCGAGGGCGTCACCTACCTGGGGCTCGAGTGGGTGCTCAACCCGATCGTGCGCACCGACATCGGCGTCGGCGAGCTGCTGCGCTCCGTCGGCGGCGACGCCTTCCCGGCCCGGCGCGACGAGCTCGTCGCCGTGCTCGACGTCGACGTCGCCTGGCGCATGCACGCCGTCAGCGACGGCGAGCGCCGCCGCGTCCAGCTCGCCATGGGCCTCGTCCGCCCCTGGTCCGTCCTCCTGCTCGACGAGATCACCGTCGACCTCGACGTCCTCAGCCGCGCCGAGTTCCTCGCCTGGCTCAAGCGCGAGACCGACCTCCGCGACTGCACCGTCGTCTACGCCACCCACATCCTCGACAACCTCGCCGGCTGGCCCACCCACCTCGTCCACATGCACCTCGGCACCATCCGCGAGTGGGGCCCCGCCCAGGACTTCCTCGACCGCGCCGCCGCCGCCGCCGCCCCCGGCACCGGCATCGGCAACAGCCGCTTGGGCGAGCTCGTCCTCGGCTGGCTGCGTGCCGACCTCAGGGACCGCGGCCCGAGGAACCAGGCCAAGATGGGCACCGAGGGGCTGACGTACTCCCAGGGCGGCCTGGGCGGCTACGGGCTCGAGGACGCGAGCAAGGCGAAGTAGGCTGGCTGGTCGCCTTAACTTACCTAGGTGTGTCCACGGGATTTGGGGGGGAGGGAAGGTCATGTGGCCAGGAATAGATGTACTGAACTTGCATTACGCGGCGTTTTGCTTCAACATCAAGACGAAGTCTACGATAAAAAAAAGACTCGACAGGCACATATGGCAAGGCGTTCGGATTGGCAATTCAAAAGGGGGAAGGGCCCCCCCAGCATTAGGAGAAACCCGAGACGGAGTGTGTGTGCTATTTGAGAGACACATTTGAGATACCCCTTTCAACAGAGGAGAAAACGTAGATAGCATTCATAAAACCGACCAGAGCACATATCGCACAATCACATCGAACTCGCTGTTTAATGTTACGGTGCTCGGTATAAGCGAGTTATTTGCGTTATTTATGCGTTACTTATTCTGCGGGGCGGAAGAGGAGTGCATTTCTTCTGGTGACGACGCTGAACGGACTCAGTTAGGGTCGAGCCGCCGGTGTCGGCGCTGCAGAAGAGTCCGCCGGCATCATCGAGGACCTCCTCTTCATCACGTTTGTCATCGTGTTATACATGAGCTGCGCGACGCCGGCCAGGCCCTTCTGCTCTAGGTAGGCGAGCACGCCGAGGCGATAGTCGTCCCAGCCCATCTTGAGTCCGCCGCTGCTGGCGAGCGCGGCCAGGCTGGAGCGGGTCACCGGCCCGGCATGCCTAGTCCGGAGCTCTCCCGTGTCCCGCCCGAGCTCCTCGTCTTCCAACTCGCGGAAATACGCTATCGCCGACAGGCTCAAGGTCGGCGAATAGGAGAGCGTGAACAGCGCCGGGAGGGAGCTGCCCATGTTGAGGCCGTTGACGTACGACGTGAGACTCGCGACGACCGGCTCGGGCACCAGACAGCCGTGAGAGTTGAGGTCGTGATGGTTGAACGCGCGCGACCGCCAGATGCAATTGCATATGTCCATCAGGAAGCCGTTGAACTCGTTGATATACTCCGGCGTGTAGTCGGAACGGGCCGTTTCCATGGCCTTCTGGAATCCTTCTTTGTACTTCGACAGTATCGCACAGAGCCGCGAAACATTCGCCGGCGACAAGGCGAAGTTCAGGATGTAAACCAACGGGGAAGGGGGTATCATGATCCTAGTCTGGGCTAGCAGTTTGGTCTCGGAGGCTAGGAATGCAACCTGCTCATAGAAATCCAGGATCCTCGAGTGGGTAGAAGTTGTGGGCGACGTCTGAGCCAGCGTCAGACAAAGATCGCCTACGTGAGTTACGAGATCCGTAAGGATGGCCGCTGCCTGCTCCGACTTCTGGTCTAGGGACGCTAGGAATACGGTCCAACGCTGAATTAGAGCCGTATAAAAGCCAAGTAGCTGCAGTTGCGAATCTACAGTGTTGTCGAGTATCGCGGTCTCCAGCGGGCGGAGAATGCCATCATAGAGTCCTAGGACCATGTTAGCATTTCTCTAGGAACAGGCCGAACTGCTCCACGCCTTTACCTCGGTATTCGAGTAATGGTACGTGTGACAATATAACCAATACCGAATCACGTCTATCACGGCCGTCCCATATCTTGAGGTATTCGCTAAAGAAAGTCAGGAAAACAGGGGGAAAGGTCTAGATTCGGACATGTCAGTCAACAAGCTTGTTCGACGGCTACGACCTCACATACCTTAGTGTTGGTGACGAAAGTCCTCAGCAATTCTAGGCCCCCGCTGAGATCTACTCCGGAATCTCCGCTCAAAAGGTCCTGCCCATAAGAAGCTAGCCAGCTGCCGGCCCTCTGGTGGGCTTCAGCATGTGGCTTCAGAAGCAGAAGCTTCTGCAGCAGTGGGTCCCCGAGGACGGCGATCAATTGATTTGGTAACTCGATCCTCTCCAGGTTATCGACAAAGCCGTCGACGTTTTCGATTTCCTCAAGCGTGATGGAATTCTATGGGGATGGTCAGATCACACACCCCCCTTCTCCCCAAGGAAGCAAGAGTATGACTAACCTCGGTAGCATTTGAGGTATGCACCTCTGGGATGAGGGCAGAACTCTTGCCACTTGCTCGATTTCGGGCTACCCGGAATGAATTTAATGGCCGTTCCGATCTGCTCGTATTTCGTGCCGCATGTGCCCGCTGGATCTGGTCCAGCCTCTCGCGCCATTGTTGATCAGGATGCTATATAATATTAGCGATTCCTTCTCTCCGTTGTGAGGACTCCCCATAACGTGCCTGGAAAGCTAACGCCCTAGCCCGGGTCGCTTCGCCCACAATAATCTCCGGATAGTAGTCTTTGAAAACCCGGAGTAGTCCGGTCACCGCAGGGTCATTCCCCGTCTGCCGAGATACGGCTAGGCTGGAAAGACATGAGCTCATCTAATCCCTAACCGTCATAAACGTCGACGCCACTTACAGGCTTTGGATGCGGTAAGGTCGTACGTGTCGACGCCGGGTAATGAGAGCCAGCAGATGACACAATGGTTTCCTGTAGTGCCCGTTAGTAAAACGAACGGGACCGAATCGCGGGCGGGCGAACCTGATTGCAGCGGTGTCGAGTAGGTTGAAGAGAACCGAATAAGCGCGCGACAGGAGCTTCTGGTTCTCTATGGCATGATGAATCATGATGAGCCATTTCAGGAGTGCCCCTTGGATGGCGAGAGATGGCTTCAACTTCCCGTGGCCGAAAGCGCCGACCACGGTCACAATAGGCTCGTCGCTAACGGTGGTCGCCGGGTAGAGATTCCGGACAATACTCCCGAGACTTGCCTGGTCTAGGAAATTCGGGGTTGTGACCAGGTTAATGAGCTGGCCCAGATCGTCCGGGAGCAGCCCTTGGTCGTATGACAACGAGGCCAGCCTCTGCACGGTTGGTTTTATGTTGCTATTCCGCTGCTTCGGCGGTAATTTTGAAGCTTTTCACGAAGGTCAGCGTCGACGCCTACGGTGCCAATGGCGATTGGGCTAAGGTCGGAAAACTGTACCTTCAACCACGTCAGATATGGCTTCCCTAAGATCACGGACGCCCTGGATCTGGGTGTCATCTTCTTGTGCCGACATTGCGCCTTAAATGCGCCTTGACGATACTATTTCAGCATTGTCGGACCTCCTACATTCGGCATCAGAGCGGCAAACGCGTTCTTCGGGAAGCTAGGACGCGTCGGTCTGGAGACAGCAAGCCAAGACTGATGATTGGATAGAATGCTAAATATGGGGCAGCGTGTACTTATACAACACATCTCTACCGAATAGACACTTAGCCGTTGGTACCTAACCCTTAGGTACATAGGTAGGTAGGTACTTATTCCCTGTAAACCGTCCCGCGTAAGGCTAGCTCGCTCTACTTATCTATATCTCAGTCTCAGAGGTACTACTTATATATACCTATATACACATATAACTATAGGCGCGCAAGCACGTAATCGGTTACGTATAGCTATAGGATAAGCCCTGCCCTAACGAGGGCTAATCGGGATATAAAAGGTACGTAAAACGGCTTTAAAAGGCTACGTAGATAACTATAATTTAATTAACTATTTACCCGTTCCTTAGATAGCAATATAGTAGTATTTCATACGTTTCGTAAGCTTATTATTATGTTATTTTATTATTATTTAACTACTTACGTTACGGAGGTAATTAAGTAACGAAAGCTCCGATAAATAAGCGGCTTAAGGTAACCGTATAACTACGATTAACGGTAGAGAGAGGTTATCGATAGGTTAAACGATTAAATCACGAGGATAACTACGAAGATAGCTACGAGATTATAAGATAAGGCGGCCGAGGAAGGAACCGAATAAGAAACTACGTAAGATATCGCGTTAAAGGACCTCCGTAAGAAAATACGTAAAGAGTTATTAATGGTTGGTCAGCAGTCAGAATAAGGAGGCTCAAGTACCATGTATCTACTACGTAATGTTAGGAGGCGTATAAAGATCGGCTTAATCCTCTACCTATAATAAGAGATAGCTTTTCTTTTTTAGATATATTAGTATAATTAGTCTTATCCCTAATCTTTCTTATTATTATTTATTGTTTACTTTGCTTTACGTACGTACCTATTAATACTGATTAATGTTACTAGATAATTAGTAATATAGATTAGTAAGGTTAGAAGAGTTATTATTACTTTAGTCGGAAGAATTATTATTACCGTGGTAATATAAGCGATACTAGTAGAATAAGAAATCTTTTATTAGCTTTTATAATCGCGAAACCGATCCTTTCCTTACCTCTTTCTTTATTATATCCCGAAATTAATACCTTATTAATTATATATTCCTAATAATAACTAAGATATCGGAAGGAAAATAGCTAGAAATATTAACCTAAGGAGCCGGTAGATAACGAATAGGCCTAGAATATAACGAACCTAAAGACCTTATTCCCGTACTTATTTTTAGACGCGAACCGTTAGGAGGACCCTTAGGAGGTTGGGACCTTAGGGACGTAGGTAACCTTTACGAACTACTTAAACTTATTATAGGACGACTAATAATAATAATAGCATAATTTAACTTATAAGTAGTTAAATGGTAATAATTCTCGGCGGAAGTCGTTAACTTGCGGTAAAAGATAATATAGGTATTAATGATAATAGCGGATTTCGAAGCCGCGGATATTAGTACCTTTAACGTCCGTACTACGGACGAGACCTTAAGCGATTACTAGGAACGGTTTCGAGGCTATAGTATAGGAGACTTTAAGCTAATGCCCGCCTTCCTTCGCTCGTTCCTACGGAACGCTTTAATAAGGTAAGGGATCTACGTGGGAAGAAGTAATGCGAAATATTCTCGAGAACTTACCGAATTAATACGGGCGGAAGGCCTCCCGACCTAGAACTACTAAGAATTCTAAACGGCTAAGGCTAAGTAGCTTGATGCGTTGGTTTAGCGAATGCTAATAATCGAAACTAACTAAGGAATAGTTTATTCGTTAATATCCGTATCCGTTCGATTAGGTAGTAGATTATCCTCGTTATAGTTCGGTCGAGTAGTAGTAGAGTTATTAGAGTAATAAACCCCTGCTTTATTCCGATAAATTACTTACGGAGGTAACCCTCCGTTTATTCCTATTAACCTATAGTTCGAAATACCGCCTAAATATAGTTTCTTCGGCTTAGATTTCCCTCTTATATTAGAACGGCTATAACCGGTAGGACTAGTAGGATCGGTAAAGAATTAATAAGGTTCGTTACTTAACGAATCCCTCCTAGCGCTTCGAACCGATTAACTTTAATAACTTAATTCCTCCGCCTTTTTTCGGGTTAATGCCTTATCGACGCTTAATAATCCCTTCCTTTCCTAATTAAACGTACTTCGTTAATAGGTACTACTATAGCCGTTACCCTTCGCGCTTTTCCTTTCTCCTGCCGGATATCTATATTTTCCGTATTTATCCTAAGGGTATTTTTTATACGGATATTAGATATATCCGCCGTATCCGCCGTACCCGTTATTAGGTTTTTAAGCTAGATATAACCTATATAACTTATGGATATTACCTTCTCCTTCCTAGCTATACTTAATAATAGAGAGGGACGAGCGGGTAAGGGAGAAAGCGATCCCTTCCTAGGGAAGCTAGTACGTTATTCCGGGCCGAGGACTTAGCTAGACCTTAGGATATTAATTCCTTTTCCTAGTAGGTTATTTAAACGAAGGATAAGGACCCGGTTAGGTCCTAAGAGGTTACGATTCCTCCTTCCCGATGGGATAATCGCGTACGCCGGGAGCTAAGCCGTTACCGCTTCCCGTACTAGGGCCGGATTTATTCCGATAATCCCTTATGTCCGTAGGTAATTAATAAGAATAGACTTATTACGATATCCTACCTACGAAAGTATTAAACGAATTATGTCCCCCGACTATCGTAGGATACTTTAAGAAGGCATAGAATAAGGAGAATAATTATACGGGAGAGGTATACGATATCCTAAAGGATAAGTTTAGGTTCTTTTTGGATATCTATTATATTATTAGGATCCGATAAATATAATTCCATGCCGTTTTCTTTATAATTCTATTAGGAAGAGTAGCTATTTACTTCCTATATAGCGTCCCTAGATATTAATATTTCGTTAATATATATCTCGCGATGGAACGTTATTTTAATACGGAATAGAATAAGGTCTAGTATTACTACGATTAAACGGCTATTACCTTTTATAATACGAAGGCCGAGAAAGATAACGAAGGTAAGTCGGACCTAGAGGTACTTTAAGTTATATTAAATAAGTTCGTTTTATATTAAAAAGTTCTCGGCCCTGACTTTAAGGGCGAGTAATAGCTTATCGCGGTAGTTTACCGAGCTTATCGTAACGTTTCTTAGCTTTAATACGTATTCTTCGAGCCATCGGTTCGCTTTAAAGATATAATTAGTAAGCTCCGTACTTTAATAAGTACTTACGAAAACTTAAAGGAAGTACGTTAGTTCGTAATGGATAGCGATAACGACGATAGTAACGGGCCTAGCTAGTATTACGTCGACCGTAAGTACTACCGTAACGATAGGGGAAGGAAGTATAGCGATAAGGAAAGGAAAGATCGGTTCGGGTAACGACGGGTATGGAAGAGAAGATACTAGGTATGTAAGAAGGAAGGGTATTAATTTATTAAATATACGGAGAAAGAGAAAAAGGAAGCAAGGAAGCGGTAGAAGATTAGTAAGGATAAACCTAAGGGTAATTACGCGATTTTCCTAGTTAATTACGAAGGGATTAAGGATATAGAGGAGGTATCGGAGTCGGAATAGGAGGCCGAGTCTAATACGGGATAACCGTCCGATAACGAATAATATATAATAACCGCCTACCTATCTAACTAAGTATTTCGATATCGACTTATTACCCTAAGCCCTTTTAACGAATTAATACTAGGAATATCTTTCGTCCTCGACCGATACGTAAGAGGAATCTTCTAAGGTATTATATCGGATATAGGTATAGTAAGGATATTTACCGCTAGAAAAGGATAATACCTCGCCCTCGCCCGGAAATATCCCGGGTAACTTAAGATCGATAATACCCGAGCGAAAGAGGCGAGTATTTAATTCGGCGATAGATTACTTATTAAATCGCTAGGAACCGTATTAATTAATACCCCCTTTAAGGACGTCGACTTTTACGTTATAGAAATAGATATCCTATTCCTTTTATTACTTAAGGATATAAACTAGCTAGGGGTATACCTTAATAATATTATTAATTAGTTAATTTCGAAAGATAATATAATAATCTTAGTTATACGAAAATAAAGGTATCCTTGGTTCTAGTTTTACGACGAGGCTTACCTCGCCGTAGCCTACTTTACGGAAATAAAACTACGACGTATTTATACCCGCTTCGGGTATCCTTTAGTTAGTAAGCTATACGATTTACTCGATAAAGCCGGACATAAGATCGACGTTAAGGACCTCGAGGCTATTAATAAATTTTATTATTATTATTAGGTTAAAGGTAAATTACTATAAAGGTTTAGGTTTACCTTAAAGGACCTAAATATGGATTTTAATTACGAGGTAGTCGTCGATATTATATACCTAGATGGGTAATTAATATTCTATATAGTCGATACGGCGATTAATTTCTAAGTAGTAAGGTTTATACGGAACGTTTCGGCTAAGGAAACCTAGGAGGTACTTAGGTAATACTAAATCGATACGTATTTAGGACCTCCGGATGTTATTACCTACGATGCCGGTACGAACTTCGATAGCGCCGAATTTCATAACGAGGTACGATTTATAGGAATCGTTTGTAAATAAGTACTAGTAAAAGTATATTAGTCTATCGGAAAAGCCGAAGAGTACTATGGTTTTATCCGTAGGGCGTACGAGATCCTTTCGGAAGAAGTTATAGGGTTTAAGGTAACGCGACTTTAGATAGTAATTAAAGCCGTTAACGATACTACTAACCTAAATGGTTTAGTACCTACGTTATTCGTTTTCGGGATATACCTTAGGATTAATATAGATTTACTACTTACCCCGTTATAAACGAAGAGAGCCTAAGTAATTTAGAAGGTAATAACGGAAGTTAAGAAGATTAAAGTATAGAGGTTTATACGGGATGCCCTTAATACGCGTAACGGATTAAATACGTTAAAAACGCTATTAGTCCTCCTAGTACTAGGTAGCGAAGTCTTAGTCTTCCGGGAGAAAGGTAGATGGA